TAGCTGGCTTAGGGCTGGGGGTCCCTACTGAATATATGCTAGTCGGCTTGCGGTCAAGCCTTATCTTAAGGAAGGAGATAGTTGTCACGGCGTGCACTAGGTGCACTGGTGCCAAGGCAATGATTACTAGGTATATAAGGTGGGATTCAGGCAGATCAGACATCAGGTCTGATCATAGTGACCTTTTGGTCCAATGGTTTAGACATGTTGCCCGAATCACATGCTCTTACAAATATACTAAAGAGGATAGTAAAGGGGAGAAAGAATAGCCTCTTTAAAATAATAAAGAATAATTAAAGTATCTTTAAGGTACTAAAGTAGGTATTCTCTAGATCTCTAGTATTATAATATTTTAATCTAGAATAAGAGATACTCCTAGTAACTAATATATTAAATTTTATAATTATGGGAATTCTAATATAATATAATAGTATCTAGTCTATAAAAATATAGTATACTACTTAATAACCTATAATCTTTTACTTAAGAAAATTAATTAAAGTAGAAAGGAGATATAAAACTTATAATTAAGAATTACTAGTTATAGTAAAATACTTTAAGATATAGTACTATTATTTTAAAGATAATCTATATATAATATATATATAAATAAATTATATAAATTTAAAATATTTTTATATTATTAAGACTTTAAATTAATACTAGATTAGATAGATTAAGCTCCTAGTAATATATAATTTCTAAATTAAATATTAGTCTAGTAGCCTTAACCTAGCTAATATATCTTTAAAATAAAAGAATTATAAATCTACTTAATAGAATATAGCTAAGAGACTCTTACCTATACTTTAGGTAAAGCTAGGAGGTTTATAAAATAATTAAGATAAGAATAGAATAGTAACTTCCTAAGAAACTCTAATTATATAATTAAAAGATTTAGAATTTTTAACTTAAAGAATACTAGTATAAAAAATAGCTAGTAATAAGTAAGTTTATAAAATATTATTAATTACTCTATAAGACTTATTTTAGGAAATATAATATAGGGATACTTATATAAGTTAAATTTAGAATAATACTAATAAGAAATACCTAGCATACTAAAGATATACTTAAATAATAGGGAAATTACCTAAATAAGAAATAATAAAGTAGTTTAAGAATAATATTAAATAAAGATAAATTTATAAGAATAAATAGTATATTAATAATAATAAGCTAGTATAATATAGTAAGATTATTTATATTTTTTTTAATTAAATAATATATTAAGAATTACTAAGAGTATATTATAATAACCTATATATAGATTATTTTAGTTAAGAAAAGATATTAAATTTTATTAAATAAAAGTTTTACTAAAATACCTTATAATATAATATTAAAAAATATATAAAAAATTATCTAATTTATTAGAAAATAAAAATATCTAGATAACTTTTACTAGGCTAGCTTACAAAGCTCCTGGTACTAGAACACTCTTAATAAGATCTAACTCTAGACTTTATTATAGGCTTACTACTATTAATATAAAAGGGGCGTGTATATAATACTATCTTAATAATTATAGATTAATATACTAAGGGAGCTAAATACCTCTTAATAATAAGAAATATAAATATTAAGAAGCTAGCTAATATATTTATAAAAGAGATTATACTTAAAATAGGAGTATTAAAGAGTCTAGTAAGTAATTATAGCTTGCTCTTTATTAGTAAATATTAGATCTAGTTATACTAAGAGCTTTAAATTAAAGAATAATTAAGTACTATATTCTACCTATAAATAGATAATTAAATAAAATATTAAAATTAGATATTAGAGACTTATTTAAAAATCTATATTAATTATTAATAAATTAACTAGATAGACTAGCTAGATATAATAAAATTTATATATAATAATATAAAAAATATATTATTAAGAATATCTTTTTATAAGATATAATATAATTACTAGCTAGTATTATTTAAGCTTGCTAATATTAAGGACTCTAGTATAGTTATAGTAGTAGGAAAATAACTTAACTAACTATAAATAAAATATTATTAGCTAGAAAAAAGTCTATACCATGCTATTAAATAATAAGTAAAGAACTATAATAAAAGGTATTACCTAATTAAATATTATATAGGCTAATAAATATTACTATTTATAAAGAATATCTATATATAGAGGCCTAGTAAGAAGCTAGATACTAAATATAAAGAGTTATTTAAAATAATTAAGATAATAAATTAATAAGTATACTACCTATAATTACTTAGATTATATAGGAAAATCTACCTAATCTTTTATATATTACTTCTTAAGGAATAAAATATAAAAGATAGTAACTTATTAGTATTATTCTAGCTAGTTATTATTAATAATAAGAAAGAATAAGAGATAGAATAGATTATTATATAATAAAAGCTATATAGTAAAGACTAATATCTAGTTAAATAAAAAAAATAACTAATATATAAGAATATTTAGTAATTAGTAAAAAATTTAAAAAATATATAAAATATTCTAAATAAATTTTATTATATAAATAAAATATAGGCAAGGTACTAGTAAAATATTATAAAATAATAAAATATAAAAATAATAAATTAATAAGATTAAGAAATTAAAAAAATTATAAAAATATATTAATAATATTATTCTTTTTCTTTTTCTTACTAGATTTTAAGATTTAATAAAAATATACTATAGGTATTAAGAAATCTTAAAAAAATAATTTAATTTTATTATATAAAAATAAAAATAATAAAATATTTATATTATAATATTAATAAATCTCTAATTATTATAATTATTCTAAACCTCCTTATTACTATTCTCTAACTTTATTATACTATTCCTAATATACTATATATTAAATAGGTAAAATATATTATAATTAATAAATTAAAATAATCTCTTTATCTAGTTCTTAATCTTAAGATAATAGATAAAAATCTTAATAATATAAATTTATTAGATATAGGCTATTATACCTACTATCTTACTAGATATTATCTAAATTTCTCTAAGACTAACTTATATAGATAAGATAATAAGAAAGTACTTTTTATATAAGTAAGTATATTAAGTATATTACTATTCTAGATTTAAATATATATAGGAATAAGCTTCTACAGGACTATTATTTATATATTATTAAGATTTAGTATAATATAAGTAATATAGTATCTATATAATAGTAGCCAGGCTAGTAGAGGTAACTAGAATAATTAGAGTAGCTAGAACTATAATAATAGTAGGAATAATAGGAGCTAGCATGATAATAAGAGCTGGTATAATAATAGTAGCAGGAATAACTAGAGTTACTATAGTAGAAGAAGTAGAAGGAAAGATAGTAGAAGTTACTATAATATTAGAAGTAGTTATAGAGGATAAGGGGGATATAGTCTTACTAAATAATAAAGTAGTAATAGTAGAAACTATAAGAAATATACTAATAATAATAGGGATTATAAATATTATAATTAATATAAATATAGGGGGGTTTACTACAGGAGCCTATAAATAATTAATATAATAAATCTATATTACTAGAATAAAAATACTTATAGAAAAAAAAATAATAGTAATTAAATAAGCTCTCTTTTATAGAGATATAGCTAGTATAATACTAGATAAAGAATACTTTAAGAGAGCTATAAGATCTATAATATAGTTAGTTATTATTATAATACTTAAGTAATAGTAACCTATCTAGTATAATATATTAATTTATTAGAAAGAACTTTTTAAAATATAAATTAGACTAGAAAAAATATATATAGAGGAGTATTTTCTTATAATATTTATATTATAATAATATCTTTATTTATTACTAGTATATCTAGTAAATTATTTATTTCTATTTATTATCTTATTTAAAGTAAAATATAATACTATTTATATTTTATTTAATAAAGTATAATTAATAAAGGTAGTATTATATATATTATTATTATTTCTAATATTAAATAAAAAAGTAAGTTATATTATACTAACTAGGACTAGCTCCTCCTTAATAGAGTACTAAACTAGATCAGGTATAATATATATAGCGCGTAAACATGCTACTAAGGGAAGAGAAGATAATTATTATAGTAATTATATAATATATAACTATATATTAAACTATATACTAAACTATATATCTAGTAACTAAGAATAATTAGAAAAATAGTAATATTTAAGTTATCTATACCATGCTAGTAACTTAACTAAATAATATAAATAGTAATATAATAACCCCTAAAGTACTAAGAGGTAAGTACTTTATTTTATTACTTCTAATACCTTCTTACTATCCTTATACTCTGTGTAGCTTTGCTTCCTTTACTAACACTACCTATACCCAAGCGCCTCGCCAGTGAGACGCTTACAGTGTGTCTATTTGATCTTTTTACCGCCTCCTGGATGGACCTACTGTACTTTTCTTTTCTTTACGCGAGTCGTCCTTTACTCTTCTATATTATTGAGTCTTTTTCACTCTTGCTTTAACTTTAGAATTTCATTCATCTTCTTCTAGTTGGAATTCTTTTCTATTAGCTACATTGCCCCAGTAGCTAGAGGTCAATACACCAATCTTGTTATTTCACCAAATGCGCTTGTGGCCAAGTGGTAAGGCGTCGCACTTGTACTTTTAACGTGGCATGCGAAGACCGTCAGTTCGAATCTGGCCGGGCGCATTCTTTTTTTTTTCACTTTTTGTGTATACTCTCACAGACTCACTAGATCCTTTTTTTTTTTTATCCGCAAAGTCCTAGCCATAATACTCGCAAGCAATTAGCTTTATGTTATTCCATATCAATTACTTATTTCTTCTATAACGTGGCGCTGCGCTGAAGTATAAACTCAGGTTCATTTCAATGTTGGAGATTAGTAGGTAATCCCAACTGCGGCGCCAAGCCATTCATTCAAACCACCTAACTCCACATCACCGCGAATATCAAAAACCAGCAACTTACACCACCACCATCACGAACTCGGACCTAATCTCAACCACCACAACCTCGCCTTCTCTTTTAACACCGAGAACAGCGCACTCAAAGTAAACCGAGAAGAAAGAAAGACAATGCCATACCTACCCACCTCGCAATCCTACCTGGAACAATCCTCTCTCCTCCTCCAAGCATACCCAGACACGGTACGTCTTCTACTACCTACCTACCTACCTACCTACCTACCTACCTAATAATCCAATCCAATCCAATCCAATACTAATTCTAACGAACCCCACCCCAGACCCGAATCACAACAAAATACACCTTCCCCTCCGCATCCACGCCGTCGTCGTTATCATCACCATCCACCCGCACCCAACAATCCCACCCCCCGCCCTCAGATCCCCAAGCAGGAGGACCACCGACATCGACGCAATCAAACGCAACCCTGACGCTGAAAACCTTCAACCCCGAAGCTGGGATCTGTCTGAAGTACCAGACGAATAAAGCCGCGGAGGTCGGGCGGCTGATTACCTCGTTGGGAAAGTTAGCGGCCGGTGCGGATGTGAGTGTGTTGGGGGGGTCGAGTGCTGCTGTTGCTGTTGGTGGTGGTGGTGCGGCGGGGGATGTAGAGATGGTGGATGCTGGGGAAGAGGGTGTGGCTACGGCGACGGCGACGACGACGACGGCCGCTGGGAAGGGTGGGAAGTCCAAGAAGAAAAGTGAAAAGGGGAAGAAATAATAAAGTTATGCATAGCTAAGAATGTCCTGATTTGAATCATATGGATTAATTACGTTACTGTAATGTGATATGGGGAGAGTTATTTTCAAAGTAGATGGAACTCGTACAAGAGAAAGATATTATTATAACAGCGCAAATATCCAACGGTGTACACGACATCATATTTACCCAAATACAAAGCCTGCCGACCACCTAGAATACAGATGAGACAGTACCATCATACATTAAACAAAAGAAATCCGCCTGTGAACGCCAGACCCATGCGTATCCTTCAAGTAAAATCATCAATCAATAAAGCAGAGAGGAGCACAAACAAGAAAACGGAAAAAAAAATTATGGTGCCAATAAGACAATCCGGGTATAATGCGCAATGCTGTTTAAAAGTCCTCGTCGAAGCTGAGACCGCTATCGTTACTGGACTTCTCTTCTTGATTGGCGTCCTTCTTGGTGCTGGCCATAACACCGGCCTTCTGGTAATCACCCACACGCTTCTCAAAGAAGTTGGTCTTGCCAGCAAGGGAGATAGACTCCATGAAATCGAAGGGGTTGGTGGCATTGAAGTACTTCTTGTTGCCGAGAGCGACCAGTAGACGGTCGGCAACGAATTCAATATACTGGCACATCAGATTGGAGTTCATGCCGAGGAGAGCACAAGGCAGAGCCTCTGTCAGGAACTCCTTCTCAATGGCAACAGCCTCAATGATGATGTCCTCAACCACCTTCTTGCTAGGGCGGTTGTTGAGGTGAGAGAACAGCAAGCAGGCAAAGTCAGTGTGAAGACCCTCATCACGGGAGATGAGCTCGTTGGAGAAGGTGAGACCAGGCATCAGGCCACGCTTCTTCAGCCAGAAGATCGAGGCAAAGGAGCCAGAGAAAAAGATACCCTCAACAGCAGCGAAAGCTACGAGACGTTGGGCAAAGGTAGATTCCTGATCCTGGATCCACCTGAGAGCCCATTGAGCCTTCTTGGTAATGCAGGGAACTTTGGCGCGTTAGCAGACGATCTTTTATTAATCTTCAATTCGCAAGTCTGGTACATACTGGTATCAATGGCATCGAAAAGGTAGGTACGTTGCTTGGGCTCCTTGATGTAGGTATCGATCAGGAGCGAGTAGGTTTCAGCGTGGATGTTCTCAATCATAATCTGGAATCCGTAGAAGCAACGAGCTTCAGGAACCTGCACCTCACCGCTAAAGCGCTCGAGCAGGTTCTCGTTGACAATACCGTCGGAAGCGGCAAAAAAGGCAAGGACACGGGAGATGAAGAAACGCTCGTCGTCGTTGAGGCGGTTGTTCCAGTCGTGGAGATCTTTGGAAAGATCGATTTCTTCGGCAGTCCAGAAAGAGGCCTCGGCTTTCTTGTACATTTGCCAGATCTGTGTCATGCGGAATTGAAACGCGTCAGTGCATTGCGTTTGTCAAGGGCGGTAGGAAACGAGGGGATGAAAAAATTCCACTTTACGCGTGACGCGTGAAGGGACGTGCCGTACTCACCTCATGATACTTGATGGGAAATAGGACGAAGCGGTGGGGGTTCTCTTGAAGCAGAGGCTCATTGGCCTCCATTTCCTTAATGCCAGGAGCAACCTTGGGAGCTTCCAAAGGTTTCTCTGCAATTGGCTTTGTGATGGTCGTGTCAACGATGGCGGTCGACATGGGGGCATTCTCCTTGTCGACAGCTCCGAAGTTGAGCTTCTTGATAGGAGAATCGCTCATCTTAAGGTTCTCAAGAGAAGATGCAGCCTGTCCGAGGGGAACTGTAAGCCTTTTTTTCGTCCTAGCGACGCGTCTCTAGTGAGAGGCGAGACGTGACGAGAGTGACGTACCTGCTTGGAGGGGGTGACCTGTACGGACATTGTGAAGAATATCTAGAGAAGAGGACAGCTCCGACGGAGAAATTAAAACAAACAATAAACAAAAGACAACTCCGAGTCTCGAGGGAATGGGATGGAGAGAAAGTAGGTGCTGGGAGGGAGGAGAGAGCGACAAGAAATACTTGCTTTGGGTGAAGGACGTGACTGTTAGCGCGACGGGCTAAGTCGCGTCGCACGTGACTTGGCGCGACTCTCGAGTGGCTGGTGGAAACCTTAGGCACCAGTACCATAATACCATTACTTGCCTGTTTTCAACTTTCGCGTCCTGTAGACTTACTGTCAGACCACTGCCTTCCATTCCATCCGGTCTTCATCCATAGATATCTCCACCTGTCTACAAGTAGAAATAGAAGCCTTGTGTGTCAATCTCCACATATTTTCATGCTCAATTCAAAGTAACGCGAGTGCCTTGAGCAGAACCCTTTTTTTCGCGTCCTCTGACACGCCTTATCTTATCTGATTGAATTTGATCAGTCCATCGCTCCCTTCCCCCAATTCAGCGTAATTAAACTCTCCTATTCTCACTTCTATAGATCCGACACTATCTTAGTCTAGAATTTAAACACATGTTACCTTCCTTGCATGTCTTCTCATCCTGAACTTCCCCTTTGTAGGCAGCGTATAAGCCTCCGTACCTTGTACCTGGTTCTGCTACCAACTCCTTGCTCACAAAGAATTAGCCACCCGCCAACCCCCCCAGACTCAGCAGAGTCTAAGCTAGATAGTTAGCTAATTTTTTATCATAATCCAATAAGCCGAGTTTATATCCGACGGAACATTGAACAATCTCTGTTTACGTTCTTTTTTTCCAGACGCGACCTCAGAGTCAGAGGTATGTTGTATCCACCTTCCGCCGGGAGCTCATAGGTGCAGCCCTGTTAGCCTGCGGATTTACGGATTTGGGCTGACAGAAATTTTATAAAGCTTTTTGATTGTTAACTATCCCTATGAAGTGTACTTACTACCTCTGTATGTGCCAAGTTGAAACAGGGGTGGAGTTTTCAGCGCAACCCAGCTCCTCTTTGTGGATCTTACTATATCGCAAACATAAAAAAGGAGCAAGCTCCCAAAGGACGCGTCTGGGACGTGTCTATTGCTTACATTTTACTTTCTTTGTATCCGAAACAGCTGCTGCAATTAATGCGCATCTTTGAATGCCTTATTAACCAACTCATATTTACAAAAAAAAAATCCATCAGATGGCGGGCGACCCAATATCAAACAAACGCCTTCTATATACATACATTCCCAAGGCGCCAAGCTTGCGAAATGCTCTACCTGATCAAACCGCGCAAAAACCATTGCCATTTATAAAATCCCAGTATCTTTTGCGACACTTCGAGCCGAATCCTTGTGCGTGTCAATGTTTTTGTTGCGGGTGATTTTATTTAAATCCGCGCCTTCAGTGAGTCCGAGAGGAATCGGTCCTCTAGTGTGCGCATGTATTTATTCGTCTGTTCAGCCAAGCTGAGAGTCAAGATCTACAGGCGGGTTAGTGGCTTTATCCATCAGGTCCAGACGGGGTTTTTACTTACAGTATGAGGTAAGATACGAGCCAGATGAGCAAAGTAGCCCTTGTAGATCGCGAGAATACCCTCTGTTCTAATCGTTTTCGACAGACAATCGAACACTCCCTGGTAAAGATTACCGGTTTGGTTATACATTCTCGACATGATAGTGTCTGGAGCCAGTCAGGTACAATCCCAATCAAGAATTCAGTCGTCACATACCAGGAGGGTGCATAACACAGCAGACAACGAAGCCGGAAGCGGTACTGCTAGCCAGGTGAAGACCAGGACCGTCTTCCATTCCAAAGTGCTTCATCAAGCGTCGCTTGGCAAAGAAGTAGGTGGGCAGCTGAACAGAGCTACCAAAGCCAGTTCGCACCATGGCCGCTCCAACTCCTCGATACAATCCACCCACTCCCTCAGAGGTATAGATTTTGCGCAAGCCATCGAAAGAATTCCGGTACTGGTGTTGCGTACCCACAGGGAGGAACGGCGAAAACGACTGAAGGCGTGTTTTAACGAGGAAGAATGGAGAGCCTGCCGCGGCTCCGATGATACCGGACGTGGCACCAGAGAAGACGTTAATACCAAGCGACTGGACCCGGGAGTCTTGGTAAATGGCGGTGGTCAACCCGTTACGGATGGGCTCGTAGAAACCCAGACGGCAGCCATTGAGCAAAACTTGGTAAATATACTATAACATACTCGTTAGCCTGTAGGTCTTCCGTTCCTAGAATTATAAGACATACCGCAGAGCCAATTCCTCGAAACAAGCCGCGGGGACCCTCATTCTGTAGGATAACCTTGATACCGTGTAGCACACCCTTGTATTTCTTGACGGCCTCAGACTTTGCCTGCAGCTCGCCTTGCAGTTGTAGGCTAAAAAGGGAAGAATGTCAGCCCTTAGGCCAGGAGCATAAGCGCACAGTAGCAGACATAGAAGAGACCATACCGAATCTTCACAGTCTCAAAGCTGTGTGTCACTGTGACTGCTCCGCATGCTGCAATACCGCCTGCAAGGAACGCTCTGGAGGATTATCCAGATCCTATCAGCATCGCGACCGCATAAAGTTTTCAAGACGAGTGTGACATACCCCGTTGTTGTCGACATCGTTTTTTTGAAGGATATATGGGCTCCGTAAACGGAGGGGAGTCGGTCAAGCAGGAATAGCGCAAACTGGGGCGCAAAACGACCCTCCTACAACAAAGGGGGAGGGACAGAATACCAAGAACTTGTGGGAGGCTTGACTCAATGACAGGAGCAGCGTGTTTAGAACATTAATATGCAAAAGGTTCAGCTAGTCTCTTGGGAATGAGAAATGAGAAGTGTCAGTCAGATAAAACACCGCGGAGTCGGAGAGGAGACGAGGCAATTCTGATTGGTCCCAGAGGCGGACCCTGTGCGGCCAAGGCTCCGACCATCGGTTCCCCAGGCACATTTTACAAATGCTTACCTAAGTGCCTGTAGCCGCCGGATCGGAAGAATGTTATTTCGCCGCTCCAGGGTTGGTCAAGCGCGCCGAGCCAGACGCGCGGGAAGATTGAAAGATTTCCAGAAAGGCAAGCTATCACGGAGCTTGCTGCTTGACAAGAAATGCTAGGAACTTGAAGGCCACTCGCTTAGCTCTCAGCTTCTGTATTTGGTTTGGCTACTTCGGACTCTCCGCTGGAAAATTCGTTTCTTCGCGTTAGACTGTTAATTATGGCGGAAGGTGAACAGGTTTCGACACCGCAGCCAACATCCCAACAACAGCAACAGCAACAACAGAATCTTCTGCAGGCTCAGAAGGTCTCGGATATCATTCGTAGTTATCGCCCTACGAAGGTTGGTTACGGCTCTGATTATAGTTGAGCCATGGGTCTAATCGAGCGGTTTCAACTCTAGGTATTTCGTCCTCAAAAGCAGGACTCGTCTAATTACATAACGTCCTTGGACTTCGACGACCAGGGGGAATATCTGGTGGCTTCTGGTGATGATGAGATTATTCAGATCTTTGATGTAAAGGAGGGTAAAGCTACAAAGTCCGTTCCAAGCAAGAAGTACGGCGCCCATTTAGCCAGGTTCACCCACCATTCCCGTCAAGTCCTTCACGCGAGTACCAAAGTCGACGGTAAGCCGCACTCTGCGATATACTATGGGGGTATGTGCTTACTCGGGAGTAGATTCACTGCGATTGCTAGATCTCCACAGCGAAGGTTATGTACGCTATTTCTCAGGACATACGGATAAAGTGACTTGTTTGGCCCTCTCTCCGGGAAGCGACTCTTTCATTTCATGTTCCAAAGACGACACAGTTGCGCTTTGGGATCTTGGCTCGAGGCATGCTCAGGGAAAGTTGAAATTGGCCACGCCGTATCTTGTTGCGTTTGACCCATCGGCATCCGTCATTGCGATTGCGTCCCAGTCAACATCGTCCGTCCTTCTCTACGACTTCCGCAATTACGACAAATCTCCCTTTTCCACCTTCGATCTTGGACCTTACGAAGAAAGATATACCCCTTCAACCCGGGGACGGGCATGGACTCGTCTCGAGTTTTCTAATGATGGAAAATACCTTCTCGTGGGTACGGACTATCATGGCCATTTTATCTTGGATGCCTTCGAAGGTAGCCTGAAAGCTTTCCTTGTCGGCAAGAATGGGTCACCTGGTAGAGCTGCCCCAGTTTCAACTACAGGGAAGCCCCTGAGTCAAGGAGATGCCTGTTTCACACCAGATGGCCGGTACGTCTTGGGCGGCTCAGGAGACCACCAGGACCTTCTGGTGTGGGATCTACAGCAAGCTCCAGATGCCAATAATATCTTGCAGCCATTGACCAGGCTGCCACACCGTGGTCGCACCGCTTTAATCGAGTACAACCCGAGATATAATATGATTGCTTCTGCTGATAAGGATATTGTTTTCTGGCTCCCGGAGGATAGCTCTAAAGTGTCTGAGAAGTAGGAGCACCTGCCGAGGTTTCGTTTTAAATCATGTAGAGCCTATTGCGGACCAAGTTCTTGCGCTTGCAAGTACTAGTTGATGCAATCCAGCAGCTCGAATCGCTTGATTACCCGAGGCAGGTTACTTCTTTCGATGAGAGCCCTTTTCCCACCAATTTGCCGATTCAAGTTGGATTCCATCGGTGAAGAATGTTAATTCTTCCTGTTTTTCTCTTTTCCTATCAAACTTCTGGCGGTATCACAAACCCATATCAGTGGTCCACGCGAATCTTCATCGTCTCTGTGCGCCTCAATGATGGTTTCGATTTGCTTGACGACCGTACGATTGCTAGAAATGGTTGTCACCCGGCACGCCCATCCATACATGAAGACGCTATAATTGATGTCAGACAATATTGCTTCCACTTTCTCAAATACTGCAGGAAGTTTGCCCTGCTGTTTCTCGGAGTCAATGGCGGGTTTGGCTTCAACTATTCTAATGGGAAGAATTAATCGAGATGGCACTGGATGGTCTGACAAATCCTGGAGTTTCTCAAGAAGAGATGCTGTGTCTGCGTTGTCGAAGGGAGGATTGCCCATCAATATTTGTAGCCGTTTTTTTTCGGTATCAGTCCCAATGGTTTCCACAATCTCACGCATTCGTTTGGCAGCCTCATTTGTGCACACGAGCTCATGGGAATTCATTGCTGGCCAGAGTTCCGTTAACAGCAGTGGTCGTTCATGTTCAACCTCAATCTGGCGGTTGATAGCCTTGTGATGAACTGGAGAGGGATTTATGCTCTTGGAGTGGGATAGATCTGAAACAATAGCGAGCAGCAGGGTACAATCGACATTGAGTATGGGCGTGAATCTTTTGAACCGGTTAGGGAGAAGTTGACAAACCTCCTCCTCCTCGTCCTTCGCAGAAAGTGCAAATCCAGAAGATGTGCTTGGAGCATTTGCTTGTGAAGTAAATATATTCTCACCACAGCTCACTATGATACCATAGCTCCGTATTACCTTAAGCAGTTCATCAATATCAGGACTCTGGCCCTCCTCAATCTTAGGAATCACAAAACGCAGGCGAGGATGTCTGTAGTTGACCCGCACCAAGCTAGCAGCTTTCTTCATATCCGCCGCAAGCTTGATCAGCTCAATTTCATCATCGTCATCGTCATCGTCGTGGTCGTCTTTGTAGTACTCATCGTCCTCCGCATCGTGAGTAAAATTTTGTAGAACCGTCCTGCGACCCTCCTGCCCATCCTCATCCTCCGAATCCGCCTCCCACCCTTTCTCCGCCATCTCAAACAACAGCCTAGTCTCCGAAATAGTAGAAACCTTCACCCACTCCTCCCCATCATCCGCCACAATATCAACATAGACACTCTTCCGCTTGTCCTTATTGGGCCGCTTCTTCGCCGACTCCTCTCCCTCACCTCGATCACCACCACCACCACCACCACCACCACGGGACCTCCCACCGTCCTGATCCCAATAGAACCTCTTCCCCAAAGCAACCAACCCCGTACAAGTCCTCTTGGCAATCGTCCAAACCGCCTCGTAAAACGGCAGATTCGACGACCTCAACGCATGCACAATCCTCAACACTGCATCGTTTCGACCGGGCCCGCCCTCCTCGGTATCATCATCCCCCGCAGCGGCAATCGCACCATGAAGCTGCTCCGTCAGTTTCTCTAACGTCTTCAGTTCCGAGAGAACATTCGAGCGCAACGACCGCACTTCCACGCTTTGGGGGTTTCGTTGCGTGCGCGTGAGAAGCGCCTTGAAGGTATCGAGTTCACTGAGGAGGGTGCGGCATCGGTTCACGAGGGAGGCGGCGAGAGCTTGGCTGGTTTCGGGGGTTGCGTCTTGTGCTGTATCTGGTTCTGGGGTTTGTCCTGGTTCTTGGAGGTCGGTGGTGGTGCTCCGCATTTTTTTTTTGTTGGTTGGCTTGTGCGTAGGTTGATTGGGTTTTGTGGATGCGGGGACCTCGGGAGTTTTCAGGACTTTACCAGGGATGATCGGTGCGGTGGTGTTTTTGGGGGTTGGCGGCGGCTAAGTATCAAGAGTTCTTGACTGCTATGAGTCACATCGCACGCTTTCCAGGCATAAACTAGAGGTTGCCTAGAGAATCGAGTTCGTGAATTGGAGTAATGGTTGGATCTGTTGTGAAATATACAGGGTTACTACTATATGTAAAGTAGCGAGTGCGATTATTCTGAATTACGGAGCTCTTCTCTCTGCAGTAAAGTCTACCTATGTCCGGTTTGAGACCCCGTTTATATCTACAAGGGGATGAGCATAATATCTGGGTAATACACTTGATAAACACTTAATATCACCTGAGGATCAATGTCCTCATGCGTGATGTTTGGCTGTGTGATACCAGGATCTAGAATAATATATATATATATATATATATACATACATATATTTCATCCATCATCACCAAAAATAAGATCTGGAAACATTAAAAGAGAAGAACAAGAGCAAAAAAAGGGACTATATACCCTAGGACAAACGCCGTCATATGCCAAAAGTGATCCGGACCGAAGAACCCAATTCCTACTGTACCCCCGGCAAATTGTGGAAAAGAATGCTCTTGGGCATCAATATCAGTACAAAGTGATTCGAAGCACTTGACCTCATAGTGGTTCATTAGATAAAAACCTCTACCGGGAGAATCAACAGATAACAGAGATAACCCTAGCCCTAGCCCTTGCCAGTAAGCCTCTGTCTCTCGCTTGAATTACGAGGGGACTCATCCTCATCGTCAGTCCACTTATCGCCGTCCTCGCCAACAGCGAATATAGTTTCACCGTCAAGAGACTCCCGGGGTTGTGCCGCTGATGGAACTGGTTTGGGGGGGACTGGTGAGAGATCACGATGCGACTCAATAATGGAAGGCTCATCCGGGCCACCAAGGGCGTCCTCTTCATCCAAAGCCCCACCGAAGGAGCGAATTTCAAACCCGTCATCATCTTGCGCAAGCTAATGCTTGATTAATACTAACAAAGGATATTGATTGTGGCATAGAATGTAACTCACCTCGTCGCTCATGGCGAAGCGCCTGTTGTTTGCAGTGGGGCGCCACAAGTAGGCAATAAATGACAGATCGAAGAGATACACGATGCTAAGCCACCCGTCTAACACAAACCATCTGCTTTTCCAGTGTTCGGGAAGGAAGTTAGATTCGCTGCGACTGGCGAAGGCGAGCGCATTGATAAAGATAAAGCCAAAGAGCACAATGATGCTGCCTAGGAGACACCACCACAGCTTCTTGTACATCATCGCCTTAGTCTTCTGCTGCCTGTCCACGAGGTCTTTCGTGGTTGCGTTCAGCGAGCTCAAGGTCCACACATAAAATCCAGTTAGAGTGGCAGCAAGAGGAAGTTCGATGAATAGAATCAAGATACCCGCAGCTTCGGGTGTAATGGACAGGCTTGCGACTGCGTATACCACGGCGAACACAAAGTGCCCGATGGCAAGAATGCGAACATATACCATAGTTCGGCCGAGGGAAGGCTTGACAACACCATACCCCATACAAACAATGAGCAGGAGGAAAAATGAGAAGGAAGTGCGAGCGGCGTTGAGTACAGCGACAATAACCATTAGAGCTTTTGCCCCGATATTTAATCCGTGTCGATTTTGAAAATCTGGCTTTTTGTTAAGCGCAGGCCTTGCGACATGTAGCCTTCGATTGACGTACCGTAAAATCCCCAGGTCATCAACTGTTCAACGATAAGGAAAACCAGGATGGCAGTGATATAGTTTTGGACGGGCACTGGAAAACATATTAGTAGATGCAAAACAACAGCTAGGGTAGTGTACCCACAAATATCATGACGGTTTTGAACGTAAAGGAAAGCCCAAAACCTGTGAGGAGTAAGTGAATGGTCTAAGATGCGATAACGGATACAAGGGCGCATACAGTCCGATGACCGCGTATACAATTGTTAAGCCGCCATAGAAAGGGAGCTTTGCGATCTGGGCAGCAGGAAGCTCGCCATATGCATTTCGAAACTCCACAACGGCTCTATAATCCTCACCAGAGTATCCATATGTGCTAACGCAGTAGAACCCTGTCTTCTTTATAGGGTAATTCACAGCATCCGGATTGTTTAGGTGTATGGCTGTAGATATTATCGGGAATTGAGAGACTTCGGTCGCGTTCGCCGCTAGAATGAAAGAGCCGATTTGGTCCTGCTTGCAAAGATCGGCGTGCACGCTGCCTTCATCGCAGATTGACACGATTTCCTGGAGGATGTATAAGCCACACAATCTCCCTCTGCAGTTAATGGAAAGAGTAGCTCACTTCGGGATCATCGGATATACGCCTCCCAATTAGATTCTCATCATTCCACTCAAAGATCACTAGACTGACGAGGGGATCGCCATTTTCAGTATTCGATTGAGCGAATTTGGTCAATATGAATGGGTCCACTCTTCCTCCCCAAGCCTCGCGGCTATACATGCCCGAACACTGCAACCGGCGCGATACATCCTGTGTCTAGCAACTTGAAATCAGTAATCGGGAATGAAATCCGGGATCATTTAGAACCATACCAATTCCACCTCATTCGCAAAAGCTTGAACTGCCAGAAAGGCCGATAAACCGAGGGTCTTAACCCAGCTTTTCATCCTGTTGTGGCAATGGGAGCTAGGCACCAGGCTCCCTTGATGAAAGAAAAGATCTAGATGACAGTTGTGATCATAGGAAATAAGGAAGGTAGGTCAAAATAACCCAAAGCTCCCAGGAGACCTTTAACCCTTGGTGTCGTGTCTAAGATGCGTAAGCATGCATGGTGTCCAAGCAGAAACCGTGGCTGTAAACTTGGGAAGCCACCTCTGAAGTCCCCCTTGAGGTTAGTTTTCCCGCTTTCGGAATGGCGCCCGATGTCATTGTTATGTGTTGAACCACTAGGCCCCTTCTGGAAGCCATGTGTATTAGTCATATAAGGCGGTGGAAGTAGCCCCCTACAGCGGCCAAATGCTCTCTTCGCGACGCTGATAGGGATTTGAAATTCTACATAAGAGAGATTTAAACCTGAAGGGGTGTATTAAAATAGAGGCTATCCCTAGGATTATCTAATATCCGATACGTGATCCCGGGGTATAGTTAATACGCTCCGATCATGATGCTGGCGTGCTACAGCCAGCAGGCGTTCCTCTACTCCGTACCTTCGTACCATGCTTAGACTAGGTTTTCACATACACTTTCCTGGATAGGTTTAATGAGATGACCGGCATAGATTGAAATATTTTACACATATTGTTGGTTTGAAAGTATAAGAATATACAATGAAGAAAATAGGATGCTAATGAATTTGTACACAGACACGGGGAGAAAGAGAAAACGAACGCAGATATATCAGCTAGTGGTTTCTATAACCTTGAAGCCTAGATGCACCCGCAATTTTGCGTTATGGATAGTTTATAGAGAACGGCTGAGTCTGCTATCGAAGGATGAAAAAAAAAAACCGTTCATAGGGTAAGCATTTCACCATCCACCAGGGCCACCGGGGCCACCGGGGCCACCAGGACCACCAGGACCACCAGGACCATCAAAACCACCAGGACCACCAGGACCACCAGGACCATCAAAACCACCAGGACCACCAGGACCACCAGGACCACCAGGACCATCAAAACCACCAGGACCATCAAAACCACCAGGACCACCAGGGGGACCATCGTCTCCGCAACAGCAGAAACAACAGTCACAACAGCTACTGATGTTAGCTACCTAAGATTCTCATGCGATATTAGTTACTGAATCACGACTTACTCATCTGGCCCGTCACCACCACGGAGTTGAAGTTGTGGTTGCATGTTTTCTTGGGGCCCCTAACTCAGCTTTGTTAATAAGAAGCCATGCGATGCCGGCTTTCCGGCTCTGTTTAAATCTTACAGGCTGACTTGTGACAACGCCCTCGGCTGTTGGAGGGGCTATACTTTGGGGTTGCTCCATTGTTAAGGTGTTGGGATCCCATGTGGCCTTGGATTCCTCCTTTGCGGAGGAAAACCAGCTGAAGAAATCTTTGCCAAACATTGCAAAATAGGTTTGTTGCCTTGCGAACGGTGGATATGTTTGGAATTTGGGGGTAATGCTCAGATTAGGTATGCAAATAATTTGAAGGGATAGACTCCTTTTATAGGGGGTGAGTCAAGCCTTGGTAGCCAACATCTAGATGCCCAGCATGACAGCGTCTACGCAAGCATAGATGTTAGGCAAGTTGTTATTTACTAGACTCGGACTGGTGTAATGATTTTTTGAATGGTGGTTCCACTGGATGGATATACTCCGTATCGCCTTATCGACCTGAATGAGTCTCTGACTCTCTGTGGAAATGACGACTCATGTGCTTGACTGAAGATTTAAATTACATCAACAGAAAGAGTCAAATTTGTACTTGAGCTCCTATAAGCCGGGATCAATTAATTTCTTAACTAGGAAACCCTTCCGGAGTATTTAGTTAGGGGGCTCAGCTTTCTATTTACGGGTTTGAAAGGAGGCGCCGCTGGTGTGGGAAATGAAACTAACGACGGCGTACGTAGGAGTCAAGACTGTCCACTCCACCAGCCTGCCGATTCCGATCTTCGGAATGGGGTGTCTTGGGATAAAAAGAACATTTAAAGCTTGCTAAGTTGTAATTGACAACGATGTTTAGGTATCGTCTCTGTTGGCCTAACTTTAGAGAGACAGCCACGGGCTTTCTACGGTCGTTGGGCGCAATCGAAAGATGCCGCATCCGCTACATAAACTATGGAGGTAGAATACTAGTAAGTTTGTTGTTCAAGATTTACAAAATGATATCCACTCTGTAGTTTGAAAATAACGAAAGCCCCAATACCAAACCCCCTAATACCCTTGTTGAAAAGAAACAAAATATTAAAGCTCGCTACCAGCTCTACGTAGTAGATTGCAATTTAGCTGGACATTTAGTGTGGTTAATAGTTCGTACAGAAGCTGCTGCATTCTGGCATTCTCGCCGGCCAACTAATTAAAGCTTACTAAGCGGCCCCCCTTTGCTCCACGTGAGGGGATTTACCGCCTACCAACTTCGGTTTTTCCATCCCCGCGCGAAAGAATTCTGCCTTCAATTCAAAATTTCCCCTCCAAGAAGGCGAGAAAGAGAAGTGAATTGGATATTTGACTGCGGTCCGTGTGAGGAACGTCTCAAAAATGCCCGGAAAAGAGATATCGAGTACCTGTATGGATTGTGGGGATGCTGAGTCCATATTCACAATCCGTGCCCGTCATCGGTGTCGGTAGGTTTCTTTCTTCGAGAGGTCTCATCCATGCTGGGCGTGTGTAATTGCTAACTCCTAGTTCTTTCTCCTATATAGAGAGTGTTTTATACAATTTGTTGGATATAAGGTTTTTAAACGGACAGAAAAGTATCGTCTAAGAAGAGATTTGCCCAAGACCGGGCCGCTGAGGATGCTTTTGCCACTTTCCTATGGCTTGTCATCGTCGACCCTGCTTCATATGGTGCATGCTCAATTAGAAGAGTCGCTGGCAAAATCACACCCTCCTCCTGGATTTGATCTGCACGTCCTTATTGTCGAGCCTTCGAGTATATACCCTTCGGCTCCTTCGCATGACGAGGCTTTTGATCTCGTTCAACGGTGCTTTCCGCGCGCATCCTTTACGCGACTTGCTTTGCATGATATTTTTAATATTGACCCCGAGCTACGGGATGTATTATCCAAATTCGCCGGCAATAATTTCGCAGACGATACATCCCTATCACACAAAGAACGTCTTGATGCATTCAGAGCGTCAATCACCACCGCTACCTCTCGGGCTGATATCGACTACATCCTATTGAATAGGCTCATAATTGCGTTTGCCAAGAGCATCGAATGCTTTGGAATTTTATGGGGAGACTCCGATGGTAGACTTGCCGCGAAGACCCTTGCGAATGTGGCCAAAGGACGTGGCTCTGCATTGACGTGGCAGGTGTCTGACGGGATGTCTCCGTTCGACCTTGAATTCAATTTTCCTCTCAGGGACCTATTTACCGCGGAATTACAGAATTACTCAAGCCTGTTCCCGGAGCTTTCCAACATTATTATGCCGGATACCCCTCCTTCTGAAAACATTCTGACGAAAAATCTGTCTATTGATGAACTGATGGTTCGTTATGTTACGACGCAGGGTGAGAAGTATCCTGGCGTTATGTCAAATGTGACGAGGACCGCAAACAAGCTTCAGTCGTCCCGAATGCCCACGGATGGGTCCCGCTGTGCCCTCTGCCAAACTTACATTTGCAATTCAGAGGGCAAACCAAATGAAGTCCAAACACCTAATGGTCTTCAGGATGAACCGTTCCGTGACTTTTGCTACGCTTGTATTCGATCTCGCCCTGAACTAAATTAATTGGACAACGTGCACTCTTCCAATCGAACAGAATAAAAAAAGGGGGGTATATCATCGAAAATAGAACATAGATAATTCATTATCAACATCCCCACTTTGGGGCCGTTTGCAATGAATCCTTTCGATAGTTTCACTTTGCGCATCACTTTCGGCCGTGAAAATCATCGATGATTCCTGTCTCTAAATCTCCTTCCTGATGCGTCGGCCTCCGATCACCTCGAGACCGCTTAGCCGCAGGCGGTTTAGCCGGACCCTTGACACTTTGCTTACCGGCGCGATCTCTGTGGCGACGTGGACTATCAGTGACTTCCGAGTCGTACTGATCAAATTCATTTGGGAGGCTTGGATCAACTCTTCTGCCTTGTTGCTGTTCATGGCTTGAAATTGCGCGGGCCCCTTTTTGCCGCAAATATTTTTCAAGAATGATAGCGTTTCGAGTGTTGCATTTGAACATAGCATCTGCAATGTCTCCCACAAATGGCACAAGCCCGATGAAAAAGTCAATGATAATATTCATCATCATTAGCATTCGAAGTCGGCTGGGTAGCCCCCCATCGATGCCTTCACAGGTGTGCAATACCATTAAAGCTAATGCTCCGTCCGCGGCATCACCAATACTAAATACCTATGAGTTAGAGCTGTGTCACTGCTGTTAGAATCTTGACTTACAAAGGAACTATCCCAATCACACTACCCCATCCAAATTTGATACCGCAAAGGTTAAACAATGAATAGTCTAGTCTGTAAGCCCGTCGTTTGACGCGTGTGAGGATTTTGGTATCGTTTTCAGATAGCCCAGGTGGAGCGGCCTTGCGTCTTCTCTGCGTCTTCTTGCCAAACGCGCGATATAGCCGGGATGCAGGGACTTCTTCGAAATAAGGGTCCTATAACACACGAGGTGTGAACATCTGTCCTACCCAGGACAAGCGAGAACCCTAGCCACGGTGCATGAGTAGCTTACCTCCGATCCAAAGTGATTCCTCGCTGACTCTGCGAGAATCTTCTTCCCGACGAAAGCGAATGCGCCCGACATGCTTCCTTAGCCTCGCAGAAGCTGTATTTAGACCAGGATGGCTGTTGAATGGCGGGGGAAATGAATGGCGCGCCAAGTGATTGTATCGAAATCCAGGAAGTAAATTGAAGCTTTTTGGGCTCCTGAGCAAGCTTCCCTTCCGTGAGAGGAGCAACTTGTTGCAAACCAAGCAGTGTATATATATTGAAAATTTTTCTATCTTTGTATGAGGCGGAAATTTAAAACAGGTTATTGGGCGTGGATCCTCTATCCGATAAATATAATCCTATGCTGGACCTTGGAAGGACGTCATATATTCCACGGTTCCCCAGTGCTCCTCCTGTGACATAATCAACAAATCTTGGTTGGTCGATCTTCACTAGCCACATATTGCACAGCCTCGTTAGATGGAAGTTTGCATGCTTGTGGCGCGTATGTTTGCTATGTTTGCTATGTTTGATATCGACTAGTTTACGCCACATTTTGGCCCGATTTGGGCGTCGTGTGGCTCAGCCAGTCCAGCTCAGCAGCTCTTCCATAATCATCTCCCAACTTCGATCGGCGAGATCCTCACAACGAACTGACATTTCCTTTCTTCGTCCATAATCGCGAACCGCATTTCCCAGGAGATTGGCGCCTACTCTACCATTCCCCCCTGCCTTTTCTGTCCTATTACTGTCCGCTTCAGGGTTGGCGCTCGCCAAGCACCTCTCCTGGAAGCTGCATCATTGTTTCCATCTCCCAAGAACCATCTGTTTTTCCCGTTGATCTGAGCGCTACTCGGCCAAAAATAGGCCGTGCTGAAATGCTAAAGTACACCTTACAATATGACCGAAACAAAGATGCAGTTGGAAGATTGTATGTCTCTCTTTGACCTCGTCTCTTCCCATTTCTTGATGTGGTGCCTGCACATGTTGGACACAATAATGGTCATGATGATATTAACTTGCGAACAGGGCTAGATGACTTGTGTGTCCGTTTTATAATAAATTTACCCCGGGAGGAACTGGAATCCGTTGAGCGGATATGTTTTCAAGTGGAGGAGGCGCAATGGTTTTACGAGGATTTTATCCGGCCATTAGACCCGGCCCTCCCCTCTCTATCTCTGAAGGCCTTTGCTCTGCGCATTTTCCAGCATTGTCCACTCATGGCCAACTGGTCCCGCTATCATCATATGACTGCCTTTTCCGAGTTCCTGGCGTACAAAACTCGTGTTCCTGTACGTGGAGCTATAATGCTGAATCAGGAGATGGACGAGGTGGTCTTGGTCAAGGGTTGGAAGAAGGGCTCTAATTGGAGTTTCCCCCGAGGGAAAATCAACAAGGATGAGAAAGATCTTGATTGTGCCATCCGCGAAGTATATGAAGAGACTGGTTATGATATTCGGGAAGCAGGACTCGTCAAGGCCGAAAACGATGTCAAGTTCATTGAAATCACCATGCGTGAGCAGCACATGAGGCTATACGTATTTCGAGGTGTACCACAGGATGCCTATTTTGAGCCTCGCACCCGGAAGGAAATCAGCAAGATTGAGTGGTATAAATTGTCGGACCTGCCGACATTGAAGAAGAGCAAGCAATACGACCAGGGTTTGGCGGCTGCCAACGCCAATAAGTTTTACATGGTCGCACCGTTTATGCACCCACTGAAGAAGTGGATTGCCCAGCAGAAGAAGCTGGATCCAAAGACACATTTGGACGTTAAGCAAGCTCTTTTTACCGAAGGGGAGGTGTCGATGGATGAAGGTCTCCAGCCCGCCTTTACACCTGACTATGTGCCTGTGGAAGCGGCCGTTCCTAGTGATTTGCCTGAAGTGGCTGCATCTCAGGATGCCTCTATTCATCTGAAGCGGCTCTTAAACATCAATAACCCTGCCGTCACGCCAGAACCTACTTCCTCGAAATCAAATGCTCTCCTGGAGCTGTTGAGAAGCGGCTCTTCCCGAGGTTCTCTTCCGCAAACTCCCAATGTTGATCAAGGCCCAAACCAACCCTACTCCGCGCCAGGATTTTTCCCTGGGTTCCCTCAACAGTACGTTGGACCACCAGGAAACATGCCTCAAATCTCACCCCCACATAGTGGTCCCCCTATTTGTGGTCCGGTACACCAACCTGTTCCCCAGTTTCCTCACGGATTTCTACCTGTTAATCAGCCCGGCCCTCCAGTTGGTTATCAAGGGATGCCCGGCTTACTAGATCAACTCTCTACGCAACTGGAGAAAAATGGTCCGTTACCGATGGGAGTTCCCCATCCTCCTCCGTCAATGCCTGCCCCAGCGCCCTACCAGCAAACCGGGGATCCTCAATTTTCTCACTTGGCCCAACCGACCCAGATTCAGGGAGCAGCTGTACCGCCCGCGAGCAAATTGCCACCACCCAAACTTACAAGTCATTCCTTGGCGTTGTTGAGTGTATTCAAGGATGATAAGAAGACACCGAAGACAGCCACTGCAGTCTTAGTGCCGCAGCCTGAGAAGACCATAGTCGAGGGCCGCAAGCCTTCCCAACACCAAGATCAATTGTTGAACTTGCTTCAAGGATCTTCGGCTATGAGCAGCCAACGTCCGGCCGAGTTATCTGGTCATCCGGTCTCACCGGGTAGGAAACAAATTCTTCAGCGACCGAATTTAAACGCGAACACTTCCCAGAAAGCTGGTAAAGGTGCGTGGACTTCGGCAACTGTGTCTGGGCCGCTGAATATGCCCCAATTTGAAGCCATTCCCAAGTCATCTGCTAGGAGGACGGCGAGTGAGTCGAAGCGTCAAACTAGCCGAGACCGGCCGACGCAACCTCTGGCTTCGCCGATCACGATTTTACCTCGACCACAAAGTGCCAAGAGGACGCAACCCCCAACTGCAGTATCGACACAGGCTTCACAGGCGCCCTCGAGACCTCGTTCTGCCAAAGCGAAGTCTCCCGAGCCAGCGAAGCCATTCCAGCCGCAGATATTACGCCGTTCGGACAACGCCAACGTTCAGAGCATTTTACCGATACGAACAAAGGAACCAGAGGCCACTGGGCCGCAGGGCATTCTTCCGCAGGTGCCTGACCACAAAGCAGCGCCAATCGCGCCAACAGCTCCATCCGATTTTCCTCGTCGCCCAAGCCAGACAGCCGCACAAAGAGAGACTCTTCTTTCCCTCTTCAGCAAACAGACTACTTCTCCGAAGGTTTCTCCTACAGAGCCACTTGATCTCCAGACTTCCGCCTCCAAGGCGTCGGCAGCTCCATCTGTTGTTAGCCCACTCTCACCTCTTAGTCACCCCACGAGGAATGGGACATCTAGCGACGATGACAACCGGGCCTCCAACAAGGTTGCATCTCCTGTTAATAAGGCATTTCTTCTCGATTTCTTGCAAGGCGTTGCCAAGGGTAGTAAATAAGTGGTATCAGTGTTTTGGGATTGTTCGAGTGGATGTGCGATTGTTTCTTGGTCTTTGCAGAGTAGCGTATATCATGGCGATACAATTGATCACACCAAGTACAGGATCACCGTTACCTAGTCTTTTCTCATCCTTTCGTTCCCAGCCAACTATCCGTGTTATCCATTTGTAGGTACATACTCCGTACATGCGGAGGATAGCCGATACGTAGGTTGTTAGTTAATGTACCCGAATTATGTCATACATGGATATTATACTGCCGCCTCCTACCGCCTTTCCCTCGATGTCATCAGTGAAGGTCACTTTGATTTGTAAACTTCTCAAGGGGCCCTATCCACACCTGGGGGACAGACTTTGGGAATATGATGCGCCCAAAGCCACCGAGCAGAGCTATATGTGCTCGCTGTCTGATTGGGGGTCGACTTTTCTCGACAACGCGACAGCCGCGGGTTCAGAATACCAGCAATGAAATCTCACAATCTCCACCACAAGCAGGATATGCTCGTCTCACGAATCGGGCTCTAATTTCCATCACGGGGGCCGACAGTACAACGTTCCTCCAGGGTCTCATTACACAGAACATGTTCGTTGCCAATGACCCGAACCGCTCCGTGCGTCGAACCGGATCATATGCCGCTTTCCTTAATTCCCATGGCCGAGTGTTGAACGATGTCTTTATCTACCCGTTGTCTCAATCGGAGGGCGCTTCGCCCGATGAGCCAGCGTGGTTAGTGGAAGTGGATAAGAACGAGGTGGCAAGTCTCATGAAGCATTTGAAGAAGCATAAACTTCGATCTAAGCTTCAACTACGGGCGCTGGAGGATGGTGAACGAACTGTCTGGGCGTCGTGGAAACCCCATGCCGAACCGCGCTGGGCAGCGTATAATCTGGAGTCTCCACCTGCTGCCCCGTTTTTGCCTTCCTCGGAGTTAGTAGTTGGCTGCGTTGATAGCCGGGCACCGGGCTTTGGATCTCGTCTAGTCACCCCCGGCACGGAGGATCTCCGGACACACGTCCCTGACGAGACGCAGGTGGCGGGCTCGGAGGTAGACCTGGCTGCCTATACCGTGCGGCGAATGCTGCATGGTGTGGCAGAGGGGCAGTCTGAAATTCTTCGTGAGGGGTCACTTCCGTTGGAGTGTAATATGGACATGACTCGAGGCGTTGACTTCCGCAAGGGCTGTTATATTGGACAGGAGCTTACCATTCGAACTCACCATACGGGTGTTGTGCGAAAGCGGATACTGCCAGTTCAATTCTATGACGGTGACTTGAGCACTCTTGCTTCCGCGGATGGCCCGGTGTATGACCCCTCCTCCTCTGCGCTCTCTTTACCTCCGTCGGGATCGAGTATCTCCAAGGCTGGCCCTCGCAAGGGCCGCAGCGCCGGGAAGTTTCTCGGGGGCATTGGAAATGTTGGACTTGCACTGTGCCGCTTGGAGATGATGACTGACATTGCGCTTACGGGTGAGGGGAGTCAATATAGCCCTGATCAGGAATTTAAGATTACGTGGGCTAGGACAGAAGGGATGCCAGATACGGAAGCCGGGGAGGTGAAGGTCAAGGCTATTGTGCCGCCCTGGACCAGGGAATTTATTCTATCTGGCGGTGTCAAGAACAACAACCACAACAACAACCGGGATACCGACGGTCATCGGGCAAGGGATTTGCTGGAGGAAGAGGAAGCCCACCGACGAAATGAATAAATGGCTTTTTTTGTAATGTAGTTCACCAAGCCACCATACAGTTTGTATAAATAGAGTTGTACATTAATATAAACGCTTTGTAACAATCTTGTGTGCTACAGTGAGTAGTCTATCTGGGCCGGAAGTAAAGCGCACGAGCACTTAGATATATATATATATATATATATATATAGCTGGTGCATATCCCAGTAGTAACGACCAATTATGGGGCTAAACATCTGCAACGCCCGTGTGACGCTTTTCGGCGTACTGTACAAGGCCCCAGGCTAGGGAGGACAAACAGGACAAGCTTATTAATCTAGAAAGTGGTAGTTAGTTAGTTAACTAACTAAACTAACTATTTATTAATTCTAATATCTCTCTATGGTACTAGAAATAGTAGAGCCTAGGCGCTACCTAATCTTTGGGGCATCTCCAGGCACCAGGCTAGGTACCTATGTACTATATATTTCCTCCTTGGGAATAATCAATCTGGTCGATGAATCTATTTCTTTCCGAGCCCCCCTCCCCTTCTTCATGATTGTCTTGATCAGCAATACTTGAATCATTAAACGGCTACCCACCTATCGATTGCGTATTTAGAGGGGAAAAAAAAAAAAGAGAAGCTCAGCCCCCAATGACACAATCCAACCAAGCGGTGGTGAATCCCCGCGTTCCTATCTGGCGCTCGATTCTCCAAAACGATACCAAGAGCTGGGTCCTATTTGAACACGGGACTTGCGTGATTCTCATGGAGCCCGAGAGTGACTTGGCCGCGCAGGCCAGCGAAATCCTTTCGACCTGGGGCCCTGTTTGCGCTGGTACCCCCGCCGGGGACTTTAACGTCATCGACCTGGCCGAGCCTTGTACTGGGTGGGTGGTTACGGGACACCATCCTGATGTGCTCAACTATGTCTCTCCGCAAGATGTGACCGAGTCCTCCATTCTGTCTGATATGCAAATAGGGTTGTTGGGTAGAGGGTATCGGGACGAGGATGCAAATTCGTTGAACGTTGTTCATGTGGAGGACAACCGTGTTAAGAACTAGGAATGGCCAGCCTGGACGCTAGAGAACTATGCTCTATCTGTCATTTCGGGATTGGTGCTCGGGAATCGGGCGATCCTGCATCGCATCACAACGATGTGTTGAGTTGGAACTTTGATGTACTTTCCATACATATAGTGTACAAAAGTGTATGAATCCCAAACCAATGTATGAAAAGAAAATACAAAAATTTAAACAAGCTATGCATGGGTATCTTCTCGAGCAAAAAGGATCCGTGTAAAACTGGGTAGAATCTCCCCACTCCCTGTAGGTATAGAGAGAGAGAGAGAGAGAGAGAGAGAGCATAGGGAGATCTCAACCTTTCGTGGTAGCAGCCTCAGCCACATCCGCAGCTTCATCTTCTTTCCGAAGCTGTTCCTCCAGAGCTTTGCGCTCCTTTTCCCGCTGCGCACTTTTAAGGCGCATGAACGTCATTTCTTGCAGGCTTGGAGTTTTAGCCCCATTCGTTGAGTCATCTGGAGGACCGGGTTTCGATGCGCCTCCTGTTGCTGCAGACGAGAAAGACCCGAAAGATGGTGCCTTTCCTGGCTGCCCCCCAGCAGCTCCCGCAGACTTTAGCCCGGAGAAACTGAATGTAGGTTTGGGGGTGGACTTTGGCGCACTGTCTTCTTTCGTCGAGGGAGGAGCCCCTGCTGCTTGGCCTGGGGAGGGAGAACCAGAACGACTGTCGACTCCTGCGCCTAGGTCAGGCTGGTTCCCCAGCGCCCAGAAAACCGAGTCAATCGCGTTCCAGTCATTGTCTGTCTGTCCAATGCTTGCACGTCTAATTTTCTCGCTGTCTAGAACAGCAGCATGCGCGCTGACAATAGAGGCGAAAACCACCACACCCGACGCAACAGTAGTCTTCTCCTTCTTCTCTCCAAGACGCTGTCGCCTATCTTTGAGCACAAGCACATTATCAATCTTTCCGAACGGCGCGAATAACGAGATTAAGCGATCCTTGTCTATGTTCAGGCCACGTCCCTCTCGAATCCAGCGCACCTTCACAGCTCGTTCCTGCTCGGGGATATTCGTACCACCTTCGTGAGCGCGATCAACCCGCTGACTACTCCTATCCGCTGCCCGCTGGGCCGCCTCTTCTTCCTCGCGTAACCTTTTCTCGTCCTCCACAATCTCCTGTTTTAACCGATCCTCCGCCTCTCGTCGCCGCCGTCGCCCATCCTCTGCAATCCTCTCAATCTCCCTCTGTAGCTTTTCCTCCGCGTCGTCATCGTAGCCGCCTGCCATCCCCGCAGCTGCCCACGATCGCTTCATCCCCCTTTGCGCACCGCCCGCAGCGCCCGCCCGCTCTCTGGCTTCCAAATCCTCTCTCATTTTCCTCTTCGCCGCGTCCATCATATCCCGTTCCCGTTTCTTGCGCTCGCGCGCCTCGCGCGCATTATCGTAGAGCTGGCGCACCGCCGGGTCGGAGAGCACATCGTTGGCGATCTGGAGAAGGTGGAACTTGTCGATGTCCTCCTGGGTAGGGTTTGTGATCTTATCCGGATGGTATTTGAGGGCTGTTCGACGATAGGCTCGGCGGATTTCAGCTTCAGAGGCAGCGGGCGATATATCGAGAAGCGCGTAGAAGTCATGGTTGGAGGCTGCGTGGGTTTTGAGGTCGTCGTCGGACGGCATGGTGGAGGTAATTTCTGCTTCCTCAGCAGATGATGATGACAGACGATAGATCGAGAGCTTTGCTGAGAGTAAAATAAGAAGACAGAGAAGAGAGTGTACACTTTTAAAAAGAGGGGGGAGACAAATCCCTCGACACTGACTTGGTGGAATATTGTTGATGTCGAGTGTCGAACCTCACTGGGCCTTGGGACAGGACCGGTGAATTCCCTGTTATGGTTAGTTTTCCCGTTTCCCGATGAGCCTTTTGATATGTATGCGGGCTTTTTGAATGTATACATTGACTGTTTTTGATCAGATTATATTGCGACCACGGTTCAATCCATATTGTACACCAGGAAGATAACGAGGGTTCATCAAGTAATACTGAAGCTGAATTGGCTTCAAATAAAATTCCATGTCTTCTGTCCTATGTATAGCAGGCACGTGGTCCTTGATGTTCATTTCTCATTTCTCATTATTTCCCTTAGTTCTCTCCATTCAATAACCCATCAAATAGCGCATCAAAAAGAAATCCAATTGATCATGGATATGAATCAATCATCAATTAATCCAATCTCCTCCCTACCTGCTGAACAATTAGCTCTTGCACTGGCAATTGTCAAACTGAAGCCAGTGAGATTGAGTGTCAAAGGTAAACAAGTTTCTCATCTTTATGGAAGGGTATACTTATCCAGTGACTATTACCAGAGTACATCTTACAAACCAGAGAGCATATCAAGAAATCCAAGGACGCAGAAATATTCTTCTCCCCTGATAGATTCTTCGACAGTGTTGCATTCTGGAAAGACGCATACGAGAAATCAGAGGCCGAGCAGAGCAAATTGCTAGATCGCATTTACGAACTCGAGCAGAAAAACAACACACTTTCAGCAAAAGTGCAGTCTGCAGATGCAGCATCGGATTTGAACCATCAGCAAGGACTTAAGCGTAGGGCTACAAAGGCTCTAGTTGGGAACTCGACTGCACGGAAGAAGACAAAGACACAGGGAAACTCTGCGTTGAATTGTAACATTCAAGCTACCCAGGATGATGCTCTAAGTCATCCCGAGAATTTCAGAGATGGTTTGTTGATTCTGAAACGCATCAAGGCTGTCTGGTTGTCTCTTCTTTACTGACTGATTTGCTCCCGACACAGCAGCAGCAGCAGCAGCCACTGGCCCTTTTATGAGACAGTTTTATACGTTACAGAAAGTGTTGCAGAAACGACCGAGTCATGCGAGTATTACCCAAGCCGCAATTACGCTGGCCACGACTTCGGCAGATGAAGCTCTGAAAGCGCTTCCACAGGCAGGATCAATTTCTAGCAAAGGAAGGCCCAGAAAAGAGAGTTTGACGTCCACTGAGCTGTCGCATCTGATATCCGTTGTCCGCAGCGTCGAGTGTGCCGTCAATCTTCTCCTTCAAGCACTAAAGAAGCTGTCTGCTACTGGCAATGTCGTGCGAGATGTTAACCTGATCATCTACCACCTTGTTTCCTTGTATGAGACCGTCATGAATGTCTTGAAACAGTACTGTAGAATAGCTTGCGAGCGGGTAGCAGCAAAGACCAAGGAGAAACCGAAGAAGTCCTCTAAATCGAAGAAGACGGCGAAACCAAAGACAGCTGACAGCAACGTGGGGGCAGATTGTCGAACCCAGCCTGATGATCAAGGGGCTGTACAGCTGGCCCATTTGTTAAATAATATGATAGCGTGGATTGACCTGACATGCTCAGCACATAAAAGCCTCCTGGAAGGGTTCCTATACGTCTTACTAAGTCGTGTTGGAAACTTACTCGGCTTGTTTGTCTTCCAAGACCTACAGCTACGGCCAGATCTTCGAACAGACTCGACCAAGCTCCCACTCCCTGCCAGTCTGGCGGACGTTGAGACCGACGAAATGTCTTTGCGTGCCGTACAGATGGAAGCAAGATATCTCATATGGGTTCTTGAGAAAGCCTTGACGCCTCTCAATACATTTACGTCCTTTTTAGAGACTTCGGCAGCTGGAAATCAGTCGAGCAACACGCAATTCTTGTCTGGGATTAAGGCAAAGCTACAAAGCACTCTTGTTCATGCAGTGTTTGGTTCAGATGTGGACTTGGGTAGTCCTTTGCAGCGACCTACCCAGCCGAACGAAGACGACTTGGAGAGACTGCGCCTACGTAGCCAAATTCCGCAGCAGCAGGTTCCAGACTGGTTCATGCAAGAGGTCTGGCGACTTCTCGGTTGGGAAGTGTTAATGAAGAGCTCCTTTCGCTATGGATAAGGGGGTGACCGTGAACACATAGTTAATAGTTTGAGGAGTATAGTAATCTAAGCGAATCGTTTTTCATTTCAAGTTCAGAATGCGAGCAGCATTCCGGCCTAGAACATCTGCCACGGCTTCAGCTTCTGTATCGAATGCGGCGTGGATTGCTTTGTAGTTGGTTGTGACACTTGGCCAATCCTTTTCTTCTTCGCTCAACGGGGGGAAGAAAGGATGATCGGTGCCTATACCTCGATTAGTTCGTTGGATTCTGCCATTTCAGAAAGCACAAGCTTACCAAAAAGAAGACGATCTGAACCCGAGGCCGTGACGGCAGCCTTCAAACCAGCCTTGCCATACACAACGGCATCCAGATAGATGTTCTCCTTTAGCACCTCCCATATACTCCTCTGCGGACCAGGGACATCACCGCCCCCCGAGATGAATTTCCGCTCATGGAGAATACAACTTTCAATGCGGCCCGCGAGGAAAGGAAGAGTCCCACCGGAATGAGCCAGGAGAACCTTCAGTTTAGGAAAGCGATCAAACACCCCCGAGAGAAGCATCCTCGTCACCGCAATGGTCGTTTCGAGAGGGAACCCCAGCGCCAAGGGCAGCACATGTCCATAGCGATTCGTCACTCCAGGCGCCCCGAAAGCCTCATCGGGCAGACCATAGTGTGGATGCAGAAACATCAACGAATCCGTCTCCTGCAGCGCCTCCCAAACGGGGTCCAGCCGGGCATCATCCAGCCCCTTGCCCAAGCCCGAGGTCCCCATGATCACTCCGCGTAGATGCGGCAAGGTCTTGAGTCGTCTGATCTCATTCACGACAACATCCGCGGGGGCGCTTAGCGGGAGCGCCCCCATGGCGAACAGCGTCTCTTTCTGGTCGAGTGCGAGCTTGTTCTCGGGATCTGCGGCCTGATTGACGCGCGCGCAGGTGGCGTCTAGATCGTCGTTGATCTTCCCGGCCCAGGTTTGGGCCTCTTGGGGCTCCACAAAATCCAGCCAGGGGTTTGCGAGCGAGATTACGCTGCAGTTGATCCCGTGCTGGCGCATGAAAGATAGCTTGACGTCGATATTCCAGTAGGAGGCGTCAACGGGGCGACCGCGCTGATCGAGGGGAATGGAGGGATCATTGTCGGACGAGAGGATGATCAGGCGGGGGACTTCATCTTTGTTGGCTGGGTCATGGACGTAGGGGACAGCTTTGCGTTCCCTCAGCATCTGCATGTATGCTGGAGGGTAAACATGAGTGTGAACATCGACGATGAGGGGAGGCATGTTGTTGAATTCAGGCCCAACTGTTCAGAATAGATACTGTACATATGAGGGAGGGGTGAGAGTAAGAATAGAAACAACCAACATCAAAGTGTCGTTGAACTGCGGGGGTTCTTTTAACTATCATATTGATTATCTATCATATGTATATGTAGTTGATAACTTATCTCATTCTATCCTTCTCACTGCAGTCTCTCTTTCTGTTTATTCTTCACGGTTGGACACTAGTAATAAACCATATACTGACTTAAGTCCTGGTGATTCATTATTGCCTCCGCCACTTCAACTTCATCCTCTTTATCTTTCTCTCTCCTTTTCTCTCTCTCTCTATCCGTCTATCGCAACCACCCCGGATTCGATTCTCCCATCTCTTTTATTCCTCCCCTATTCTCTCTCTCTCTCTCTCTCTCTCTCTTCATCCTCCATTTTACATCCTAAATTTACGTTAGAGTATCCTCATCTAAAACCGACCGATCGCCCCGCCATGGAAGGGAATTTGCCCCTCCAGGCGTGCCATCCCGCATCTGATGCTGTTTCCCAAGATGGCCTCGTCATTCCTGTGAGTAGTATTCACCCTTCCTGGATTCTGTCTACTTAGCATTTCAATATTGAGAGAAGAGCCGAGACGAGCTGGAATTAGCTGATATCAATCCAATTCCTGGCCTAGATCATCGACTTTGCTCCCTTCCTCAATGGCACCCCCGCTGATAAGCATGCCGTCGCCATGTCTATTATTAACGCCTTTAAAACCTCCGGGTTCTTTTATTTGAAAGAGCACGGTATCCCTCCCTCTGTACTTAGCCAAGTTTTTAAATCCTCGGCGCGTTTCTTCGCCAGGCCGCAAGAAGAGAAAGATTCCCTGGGCTGGACGACCCCGCAGGCGAACCGTGGGTACGTGAAGAGGGGCCGCGAGAAACTCAACACTGTAGATGAAGTCGCCGACAGGGAAACCCAACGAGCCATCCCGGACATCAAGGAGACCATGGAGATTGGCCGGGAGGGGGTCGACGGCCTCCCCAACCGCTGGCCCGACCACCTCGATGATGAGGGGAAGGACTTCAAGGAGCGGATGCTATCCTTCTTTGATAAGTGCAAGTCGCTACATGTCCAGGTGATGCAGGCAATTGCTTTAGGTATGAGCTTGCCCGTGCATTTTTTCGATGAGTATGTGGACCGGGGAGACAACAATCTCCGTCTTCTGCACTATCCAGCTGTTCATAAGGATGTGTTTAAGATGAACCCCGGCCAGGTCCGTGCGGCTGAGCATAGTGATTATGGTTCTATTACTTTGCTCTTCCAGGACAGTCGCGGGGGGCTCCAAGCTCGCAGTCCGCAGGGTACTTTTGTTGATGTGATCCCGTTCCCGGATACAGCGGTGGTTAATGCAGGCGATCTCCTGGCTCGGTGGTCGAATGACATTATCAAGAGTACGCGACATCGAGTTATTGAGCCGCCAAAGGTACATGGAGAGGATGATACCTCTGACACCTATGCAGAGCGCTACAGTATTGCGTACTTTTGCAATCCTAACATGGACAAGTTTATCGAAGCCATTCCTGGCACATACGGGGAAGACATCAGCACAGCCAAGTACCCCGGCATCACTGCCGGAGATTATTTGGTGAAGCGACTTGCTTCAACCTATTAGATGCGTGTTCATGCCTTTTTTCTCTCTCTCTGATCTGACTATACCAATGGTGTCTAGTGACATTTCCGTTTTTACCAAGCGTTCCTGCAGCGTTTGTTGTACGTTTTAACCAAGTCTTGACACCCGCAAATACCACAGTCTCAATAATTGAACTCTGCATAATATGATAGTATCTATCTATAGGGTTAACCCCTCCTCTACCCCTCTCAAGAGACTCCTTAAATGCACAGATGAATCTAATAAGCAGACGGCGCTACACCCAGTCTTCCCCCATCAAGAACCGTAATATTCCCATTGAGATACCCTCCAGACGCCCCCGCCATCCAAAGCAGCAACCCCGCAATATCTTCCTCCCCACCAGCCCGCGTAATGGGAATCTGCTGCGGCGGGAACGACCCGTCCGAGACCGCGCACTCCCCCGGGGAAAAGTCATTCGACGACAACTCCGAATAGAATAGCCCCGGCGCAATGCCATTCACCCGGATCAGGTACGGAGCCAGAGCAGTAGCCAGCACCTTCACCAGATGATTCGCGGCAGCCTTGGACAGGCTATACGCAAAGCTCAGGGGGACGCGCCTCATGAAGCCCGCAATGGAGGAAACAACCACCACCTGCGCCACGGGGGTCGCGAGACGATTGTGCTCTGGTCGCGCGCGTCGCTTGTTGGCTGCGTCCAGCAGCGTCAGAAACGCAATCACCGTGTAATACGCTCCGGATGCGTTGACTTCGAAGACGCGCGAGAAGTCCGCCATGGGCACGGACCACAGCGCATCCCGCACGGCTGAGATACTGGGCTTGGGTCCGTCGGGGTTGTTGTTGTTGTTGTTGTTGTTGTTGTTGTTGTTGTCGCCTGGTATGCGGGCCAGAGGGCCCAGAGTGCCGCTGTTCACGACGGCCGATGATGAAGACTTTGGAGGCCCCGTTTGTGGCTAGGGAGAGGGCCATGGTGCGACCCAGGCCTGGTGAATGTTATTTACATATATATAGAATCTGGTAGGGTATTTTCTGACACTAGGTACAACAAGACTAGGTGTGTCTGTGTATAGGTTGTAGGACGGACAGCTTACCACTTCCGCCTCCGGTTACGACTGCAACGAGGCCCTTGATGTCGAAGAGATTTGAATTCTGGAGGTGAGACATCTTGAGGTCTTTTAGTGAAAAGAAAATGATTGAACGTAATGACTATTTGCAACCTGAGGCGTTTGGAGCGTTTTATATTCGTCTCCGTGGGGGTATATTCGCACCATGACCCGCTATTGGAGAGTAGCTAGAGAGAGATACCTAGGTATACGGAGTATACGGAGTAGATACCGGAAGTATGTGCGATGGACGGACCAGTCATTTCACTGGTTTGTATATGAGGTCTCTCGATGTACCTAGGTAGTAGCCGAGGTGTATACAACACTTCGGGATAGCTCTAATCTGAACAAAACCATTAATCAGTTCGGATAATAAATAATGGCAATAGACGGGTAGAAAAGGAGTGGGGAAATAAATCAATCAGATTATCTGTGCATACTCTGTACAATATTGGTGGGAGACACTGTACTCTGTAGGTATATACACATGTATAACCCCCCGCTTATACGGAGTGGAGTACATTGGCTTGACCCTTTTCCGCGTGTCCAAAAATAACTTTTTTTTTTTTTCATCACAGCTAACCAACCAACAACACTACTATCCCCTATCCTCTGTCTATCCTAATCAGAAGCTTTCGCTGTCATCCTAGAAACCATCGAGGAATGGATCCCCCACGGAATCGAAAACAGAGACGCGCTGCCGCTGCTTCTGCCTCCAACGCCGACACGTCGTTCGATCCCTCATCCATCCCCCTAGCTCGACCTCCACAGAATAACCCAGCGAACCACCAGGTGAATGGGAAAAAATTAGTGGATCTGATCTCGGAAAGACAAAATGAACTTTTGCACGGAGGAAAAGTATCCGGGGGTGTCCCTGAGTCGAAGAAGGCTATCGAGACGAGATTCGTGACTGTCGATCCAGTGACGGGCGATATCTCTCCTGTCGATGCGTCAGACATTGCAGGCATGAAGAAAACACAGCAGGGCTCTTCGGAGAACATGCCTTGGAACGAGAAACCGCGACCAGAGGACCACGAAGACGAAGTCGATGCCGATGCTGATACCGAACCCCCTATCCCGCCGTTTCTCGACACGTTGTTGCTCTCAATACCCCTGACGGTTCTGCATCTCACCCTGGCCTATCTGGCAGCCCATCAGTATGCACAAAATATCGAAATGGATGTTCTCTTGTGGGAATCCGGATTGGTCACCTTTCCGATGCTGACTTTGCTCATACACCTTGCTCATGGCCATATCATCTCTTTCAATCGGGGACAGAAGAAAACCCCGGAAATCATCTCGTTCTTCCCGTGGCACTCGGACAAACTGTCGATGGCCTTCTTCAGAAAGCTCCTTTTCCCTCCGTCCTTGCGAACAACGATCTTCTTGCCAGCGGCGATTTTTCTCGGGGCCCGACTCATGGAAATGACGAATGAAGATACATACTATGCTGTCATGAAGCGTGCACCTGCAATCGGCACGCTGTGGGTATGGTGTATTCTAGAGATCCCGGTGGGAGCAGCTACTCTAGGGGCATTGGGACCGATGATTTGGGGCGTCTGGTGGAGAGGATACGGCATTCTCTGAGCGTCAACCCGCCAGAAAAACCGAAACATGACGTGACTACAATTCCTACGCTACAAATGGCCGGGGTACAAGCTAATGTTGAGGGCTTGGGTCGCGAGAGAACGTTCTCGGTCAATCCGTGGCTAGACCTAATCAATGGCTCTATTTTGCGATGATCAACTCCGGCATAATCACCACGTCACTTACAGGGAGGGATACAGACGCCACGCCCACCCTCAAGTGAGCGGCCTGTACTCTATGCGACCGCTACAAGACGCCAACACAACAGGAAACATCATGAGTCAGTGATGACGGGCACAGTTCACGCATAGAGCTAGGGAGAAAGTTAAGGATCTACATGCGCACACGAAGATATTGTCTTCACACCGTCACGTCTCGCCCTATCCCACGCTCGGCTCTATTTCCAGAACAAGTTACACGTCAGAGTGGAGGGGAAAGCGTCGGAGGGATTTAAACTAAGGCCGCTCTAGACAGTGACCCGACGGGAGGGACGGACGTGAGCAGTACGAGAATTAAGATTTGGGGATATACAGTAGTGGGACGGAATCCTTCCCTCGGTTTCCAGATATCCTACAGTTGCCGAAGGGGATTCGGGAATTTATCTTTGCTTGTGATCAGGCCGGAAAAAGGCATTGATGCCTGGCAAAGTTGACGACGCCCGGTACGACTAGACAGCCGTTGCAAGACTAATGCCTGCCTGGGCCATGCATTGTGCAGACCAGGAAATCCATTGTCATCATGCGCGGCCCCAAAAAAAAAAAAAAAAAAAAAAAAAAATGCAATCCCGACAATCCCTCAATGGCTCGAAGCTGCAGCATGGGTTGCATCCGCAGCCCGTTTGCCCGTTGGGATGGGGAGGAGTGTGGCCAGATTAGTGAATCCTTTCTTTCGGTTGCGACACGTTCTTGCGCATGTCTCTCAGCCTACTTCTCTTCTCTCCCCCCCCCCCCCCCCCCCACCTGGGCGACCTGGACCCACGATTCGACCAGGGTTGAATCCTTGAAAGGGCCCCAGAAACGGGTAAATGACAGCTGGTGAAGTAGAACATTCCTGAAGGGGCAAGTTTTAGGGTTGTGGTGTTAGCATTCCTTCCAAGATACAGTAGAGTTAAACTAGTATTCCAACGGTGAAATTCACAGCACAAAATAATAGTAATCAAACAATAATAACTAACTAGTTAATAATACCTAGTTTAATAATACAGAAATTGGGTTGTTGGGCGTAGAAAACAATCCGAATCCAACAGAGGAGAGTAGATGAATCTAACTAACTAACTAACTAGTTACATAGTTACATAGGTATAAAGTAAGACAAGACAAGACAAGATAATAGTATACTGCAGAGTAGAAGCTGGGTTGCTGCGCCATGCTTAGCCATGCTGTACTGAATAACAGCTCCTTTGGACTGTACTATAAGTATAGAGTAAGTAACATGCACAAAAATGAGATGAATAGTCTTGACTAGTGCAGGAACTATTCTTTTTTTTTCTTTTCTTTGTCTGTTACAGTATGATATGATGTATTTATTATGTATTCATTTTCAAGTAAACCAAGTGGAAAAATGGAAATCCTCTAGCTCTTACAGCAGTACGCGAATGCCTAAACCGAAATCCGCCCCTGATGCATAATCCCAACCGTCTGTAAACTCGCGCCCTTGAACCTCGCAAGCAACGAACTCACAATCTCCCGGTATGTATTCATCTGCGTAAGCTTGAACCGCTGGATCTTCCCACTCGCCGTACGCGGGATCTCCTCCACAAAGATAACCCCCCCGTCGAGAGCCTTGTAGCTGGCCAGTTGCCCGCGGCAGAACAGGTATATTTCCTCCGCCGTGATGCAGGTTCCTGAGATTCCTTTGGCCCGCACCACAAATGCACGGGGCACTTCGGTGCTTCCGTCTTTAGAGATGACGCCAGTTACAGCGGCGTCTTCAATTCCTGGATGTTTGAGCAGAACGGATTCGAGTTCGGCCGGAGCGACTTGCCATCTAAACGAAAGGAATTAGTTGTGGCGATAATACAGAGGGGGGGGGGGGGGAAGTGAGACATACCCTCGAACTTTGATAAGTTCCTTCGTTCGTCCAACAATATAGTAAAGACCATGGTTGACATAAGCCACATCCCCAGTGCGGAACCACCCTTGTGCATCCTTGGCATCATTTCTTCCCCGGTAGCCAATGAGCAACCCGGCGCCACGTACATATAGTTCCCCGGGCTTGTTCTCGTCTACTACTAGATTGCCATCCTGTCCAACTAGCCGCACTTCATATCCCGGCAACAGGCTCCCAATACTTCCGGCATTCCCCTGCTGCCCGTATCGGTTCTGGAAAACCACCCCAACCTCTGTCATTCCCCAGAGTTGCGACGCATACGCGTCCAAATGGAGCAGCTCGCGGAACTGCTGCATCGAAGCGCCGTCCACGGGTGCGCCCGCGACCCCGACGTACCGCAGCGACGACAAGTAATCTGTCACCGGTAAGGTACAGCGGTTGAAGGTATGGATCATGGCGGGGACCATGTAGGTTTCGGTGATTTGGTACTGATACACCGCTGTGACAAACTGGGTGATTTCGAACCGGGGCAAGACAAAGAGCGGCTGTCCGTAGCGGATCGGGAAAATGTGCGTCCACAGCGCGCCAAAAAGATGGAACATAGGCAGCGAGATAAGCCGGCTCGCTGCGTACGGCACATCGTAGTTGATCGTGAGGTGCTGTGAGACGATTGCGTGGTGCGACAGCAGTGCTGCTTTTGGTAGCCCACCAGTGCCACTAGTGGAAAACATGGCTGCTGGCGTGGATTTGGCAATCTGCTCATCGTTGAAGGTGATCCAGTCATTCTCACCGTACCCAAGAAAGTTGGCAAAGTTCAGATAGCTCTCGTCTCCAGTGTCCGAAAAGTACGGCACGTCAGCGGCGCCAGACTCGAAAAGGTGCGCAATATGATCTGTCGCCATCTCGTCCAGGAGACAAACTTGGCTCGGGAGCATTCCTTTGTTGACGGAGACATTGAGGACAGTCGATAGCGCTTCGCGAGTAGTGATGATCAGTTTTGGTTCGGCCAATTGAAGGATATGTTCCAATTCCTGAGGCTGACTCCGAGCATTCGATCCCATAAACACGCCCCCTGCTCCGATGACACTAAAAAACAGTGCGGGGTATATGATCTACATTTGTGATTGAGTTAGCAAACACTAGAAGAGGAAAAAGGGTTGCTCGTGAGGTAAAAGAGATAAAGAAAAGAAAAAAGAAAAGAAAATTCCCAACAAAAATTGAACAAGCATATCCTGGCTAAAAATAATACATATAAAAGTAGGTTTCGGCCCAAGGCCGAGGGTACAACAATCGACCAGTAGGAAGGACAGGATGGAAGAGTATAAACTCAACTTACATTGTTCCCCAAATGAACCAGTACACAATCTCCCCGCTGCACATGATGAGCCTTCAAACCGGCGATAAGCGTTCGCACAAGGATCCTGAATTGTCGAGCATTGAAAGAACGCGAGGGGTCTTCTGCATCAATGAACAACGGTTGTTGTTCGTCGTAGGCTACTGGACCACGGAAACAAAAGCTCAATAAGTCGGTGCATACTCCGTCACTGATCTGGGGACGCGCCAAGGATGACTCCCAGAGACCCATTATGACTGTTTAGCCAGAAGAAAGTGATAGTCCGAGATTGCGTGGGAACAGACGACGAGGGCGATCCTAGGGTTAGAGGGACGAGGGTGAGGGTGAAGGTGAGGGTGAGAGTATACAGAGTACCGGAGTATAAGAGGATTTGGGGACAATCAAAAAGCTGGTCCCGATTAAAAGGGATGCCCGGAGTCATAAATATCCTGCGCGCATACTGCAGTTTTAGAAATTATTTGTAAAGACAGGGGAGCGACCCCTCCCCGGCTCTCTTTCCTAGTCAGATAGCAATAGTTCCAGTTTGTTTGGAAGACAGTAGGGGGTTGTTTGGATATTTGGAATTTGGAATAACGCTTTAGGCAGTGGCGCAGGGCCCGCGATACATCGTTCTCACCCACCAAGTCGCCGCTAAGATTGGGTTGCGGATCCTCAAGACGCTTGCGCCTACTCTGCCGAACGATAGGAGCCCAGCCCGAGCTCTTTGGGTTCAGATCGAAATCAGTGGGTCGCCTACAACAATGCCAAAAACCCTCAAGGATTGGCGACGAACATGTTCTCGACAGGCTCTCGAACTCAACCCAATATTGGGAATTTCGCCAGCCCACAGCAAGTCCAGTTTCTACTGAGGCTTCGAGTCCTTTCTCATTGGTTCGCGTATGATATCCCCAAACTGCCCCTGTCCACTCCTCCAGCTTTCCGGGACAAGCTGGCTGAGGGTTGACCATCCGCCTGGATGTCCCGGAAGCGCATTTTGGGAACGGGACGGGACGAATAAGCAGCACTGGCCGCTGCACTGATGCTGTTTCTTTCATTCCTTCCTTCTTCGGGGAAGGTGGTGAGGGCACTAACCTTGGAAAAGTTGGAGACGGTATGTTTCTTTGTGTCGTAATTCATTTCATGCTCCCTGGCCTTTTTCTTTATTTCAACACCGAGAGAGAAAGGTCTCCTCCACCTTCCCATCTCCGGGGGAACTGCATGCCATGCCATGACCCCAGCAAAGATGTGTGGCTGGCCTATGAACTCGTCAGAGTCACACCTTTGCGAGGCTATTATCTGCTTAGAAGACGCCTATGTGCTTCTGAGTACCCCGCTCACTAAAACTGGGAAGCAGACAGCGGGTAACAATGGCATTGATCCGCACTGATTTATTGGTAGGTGGCATCGACGCCATGCATCTGGCACCCACCACACTACGGAGTAGTTTATGGAGAATGGCGGTCTCGCCAGACCTCCCAGGCTCAGGCGACCCAAGACTACCACCCGCGGGACCTCTTTCTCTGCCACTAGTAGTCCCAGGAATCAATCTTTTCCCAGGCAAAAAAAAAAAAAAAAAGCAAGAATGCTGTAGGCTCTCCGACAGAGCCCATGGGACTGTGCCGCAGGCAGCGCCTATCGATCCAAGTGATTTTTTTTTACCTTCTTCTTTGTGTATTCCTGAATAGTCCACGCCTTCCAGAGTAGGTTCTGGTGATTGACCACCTATCCATCTTCTTTCAATTTCTGGCCATGAATCTGGTGGGGCATGATGCGAACGAACGTCTTTGGCAACCACCTTGATTCCCTCGTGTCTTTTCCCTTTGTCAATGTCGATCACAAGTCTCCAGCTGGCTGAGTTGCACCGACCGGTCGAAAGGGAAACACTAGGGCTTGTTGTTTCTCTCTCGTCAGTTCGATTCAGCCAGCATCTTCATTGCCAAAAATCAAACCACTGAGCGGGTCGGTTTCTCTTCCCCTCTCCTAGTCCCCATCGATTGGTTCTTCTGTATCCGGTATTTGGAGGGCGAGGAGCTGAAGCAAGGGAGCATTAGAATGTGTGGACAGCTCATTGGAGATTGTAACTGAGGATTTAGTTTAACAAACTAGGTTTTGTAGGATCGTGCCATCCGGGTAGAACCTGCTGAGGGCGGCGGAGAAGAAAAAAGAACAATAATTAGTTAGTTAATTAATATTATAATCATATGAGGAAAAGAAAAAGAAAAAAATAAATAAATAAATCTTTTTTTTTTGCCAAAATAAACGAAAGGTTAGAGATAAGCATGGGTGCCATCGTGTATACTTATCCAGTGCTAGAGGCTGTCGAACTTGGCCCTAGAACACGGCTCAAAAGGCCAGATGCAGGTCAACATTCTGGGAATTTTCTCACCTAGGCCAATAGTGTCATGCGTGGACACTCAAAAGACGCATGTATCCTTCGGTGGTAGACGCACTTTCCTGGCGGACCCAAAGTCTTTTCTTCCAATGTGTGACTTCCTAGTACATGTCAATTTCGTTATAGTTATACCTCACCATCGTACCTCGTACCCTTGATCACTTACATTGCTTGGGAACCTGTCACTATACCTGTGGACATACCCTTTCACTGTTATCCCTCTATCTTGCTATTATCGAATCTTCCTCTCTCTGGGCATACCAAACCTGAAAAGAGAGTCATGTCCGCTCCCGAAGAGGTGGTCGTTACGAGGCCTTCCTCCGCTGTGTGCGCACTGACGTCCCCCAGTGATGCGGGTTTTGCAGACCCTGAAAATTCAATGATCCAAGATGTATCCGAGAAGCTTGCACAGGCCCAGCAAGGTGAATTCAACTTCCCTTTTGACCTCGAGGCCCAGACCGTCAAGGAGAAGCGGTGGTATGCTCCGATCCGTTATACGCTCCTCGACATATACCGCCGTCTTTTCACATTGGTCTTCCTCGCCAACATCGGGGTCTTCATTTATGTGGTGATCTCAAACCGAAAGCTGCTGGCGCTAATAAACGCAGCGGCAGCAAACCTACTTGCATGTGGCCTGGCCAGACAACCTCTTGTGGTGAACACGATCTTCTTTACCGTATGTTCGATCCCGAGATCGGCGCCACTTTGGCTACGCCGTCTCGCATCAAAGGTATACCACTATGGGGGTGTTCATAGCGGATGCGGGATCGCTTCGTTGGTCTGGTACCTGGGCTTCGTAGGTGAGCTGTCTCGCCAATATTGGTATCCTCGGGGAGGACTTTCTACACTCTCTGTAGCACCAGTAATCCTAACATACTTCATCCTGGTGCTACTGCTCGCGATCATCATCGTGGCATATCCTGCCTTCCGATTCAAGAAACACGACTATTTCGAGCTCACGCATCGCTTCTCCGGATGGCTCATAGTAGCCCTCTTCGTGATTCTCCTAATGGTCTTCGTGGACGACCTCTCCAGCGCGGAGGGCAGACCAATGGGCCGTTTCCTGATTGAGCTCCCAGGATTCTGGTTCCTGATGGTTACCGTGGTGGCCATCGTGCATCCATGGTTCCTTCTTCGAAAGGTCAAGGTCACACCCGAGTACCTCTCGCCGCACGCCGTGAGACTTCATTTCAACCACACAACAACGACCTTCGGTAAGGGCATCCAGCTCGCCAAGCACCCGCTCCAAGACTGGCACGGGTTCGCTACCTTCCCTGACCCCGAGGGCAAGAGTTTCTCTACTCTTGTCTCCAAGGCCGGAGACTGGACCGCAGAGTGCATCAAAGACCAGCCAACAGAGCTCTGGAAACGAGGGGTGCTCGTCTATGGCTTCGCGTACGCGATGAGAGTGTTCAAGCGGGTTATTGTGGTGACCACAGGATCCGGCATTGGACCTTGTCTCTCATTTCTGGGGGATGACAACCGACCGAAGTTGCGAGTGGTGTGGCAGACGCGACAGCCCCTAAGGACCTACGGCAAGGAGATCCTCAATTTGGTTTCCAAGATGGATCCAGACCCGGTGATCATCGATACCAATTCATCGGGGCGCATAGATATGGTCCCGATTATTCGACAAATCGCAAAGGAGTTTGATGCGGAGGCTATCTGCGTGATCAGCAACCCAGTTGTAACGAAGAAGGTCGTATATGAGTTGGAATCCACAGGGGTACCAGCATACGGGCCTATATTTGACTCTTGATGATAAAACGATGATGATCATGATGATATATTTCATGAATTTGAGTGTTGCATTCTGTTCTGGTTTGTTTTTACCCCTCTTTTATTGCTTTTCACATGTCTCTACTGGTTATGATGTTCAAGCATTGAAGGAGTTATTAGCATGTATGTCTCTTCCAGAGAGAAAAGTGAAGTGAGAAATTTAGTGAACGAGAAAGGGAAATAAAAGCACAGATGAAAAGAAGGAGGAGGGGAAAGAGAGAGAGAGAGAGAGAGAGAGAGAGACTGTATAGTTAGTTATACCCCACCTGACCTGGATTTAGTGGCATGTTGCGCACATTCCTGCGCTGCTTTAAAGTATCATATCATACATTTAAGCCACCAAATGCATCGGATTATGTATTTATTGCCGTTCTGCCTGCATTTGATTTTATTGCCGATGCTGTACGGAGTAACACAAGAGCTTTGTTCAGTTACTGGCCTGTGGACTCGGTCTTACATAGTGCAGTCATGTTAGGGGGAGTGGGCAAGGTAGATTGGTCCCTTCTCCGCCTCACCTGCAGCTACATGGTGGATACTGACATGGAAAAGTGAAAATACTGGAGAATCATTATAGATGTTTTGGTCTAATGCCGTATTATTATTAAAGTAAGTACCGATGTCTTGGATCATGATTGACACTGAGCACACGAGGTTGAGCCAAAAGAAAAAACAGAATCAAAACCACGGGTTGATGGGTATCATGTAAAAGGAATTTTTTCCACCCAGCAATACAACATAGGAAAAGGGGGAAATGCCAAATCGATGTGAGCAAGGGTAGACTTTTTGGTTCCAATACGAAAACTCGCGCCGCTGGAAATAGTAAATAGAATAATCTCAAAACCAAATGAAAGAGCCCGTGGATTTTTAGCAAAGTGTGAATGAGGACAGTCTTTTTTTTTTTTTTTTTTTTTTCCTTTGTAGTCATCCCGTTCGTAAGGTTCGTAAACTCATGCAGGCCGGACTCCGGAGCCTGGTATGATTATGATGTTGTCGATGTAATTAGAGTTGTATGTCAAAGAAGAAGTTCACGAGTCTAGAGATGGAGCTCGGTTTCTATTTCCGAACTCCTCCGGTTCGGTGGTGAGGTCATCGGTGGTGATTCGGCCGTGACCACGAGAGGAGTGGGTAGAGGAGTGGGTAGAGGAGTGGGCAGAGGAATGTGTCGATGCACTGTCCAATCGAAGAGACTCCATTCGCTCCAGTCCGTCACCGTCGGGGAGAGGCAGTGGAGACCCAGTGTAATCTTCGATGGTACTGTTCCCGCCCAGCATAGTGTATCCAGGGGGGCTGGCGGGAACATCCTCGTAGACAGGTGGCATCTCCTCATCCCAGCTAATGCCGAGTCCACTTCTCTCGGTGACGTGAAGATTAAACTGCATTCGAAGAACGCGTGCTGCGCCAGTGGGTGTGATGAGTCGGGTGTTGCGGTTGGGGCAGAATTCCTCCGCAACGATCAATTCGATCACTAGGTTGTGTTTCGCTTCCAACCCGTTCGGAGCCTCCAGATCGCATATCGGGTTGGAGGCAGGGTTGATGTTTGCTTCGAACTGCATGCTGATCTCGCCGCCCGCGGTGTCGAAATCGGTTTTCCAGCCATCCTTTTCTTCATTGTGGCCGATGATTCGGGTTTCCTGATGTAAAACGCCCTTGCCCTCTCCGCCAATTTTGTGAGTGTGCTTGGGGCATGCGGTAGAGACGATTTTCTGATGTTCCTCGATTCTCCACATCATCTTGCGCAGTCGCCAGCGAGTCTGAGTATCGTCGCCCTTGTCCAAAACTCCGCTCAAGGTCATCTGGACAGGGAAGGTGCCAATGGGGTGAACAACGGATGGAAGCACAATGCGGCCGGTGAGATTGGTGGGAGGGAAGATGCGGATGGAAGATTTGTCATTGCCAGGAAGAAGGGCGCGCTTCATTTGCAGGGGCATGGTGAAGCTGTAATCTTCGCCGGAAGTGTTGCGTGCGTGGGCTTCGAGGGAGTACTCGACCTTACCAAGGGAGCCATTGCAGGACGCGGGCAAGTTGCCTGGGAACAAGTAGCTGAACGGAAAATCGTGGTCGCCAGTCTTGAGGTGAATGGACTCGGTCAAGAAGTTCCAGTTGGTCAGCTCTTCCGTACGGGAGGCGCAGTCAGGGCAGTCCCTCGAGACTGGCTTCTTGGTAGTCTTCTTCATAACCAGGCGCATATCAAACTTGTCCAGGGTAACCATGCCTGCAGCTTCAGGGATGGTAACCCTCAAGCGCCCAGAAAATAGAGCACCAGTAGAGTTGTCGGGAGTTCCGTAGCAGACCAGTGGAGGAGACTCGACAATGACATCCAACTTTGCTGAGGGAGCTGCGTCCTCATCATGACCAGCACGCTCCTTCGAGCGGGATGACCGTCCATGGGCCCGGCGCTTTTCCTTGCTGTGGTGGTCTCTGTAGGTGTGGATGAAGTGGTCCATGGAGAAAGACAGACGGCGCTCCGGAGAGTGTGTTCCGTCAGTATGGGAGTGGGTCAGGTGCTTCTTGGAAGGAACTGTGCTGTGTGGGACTTCGTTTACGGAAGACGTGGAAGAGTTGTTTGAATGAGAGGAGATGGAGTGATGAGAGCCAGAGTGCCAGACCAAACTGGAAAGAAGACGGCCCGGCATTATGACAGGTTGTGACTCAAGTCGGTTGAGTCAAGATAGACGGCGCGGGACCGGCCAAAGTCTTAATAATTGCCGATTGATGATGAGACAACCAGAACTACCGCTCGTAGATTACCTGTAGACTGAGTCCGTACTAGGACAGTGGTTTTGAGGTAGTGGAGATGCTGGTCAAGGTTGATGCTTCAGGCAGGTGAGGGTATATCTTGACAAGCGCAGCGTGGTAGTGGGAGAGGTATAGCTAAGATGGAGGTAGTATAGGTTGAGGGGTAGATGGGAGAGATGCGATCAATAGTAGTCTGAAGATAGGAAGGAAGAATGGAAAGAGGAAAGCATACTCTGGAATGCAGGCGACACAGTCCATTTGTATGAACCAGAAACCTTACAATCAGCTTGTGCCTTCTCTTGTAGTTTTTTTTTTTTTTCTAGGAGATTCTCATATGTAACAGGTACGAATTTTTTCCTGGTCTGGCCACCACAAGTGGATAAGTGCCCACCAGTGAGCGGGGCAGAAAAAAAAAAAAAAAAAAAGAAAAGAAGCCTTACCAATACCAGTACCAAGCCCTTTCCATACGTAACAATACCATTTCAGCTGGCCACCCCGTGGGAATTTTCAATGTTCGTTGTTCTGCGTGTTCTTCAGGTAGTCTATCACGGCCATAAATGCTTTGAAGATCACTATTTTAAACAAATGTACTGAATGGTCTAACTATCCACATCCCTCTAGACAGTTCTAATGGCTGAGTCGAGTACCTCCGGAGTGCGATAAATCGGGCCAGATTAACCTATAGAGGTGGGACAGATGTCAAGCCTTCTTGCAGAAATGCTGCTTTTGACGCCTGTGCGCAAGTGACTCACCGTACAGACAAGAGTTACTTGGTCACAATGCCAGAACTTGGTGGGGACATAAGTCCCTTTCGGAACTGCCCTGGAAGAAGGTTGCGTGATCCTTCCTACTTATGACTTGGGAATGGAAGGGACCCTTGGTTCCGCGTGTTCAAGGCTAGACTGTTCGTCCGATGATCTGAGAATGTTGTCATTGTTGAACTAAGAGGTTCTAGTTGCTTTCTATCCGAGTCAATTCCTGCGATGATTGGGCTACAATCCATGCCTGTCCATTATTATCATGACACGCCTAAAAGCTGGCACGTCCCGAAGTACATTATAGGTACCTAGGTACAGTTGGTACCTATGTAAGTACGGAGATGAGAATTGCTCAGGCTCTTGGGTAAGGATTTCCCAACGCAATGAATTAGTAATATTATACGAGACGAGAAACATCTTATGAAAGAGCAGACCATTCTTCTTTTTTTTTTTTTTACCGCCTGACTACTCCGTAGACAAGACATCCTTCGTTATTTTGTCTAGAAGGTCAGCTGTTGTCTTGTCATCAAGCTCTCACGTGGAGGAATCATAGCCTTGGATACCTCCATTACTTGGGCGGTGTGGCGTACTCTTGGGCTGTACGATCCGTGACCAGCACGGTTTCCCAGGTATACCATACCATACAGTTCGAAATTTCGGCACTAGTTGGAGATCCTCTGGATCCGTGATGCCACTTTATCCAAAGAGGGATATTTTCCTAAGGATCCATGACGCTAAGCTAAGCATTTCCCTGGACGACACCCTCTTTTTTTTTTCGCTCTTCGATATTTTTACAATTATGGAAGGTTCCTTGACCCACAGGTTTCCGGGCCCCACCAACGGAACAAGAAAAAAAAAAAAAGAGACAGGAGACGGAAAAAAGGCAAGAGACGGAAAACAAAAAAAAAAATCCTCCTTTCCCAAAATCAGACAAACCAGGTAGTTTTAGGTTCAGGGAACCCGCACGGAATGCCGTCGGATTCTTGCGCCAGCTGATTATGATATGATGTTACAGTCCAGTCTCCTCGCAATTGCCTTGTTCGGGCAAGGCTGGCAATATACAGCGCTAGAACGGTAGAACCTCGCTGACGAGACCTTTTGGTGGGAGGAACTCAGGAAATTGCAGTATTTTTGGGATCACAGTCATCGGGGCCAGATTTCCCCGCACTGCAGGCAATTAGCACGTTGCGGGGCATTGCATCATCCTATCTATCTTGTTTGGAGTGATGCTGTTGGCAGCCCAAATGATGAAAAGACCACAAGGAGAGAACACGTGACTCAACGGAAGAAAGGGAATATATGACAATATATACCTGTATAGAGTGTTTATATGAAGATTAGGTACAAAACAAAACAATCAAATAATAATGTTCTGGGTAGTGGTCAGAGCGTTTGGATATATATATATTTTTTTCCCTTCTACTTTTGGCAGAATATGCCCATTCTGACGAATAGTTATGCATCCTCTTTATACTTATTACCTAACAGGACCCTCCCCAGTGCCACTCATTGGAAGCAACTGTGACCACTGCATGTTCATTAGGTACCAGTAACCAAAGCATGTGAGCTTCAAGGTTTGGATTCCCTGGTAATAATATCGTAATTATTATTATTATTATTATTATTATTATTATTATTTGGTTGTTAGTATTCCTTTGAATCCTTTGAATCTTTTCAAGATCGCCGTAGATCCGGAATGGGATGAGGGACCCCAGACGTCGGGAGCCGAACGAATGAAGCAAGTCCATCAGCCCATGAATCACTCTACTCCGTACTTCATCAATTAACGTCGGGCTCCCGAGGACATCGAGGGCGCTAGAACGGGAAGTGTTGATCAAATCATCAGGCCATGAGATCCAGATATCGATGCGCGGGACGGATTCATATTCATGATTCATATCCATGATTTATATCCATGATTTATATCCATGATTTATATCCATGATTCATAATCCCTCTTAAGTACCTTCCCTAACTAAAATACCATTTCAAACTTGAATCGTTCCGGGGGTTGATCCTATCATTTACTCCGTACCTAGGTGTATGTTGATTCAAGTAAGTACAGGCTCATCCGTCATAAAATTAGTATCATCATTCGGAAATAGATTGCGACCGTAGCTTCAATCGCCTATCCACACCTGGGCGCTGAACTTCCTCTTTCGGGAGGGGCTTTCGCCGTCCACTACCTCTTTTTTTTTTAGGTACACAACGCCGAGGATGGAGTCACCGCCGGGACTTGGGATGGGATGGGTCAAAACTTTACCCGGCGCGGGAAGACTGTCTGTAGAAGAAGAAGCACTGACCTTCATCTCATACACATTACACACAGTACATCGAATCGAGCACACCCCGTTTTGTCGACGGAAAAATACGCATCGGAATTTAGATGCGATAATTGGACCTTTTTTTCCACGGGAAATCAGGGCCAAAACGCCCCCCTTCTCGCAATGCTGTGTACACCTTTCGGCCTTAGGGCGGGAACCTATGGCTCGCGATGGACCCGGCACGCCTCTTGTCGCTCCCCTTTGGGAACCAAAAGGGGTTGAAGTTTTCAACCAATCATTCCGAGGGGTCATGACACCTTCTCCGAACTCCTCAAATTCTACAGACAACGATGAGGTAAGAAAAATCGCACCATCTGTCGATGCCAATTTAAAATCCCCGAAAATCCCCCGCTCAATTTGGACGTTCGGGCGGAGGATTCCGGGCAGGGAATTTCCCACCGAGGTCGATGCTATACACACTTGTCTCTTGGACTGGATTCCCCGGATCAAGAATAGTTGCTTCATTTGTTAGGCTTCTGGGGTAATCCGGGAGTTCCCTTTGATATAATTATACGGCCTCCGCGGCAGCCGTCCAGCTTCAGGGCGCAATTTACATCCCTCTAGACAAAGCGGCTCTTCGTTATAGAATCAATCATATTGCTGCTGGTCGGCTGGATCTAGACTACCTCCTAGGTACGATGTAAAAAGCAGAGTGGAGCAGCTTGATAACTCTCACGACTCATGACTTTCCTCACCTGGAAAGACTGCGCGAAATCCATTACTATGGATTTAGGAGACATGATACAACACCGCTAACACGTTTCAGACCGTCACGAACTACAGGCAAGTTATTGCTGGACTTGTCGCAATACCGGGGCTCTGATTGAACTTGCCCTCGGGAACGGGTAGCTGGGAATAGCCAGCCTTAAATCCTCGTTCAATTCTTTAGGTAATCGAACGTTCCTATTTGGACCTGAACTGAAGCTATTCCCATTGCTTATTCCGGAGTCAGCCTAACTAACTAGTAGTTACTTTGATATATATTAGGGTTAGGGTTAGGGTTTCTAGGTACCTAGGTATAGTTCTTGCCTGGAGATCCAATTAATAGCCATTCTTTGATATTGGATACATGATATGATCTATGATTCGCACTGAATCAGGGTGTTGTCAGAAATACCACTACACTACAAAATGATATTGGTTCAAGGGTCCCCTAATATAGTGATATATAACACCCCCCTAATAGTTATGGGGTTCGTGGAATGTCACGTGGTGACGCCCGCGAAGCTCTGGAGATCGTCAAATGAAACAGCTGCGGATGTTCACACTCCCCGTTCCATCATGCCACCGTGTCTTCTTGCTGGTTCATCGTGGCCTCAATTACTGCCAAAATGCTCAATGCGACAGCTCATAGCGAATCAATTTAATCTCTGTCCTATGAATACTTGTCTCCTCGACGAATCGCAGAACAATTAGCGGCGGAGGTGGGATGCCAACTTGGCTCCCCGCATTGATCCGATATCTTTGATCCCTCGAGTCGCTTCGTCTCGATCAGACTCCACAATTGATCTTGCGTTGCGTTGCGTCACCGGAGACCTCAGTGCGGGACCAGATTCTGGGTGCTATGTCTCCCCAAACGTTGGTTTCTTTGGGGTTCGCAATCGCGGCGCTGTTCTTCTTCTGGACCTTATCCTCAACGACATCCTCGCCTTTCGCTCGGACATTCCCCCGCCTTTACAATAAGAGAATATGCCTCCTGATCGCTCACCCTGACGATGAAGCTATGTTCTTTGCGCCAACAGTGCTTTCCCTGACGAAGCCCGAGCTAGGAAATCATCTCAAGATTCTGTGTCTGAGTACTGGTATTCCTTCCCGCCTCACACCCCCAACGCCTCCCAAAACTAACATAAATATTCTGACAGGAGACGCCGACGGCCTCGGCCACATCCGCAAACAAGAACTCAAGACATCCGCCATGCGCCTCGGCCTGCGCAGCGAATCCGATGTCTTCGTCATCGACGAGCCCTCGCGATTCCCAGACAGCATGGCAACGGAATGGTCGACGAACGACGTTGCTGCCCTGCTCGCCTCCGCATTTACCCCTGATGACAGCAGCAACACTACCACTTCCTCTTCTGCATTTCGAAAACGAACCACCGGCGGCGCCGCCCAAGGCGCCGACACCCCGCCCCCCGCAACAATCGACGTCCTCCTTACTTTCGACGCCCACGGCATAAGCAATCACCCTAACCACCGCTCGCTCTACCACGGCGCAGTGCAATTCCTCCGCCTCCTCATGAAAGACAAGCCCGGCGTTTCGTGCCCGGTGGCCTTGTACACGCTCACCACCACCAGCCTGCCTCGAAAATACATCGGGGTTCTCGACGCCCCGCTTACCATGGTCCAGGGCGCACTGGACGCCGTATTCGGGGGTCTTGTCGGTTCTCGCGGGCCGAGCAGTCGCGGCGGTAAGGACGACTCGCCGTCTCGCATGCTATTCGTGAGTTCGGTGGGCGAATGGATGACCGCACAGTCGGCGATGGTTTCAGCGCATAAGAGCCAGATGGTTTGGTTTCGCTGGGGGTGGATTACCATTGGGCGGTATATGGTTGTGAATGATTTGCGGAGGGAGAGTGTATGATATATATATATATATATATAGTCCCGAGGTAGTGCCTGAGGATTTCCCTATACGTCTCTCACCAGCACGCAGGTTTGTAACTGCATACTATACTATACTATACTATACTAGATTATCCCCTCACCCGAGTTAGCTCTGAGATTACTGTACAATACTATATAAAGTATATACAAGTATATAAGATAGTAGGCACGGTACCTATTAAAGCTACAAGACCAGAATTAGCCAATCCAATGCTACGACTGAGTAACTAGTAACTACCTAGGGTACTGTACTGTGAGATAGATGCATTTGCTATTTTTTGCATAGCATAATCTCAATGACTTTTACAGGAAACACAAACACACACACACACAAGCAATTTAGTAGATGGACGATACGAGAGACAGAGAGAGAGAGCCCTCCTCCTGTTTGCCAATTAAGATCAAATTTTTTTTTTTTTTTGTACATTACATCGCTTCAAAGATCAGATATGCAGCTGGCTTCTTCACGGGATGAGGTCTCACCATAGAGAGGATAGGGGGGGGGGGGGGGGTATCAGAGAGAAATGCAACCAGCGGGTGGCGTGGAAAAGAAACAAAACGCTAAGAGAGAATGTTGGAGACGGGGGTCAATCAAGTCAGAATAACCTGCGGGACACCAAACGTATGCAGGAATTCCTCGTGCTTGGCCTGTCGTGCATACGTCGGGTCCCATTCATGCTTCGGGGACACGGGTGCCGGGGCTTCGTGGGCTTTGCGGATGTACTCGGATTCACGGACGTCCTCCAGGTCCAGAGCGAACAGGGCTTCGTCGTCGTCATAAGAGGAGGGAGGAGGAGGAGGAGGAGGAGGCTCGATGCGGATGGATTCAAAGAGGCGGTTGAGGGCCGGGAGGTGCAGCCGCTCGTGCCGAGGGGTACGATCGCGCCACCGGGCCCAAATGAGCTCGTCTTCGATTTCTCCGGCGTCCCTGTCGAGGTTGACGTCGTCTTCGCTTCCGAGGTAAGGTCGCCGGACTTGGAGGAGGGGTTTGGCTTTCACTTGGTGTCCGCCCCAGCGGGTTGCGCCTTGGAAGGCGACGAGCCCCGTGGAGATGGGGAAGACGAAGGTCTCGGGGAGAAAGTCTTTCCATTCTTCGAGCGCTCGTGGGAGAAGCTGCCGTTCCCAGGCGAGATTGTCGCGGCCGGTCCATCGGGTTTGGATCAGGAGGAGTCTTGCAAGCCGCTCCAAGGTGGTGGTTTGTTGGAACACTTGGATGCGAAGGGTGTCGTAGGTGTGCACGGCATCCGCGAAAGCGCGCGTTTGCAGAAGGGAAGGCAGCCGCTGCTGGCCCTCCGCGTGCTGGTGTTCCTTGAGGTAGGCTTCGACTGCGCTCCGGGAGACCTTTCGCTGCCGCCGTGTCTCTTTCATGATCGCGTATGCGTCGCACATGTGCCGGTGGAACTCACGATAGCGTTGCCGGGTCCACGCGCTCTTGGCTAGCATCCGGAAGGTCTGCACCTGAGGCTTGACGTAGAACGGCGCCTGGATCATCGTTTGGTACACTTGGTTTAAGAATTCATGCGAGACCTTGCCCAGCGCGTTCCGCTTCCAATCCGGACCGAATCTGCTTCGGGACAGGACGAACGTTCTCTCGAAGAGCTCCAGCCAGACCCTCGTCGTAATTTTGATATTATAGGAGCTGGCGACAAAGTCTAGGGCCCGCAACGCGCCGGGGATATCGTTATTCGTTCCGAAGGCATGTGCGATGGCAAACAGGAGGTTTTCGGTCGGCCAGAGTGGTGAACCCTGGTCGAACCTGGTGGCCGGTGGTCTCTCGGACTCGTCTGGAGCGTCCTTCAGCAGGTCGACGTCGACGTTCCAAACCGTCTTCAACACTTGTTTCATTGCCTGCACATGGCCCGCGCGACCGGATGCCAGGATCAGATTCACGAAGCTGGCCTCATCCCCAGAGTTCCCTGCCTCGATCATCTCGTTGAAGATCCCCAGCACCTCCGACCGCACGGTCAAGCGACCGGTTCTGTAGCCCTCCCATCCAGGAAGCGGAGACTCCGATCGCCGTTTCCGATAGGCATAAGGTGTCATGCGCAGACGATACTTCTCCATCCCCGCGTAGCTGGAATGCCAGACCTTCGCCTCCATGTAGTAATTATAGCACTGCACGTCGGGGACAACCTCGTCCTCCTTCATGGAATTCCAGATATGGTCCGCCATAGGCGCATCCCCCAGCGATCTAGCACAGTCTAGCAGGTGCATGTACTCAGCGCGACCCAGCATGTGGGCCCCCGACCGCCTGATCCCAATGATCACCGTGATGTTCTTTGCGAATCCATCGAAGATCGACTGGAGCTGTCGATAGTGCTTCACGTCCACGGTATAGGGATGCAACGGTCGGTAGTTGTCTCTGTAGTGTAGGATAAAATAGGAAGGGGAGAGGAGATGGAACGCTTCCGTGAACGTACTGGACGGCATTGACGCTACAAGCTCTGCATAGGTGGGATCCAGGAGGGCCGCCATAACGAGGTCCGGTTGCGCCGTCCGCAGGATCGCATAGAACTCCTTGACTCGAGCCAGCTGCGTCTCAGCGCTCCGTTCATGAAGCCCGCGTATGGGTTCTGAGGTACCCGCCCTCGGCACATATAGATCTCTGCTACTATCATCATCATGATGATGTCCACGAATCTGGAAGCCTCGTCGGGCATCGATTTCACCAGCGAACGATGATCGACCTCTATACCATCTCACTAACGATTGTGTGGGGTTTGACGCTAAGAAGCGCCCAAAGGGAGAGTATAGCGCTATACTCCCGCCCAGATAGCGTATCCCGCGCATTGGGGAAGTTAAGAGGCAAGAATCCAGATAAAAAGCTGACAAGAGACACTCAAGGGGGAAAAGAAGAACCAAGGATAAGGGGACTATCCATGATATTAAACACAGAGAAATAAACCATCAACTGATGCAGTGTCTGGAGAGAGAGAGTGAGAGAGAGAGTGATGACGGGCGATTCACCGGGCTTGGCACGTAACTATCCCAGTCGACTTTCTGTACCTTTTTTTTTCCCCCTTCGTTTTTCATGCAAGCAAAGCTCCTTATTACCCAGGTTTCATTTCCACCCCCCTCCCCCTCTTCATCTATTCTCTTCACCTCTTTTCTTTTCCTCTGTCACTGTCACCATGGCCGATACAGAAGATGCTGGCTCAACTTCCGTCTCTGAGCCCTTGGATCTGGTGCGCCTGTCGCTCGATGAAATTGTCTTCGTGAAGCTGCGGGGAGATCGTGAACTCAAGGGTCGCCTACATGTGGGTCGCCGCTGGGAGGGGGTTCGTCATCCTGGATGTTCCTTTTGCTCATTCTTTCATTTTAGGCCTATGACAGTCACTGTAACCTTGTCCTTGGTGATGTGGAGGAGACCATTTACGTGGTTGAGGAGGATGAGAATGAACAAGAGACAATCCGGGTATGTTGGTTCCCGATGCGCCCGGGGGGGGGGCTTGGTTCTTCTCCCATTCCAGAGACTAATTAATTCCATCCTTGTTACTCTAGACAATCAAGAAACAGGAGGAAATGTTGTTTGTGCGAGGTATGCTCTCCCAGCTGGTGGTGCTGCTGCCGTCCGAGGCTTCGTCCGCTAATTCCCAACTCCAGGTGATTCTGTCGTCTTGATCTCCCCCCAGGCCTAATTTCCTTCTCTCTCTCTCTTTCTTTCTGTTCTTTTTGGGGGGGGAGGGGGATGTAATGGGATATGCAATCAGTGGTTATCACGCGGTGTTCGCTTCTACTATCACGACCTCTCCTCCTACACCAAGCCATGATCATGAGACTACGATACGAATTCTGGCGATCACCACACAAGACTCTTGGGCACACAGTATTTAGCATCTTTCTCCCCAGGGAACATGTTCCAAGAGCGGACCGCGGAATAATAACTGGTATAATACGGAGTAATATTCACGACTCAGCCAGACTTGACTTAGACATGGAAAATAGATGATTTTGACTATCTCATCATGATCAAATGTAACCCGAAGGTTCGATTGTATGCAAGGCACAGCTCTCATTGAGTCCTCAGCCGAGAATGCGGCTCCAAGGCAGAATAGTGGATGACTCAAAAGACGTCAACTCGGGCTAACTATCGATAAAGCTTCCACCAACAACCTCCTGCTCTTATATTTAACTCGTCTCTTCTCTTCCCCTTTCCTTTTTCTTCCTCTCTCCTTGGACTTGGATCTCTTCACTCCTCTCCTCTGAACTTTTATCTTACTCTGTTTTTGTCTTTTTAGTGGAATATGATCCTACGAATACGTGTCTGAATCCGCCACAGGCGATCCTCCTCTTTTCCGACCGTTTAAACTTTGGCAATATTACATATATATATATATATATATATATTAGTTTAGGTATCTTGGAAGTTGCTCCTCATGAGAACGGCGGGTCCGAAAACGTCCGTCGAGGACCGGCGCAGAGGCGAAATCGTGGGTCTCTCCACGTTCTACCCCTCCTTGCTACTGTCCAATATCCACTAACTGGCGATCTGGTACGCAGGCGCTCAGCGAATTCGCAGAATATGCCGACAAGCAGCAGTCGCAGCGCTCGGCTCATCTGGCCCTGCTTGACAATGGCATCACCACCACCACCACCACCACCGCCTCCCCTGGATGCGAAGCCCCCGCCCATGAGGATCACGCTGAACTAGAGATCCTAGACCAGTTAGGGCTGTCTGACGATCCGAAGACTGTGAGATTGAAGGACCTTCTGCTGAGGACAGGGGATCATCCCGAGGAAGACCTGCAGGTCCTCGCGGGGATTCTGCAGGCGCGCATTGATGAAGGCCATGGGGAGACGATCTTCGATCTCGGCCTCGAAGACGGCGGAGAGTCGATGGCCTTTGACCTGGACAACTGGAAGGCGGCTTTGCAACGGTTGCGCGACGCTGCAGATTCTCTACCAGCTCATTGTCGCATCCTTCTGACCTACAATGTGGGCGGCCCCGAAGAGTCGCGCGTCAAGAACGAGCGAATAAAAGGGGTCTGGGGCAAGATTCTGATCCGGCAGCCCGCGGACACCGTGGAGGAAATGGCGGAGATTCGCGTCGCCGTCGTGGGGAATGTGGACGCGGGCAAGAGTACCATGCTGGGAGTCCTCGTCAAGGGGGGTCTAGACGATGGCCGTGGGAAGGCCCGCGTGAACCTTTTCCGCCACAAACATGAGATCGAAAGTGGACGAACCAGCTCTGTGGGGATGGAGATTATGGGGTTCGACAGCCATGGGGAGATTGTAAGCAGCTCCCAGGGCCGCAAGCTCTCGTGGGAAGAGATTGGGAAGCGCTCGGCCAAGGTCATTGCCTTCTCTGACTTGGCGGGCCACGAGCGTTATCTCCGGACTACCGTGTTTGGGATGCTGAGCAGCAACCCGAACTACTGTCTGTTGATGGTCGCCGCCAATAACGGCCTGATCGGCATGAGCAAAGAGCACCTGGGGATTGCTCTGGCCTTGAATGTGCCCGTCATGGTTATCATCACCAAGATCGATATCTGCCCGCCCCAGATCTTGCAGGAGACGATTTCCCAACTGACCAAGATTCTCAAGTCTCCTGGAGCGCGAAAGATCCCCATTTTTGTGAAGGATATGGAGGAGACTATTAACACGGCGGCCCAATTCGTTACCCAGCGGATCTGTCCGATTTTTCAGGTCTCCAATGTCACCGGAGAAAATCTGGAGCTTGTCCGGACTTTTTTGAATATTCTTCCTCACCGCGGCCAATACAACCCTGACGCGCCCTTTGAATTCTTGGTCAACGACACGTTCTCGGTCCCCCATGTTGGTACGGTGGTGTCCGGCGTGGCGAAATCCGGGGTGATCCACGCGGGTGACTCCGTTCTGGTGGGACCTGATTCCCTCGGCCAATTTACCACGACCACGATCAAGTCAATCGAGCGCAAGCGGATCCAGGTGAACGCTTGTTTTGCGGGCCAGTCTGGCTCCTTTGCCTTGAAGCGTGTACGGCGGAAAGAGGTGCGTAAGGGCATGGTGGTCCTCAAGAAGTTGGACCAGCCGCCCAAGGTTTTCCGCGAGTTTGTTGCCGAAGGTATTCCATCCCAATATTTTCCCTCTTCATTGGTTTTTTTTTGGGGGGGGCTAACGAGAGAACAGTTCTCATTCTGTCCCATGCAACTACCATCAAACCTAGATATCAGGCGATGCTTCATGTCGGTGCCGTTAGCCAGACTTGCTCCGTCATCGACATCGATCGTCCTTTTATCCGGACAGGAGATCGTGCATTAGTTGCTTTCCGGTTCATGCAACGCCCTGAATTTCTTGCTCCTGGTGATCGAGTGCTCTTCCGAGAGGGCAAGACCAAGGGGTTAGGCATTGTGAAGAGTGTCGGATACGATGCCAGCCAGCCTTTGAATGCTGAGGCGAGAAAAGAGTTTGAACGGAAGGAAAAGCAACAATCCTAGAACACCCGTTTTCTATTCTTTTGATAATTGTTCTTCTTCTCTTGCCTTGTTCTTGACTACTACTTTTTTTTTGACCTTCCCTGACGCTAATATTTAAATCAGCTTGAGTAACCCTACGCCAGGTAAACCAAATCAATCCTATTTCTGTACTCTTAAGTATATATCTACTTCGAAGACTTTGTATACTGTATATCAGACGTGGAGATGTGGCTAGTACCCCCCGCTGTGTGGCGCAGTCCACTCAACCACAATTGACTCAATTCTGGAAAGAGAAAAAACTTTTTCCCGTGCAGTCCAAATTCCCCCCCACCACCAGTAGTGTGTCAATATTCATTCCTTCATGCCGTTATTCTGGCCTTCTTCCCTCAAGCTTGTCCGCCATCTTAGCCCCTGCACCCTCCGAAGCACTGCCATTCGGACTCCCTGGGAAATCCCGGCGTCAACCCTTCTCTTCCGCCCATCTCATTCTCTCTCCTTTCCACCTCAATCAGAGGACTATACAGATATGGCGTCCAAGGAGGGGAAGTCTAGCAAGATGAGCTTCCAGCTCAAGACGCCCAAGGGCACAAGAGATTGTAAGAGGACCTCCCCAATGCCGCAATGGTTTGTTTCTGATCGCTAACTTGTGAAAAGGGATGGGTCCTGATATGATTCTTCGGTACGATCATGGATGGAAATACCCCTCCGAAGTGGGGGATTGACCCCCGAACTCACTAACTCGTCTCCGTTCTGTCTATTAGGGAATCCATCTTCAAGGCCATCACCGATGTTTTCAAGCGCCACGGCGGTACCCCCCTTGACACCCCTGTCTTCGAGTTGAAGGAAATCCTCGCGGGCAAATACGGCGAGGACTCTCGTCTTATCTACGACCTGGCAGACCAAGGCGGAGAGGACTGCGCCCTAAGATACGATTTGACCGTGCCCCTTGCACGATGGCTCGCCATGAACTCCTCTATACAGCACATTAAGCGATACCAGATTGCCAAGGTCTACCGACGAGATCAGCCGGTAAGGAAAAGCATTGATTGCGTTTCGCAATGGAGTTGGGAGACACCTTGAAAGACTAATGCATCAGGGTGATGATGGTAGGCAGTTGCCAAGGGACGCATGCGCGAGTTTTTCCAGTGTGATTTCGATATTGCCGGCACCTACGACCCTATGATCCCCGACGCCGAGATCCTGCGTATCATCGTCGACGTGTTTGAGGCTTTGGACCTCCGCGACTATATCACAATTAAGCTCAACCACAGAAAAATTCTGGACGGCTTGTTCGCGGCCTCTGGTGTGCCCGAAGATAAGATCCGCACAATTAGTTCTGCGGTTGATAAGCTGGATAAGGTATGTTGTTGTTGTGGTGGTGGTGGTGGTGGTGGTGTTCTTCTGAAGCCCAGCTGGCTAACTTGCCTAGCTACCATGGGATCAAGTCAAAGCGGAAATGGAAGAAAAAGGACTTGCTCCTGAAGTCGCCGACAAAGTCGGAGAATATGTTAAGCTGAACGGTGGCCGCGAGGTTCTCGAGACCCTCAAGGCCGACGAACTGCTTTCTGCCAATGAAGATATTCAAAAGGGGATTGAAAACATGGAGCTGCTCTTCAAGTATACGGATGCCTTCGAGGTATCGGATAAGATCTCCTTCGATCTCTCGCTCGCTCGCGGTCTGGACTATTACACTGGTTTGATCTTTGAGATCGTTACCCCTCTTTCCTCCGCAGAAGGGTTCAAGCAGTCCCAGAAGAAGAAATCCAAGTCAAATGGAGATAAATCGGATGATCCTAATGTCGGCGTGGGTAGTATCGCCGCCGGTGGACGCTATGATGACCTCGTGAATATGTTTAGCAAGAAGCGCCAGATCCCCTGTGTCGGCGTTTCTTTTGGCGTGGACCGCATCTTCACCATTATGAAAACACGAATGGAGCTGGCTGCGAAGGAAAGCAACACTACCGTTCGCGCTAGCGAGGTTGATGTCTTTGTGATGGCTTTCGGTGGAAAGGGATTTACCGGACTTCTCCCTGAACGCATGTCTGTTGCCAATAAACTCTGGAATGCTGGCATCAAGGCCGAGTTTGCTCCCTCGGTCAAGCCCAGACTGCCACAACAATTCAAGCTGGCTGAGGCCGGTGGGGTGCCACTCGCGGTCATCCTGGGAGAGGACGAGTTGGCAGCGGGCAAGGTCAAGCTCAAGGAGCTCGGATTGCCCGACGGCCACCCAGAAAAGGAAGGGTTCCTGGTGTCGCAGGACGACCTGGTAGCGGAGATCAAGAAGAAGCTGAACAAGTCCACCTAAGCAGAATAGTTGCTTAATCGAAATTTCAGCAGCCTGCTAAATTCGCCAAGCGATTGGCGTTTGTGTAGGTAGTGAATACGTCTTTTCTCCCTTGAATCTTGCACCCTTGACTGGTCCTTGCATCGATCGACCGGGAGGGCTATTGCATATCACTACCTAGCGCACAACGGACCGGAATCAGTTCCTCTGCGGCCGTTAAGTCTCGCATATTAGAGACATCGAAATAGGGGGACAACAGGGCAGCGGGCCTATCCTGATAGGACAGAACGATAGACTAGATACTCCAATCATACCGTTCCACTTTCCTCTCTCCATTCTTCTCTTTCTTGTGCTTTTTGGCGCGACTACAGATCGAGGGCCGCACGTGATGTGACATCATTTGCCATCTTGGGAGATTTTCGCTGACAACAAAATCACCACCACAGGCAATGGATTTCCATGGAAATGACGTCGGATACAGAGGTAGGCGACCCTACGCCTGCATGCCGACCTAACCTAACCGTGGCGGTCTTCTCAATTGGCCTTTTCCTACTGACGTAGAGTTGGAGGTCTCCGCTCGATAAGCTTTGGCCCCGTCGTCCACAACGAGATTGTTCTATAAAGCAACCTCGTACTTTCAGAAAGTGGCGACCTAGATAGTCTTGAACATTCTCATCCAAATACGCACTCCCTGAATCAAAGTACACTACGCCGAAACAATAAGCAAAAACCATTTCCCATACAACCACCGACACCTATTCGTCATGGAGACCATCACCCAGACAATCCACAACGCTTCCAATGCGTTTTGGAATGAAGTCCAGGCCTTGCAGTCTGGGGGAAAGCCGCAAACGGAGCACCATGAGCACGAACCTTCTGAATCTCAGTCCGAGCAGAAACGCCAGTCATACAGCGAGGAGCCTATGGCCGGTATCCAGGGTAAAGGCACAGCAACGGACCCCTACGACGCCGGAAACAGGGAAGGTAAACTGGACCCTTTCCCCTCAACAGAACAGACCTAACCACTATTTTATCTACTGTTATAGACCAAGAATGCCAGGAAAACACAGCGGTGATCGCGGAACCACTTGCCTCTATCACGCCCGCTCTAGCCCAAACCCACCTTACAGACCAGGCCGCGGACCAAGTGCCTAAACAAGAACCGACCCAAACACAACCTTGTACTTATACTCATACTTATGCTCATCCTCATCCTCGCACTCCTGATCTGGGTCCTGGAAACCCTATCATTGACGAACCCTCGCCATTACAGAAAGAACCAACCCCTACAAGCTTCCCGCCTGTCGCTACTATCCCTGTTAAGCAGTACATGATCAAGACCGCTGAAGAAGAAGAAGAAGAAGAAGAAGAAAAAGAGGCAGAAAAAGAAGGAGGAGGAGAAGAAGATCGCTCCGCTGCTCCTATCCCCCAAACTACAGAACCCCCCAGCACCCGAGATAACCTAAGCCACACTTACAACAGTCCCCCCGAACAGAGAACCCAAATGACCCCATCCACCACCGACCCCTACATCGCTCCTCCGCGCGGCGAATCAAGCTCCACCGCACACAAGCAACAAGCCAGCGCAGAAGCTCCCAAGGGACCCGAATATGCTGCGCCGCGGGCACCTCGTGGATTGGAGAAAAGGCTAGACGAGAATCAGATGATGAAGGAGGCAGAGAGGCAGCATGAGTACGGCAGGCCCACTAGTGCAGGTTTGTTTCCTTTCTTTCTTCTGTAAATGCCCCCCCCATTCCTAACATGATACCTGCAGGTGGAGTGAACGAATCCTCTGCTTTTTCGTCTTCGAGTGGTCCTGGCGATAGTCGCAGTCGCAGTACAGGCACTGGTACCGGTACCGGTGATAACCATGCCGAGCAGCAGCAGCAGCAGCAGCCGCCGCCGCCGCCGCATCATCACAAGTCTATCAAGGAGAGGTTGAGTAAGGTGGTTAGGGTGGGACATCACCTGCATCATTCTGATCGGTGATTGGTGATTTGAATGATTGAATATTTATTTCACGTTTTATGTATGTATGTATGTATGTTGTAGGTCAAAAGTTTGGTCAGAATGCTTTGGTTGACTTTTGTCTGTTTTATCTTGCCTGTATGAATGGATGGATATTACTATATATACTTTTGTGGGGTTCATGTTTCACGAGTAGCGATTCCAGTTTGTATGTATGTATACTTTGCACAATCCAATTTATACTTGATCCAGGGGAATATTATTCTAGCCAACTTTATATATATATATATGTATGTATAATATATGTGTATGTGAAGTTCCATCTCCAATTAAACAAAACAAAACCCTACTCAAACAACAACTTCAGTTCCTCAATCCGCTCTTTGCGCCGCTGCTCTTCATTTCCTTCCCCGCCCCCCATTAACCCAAGAGACCCCGCGATATTCATCTTGCGCTCTTGGATCTGCAGCATCCGTCCCTCGATCGAATCCTTGACGACAAACCGCGTCACGGAGACGTCCCGCAGCTGGCCCATGCGATACACGCGATCGATGGCCTGGGCTTCAATAGCGAAACTCCACCAGGGGTCCATCAGGAAGACGTTGCTTGCCGTCGTTAGGTTGAGACCAACGCCCCCCGCGCGTAAACTGATCAGGAGGACTCTGGGGGCGGGGGCCGGGGCCGGAGCCGGGGTGGGGTTCCTGGTTGACGGGTTGAGGGCTTCGTCGATTTCTTCGGGGTTGAAGGTTTCGGGTTGGTTGAATTGGGCGAGGACCGCGGCGCGGGCCTTCTGCGGCATGGTGCCGTCGAGTCGGACGTGCGTGATGCCGGCTTTCGTGAGTTGCGGGGAGATCAGGTCGAGGAAGCTTGTGAATTGCGAGAAGACGACGGATTTGGTGTCTGGGGGGACGCGGGACAGGTGTTTGAGGAGGGCGTGGATCTTGGCGGAGGTGTGGGCGGATGGAGAGAGCGGGTTGATGCGACGGAGGGAGATGCGAGGCGGCGCCGGTTGTGGATTGGGGGAGGGGTTGCTGCTATATAAGTCGTCGTCTTCTGCATTGGCAGATTGATGACGGATCACTTCGAAGATGTCCTGCGCGGATAGCGCCCCTCGGCAGGAGAAGCATCGCGGGGCTACCCCCTTATCTGTTTGGTGGCGTATATAGTCCTCAAGGCATTTCTTGCAGGCGCTGTGCCAGCAAGAAGTGACGGCTGGGTCAATCATGGGTTCTTCGGAGCAAATAGGACACTCGCCGCTGGATTCGCTTTGGATCTGCCTCAGTGCGTGGGCGGTGAATTTGCTCGAGGAATCCTGGGCTTCTTCCGAGCCCGCCTTTTGCGTGTCCTCCGTGAAACGGTGTATCAGTTCCTGTAGATCCATATCGTCTTTAAGCTCATTCTCCTGGTCTGCAGCTGCAGCCGCGTCTTCCTCGTCTGCCACGATAGCCTTGTTGCGTGTAAGGATAGGATGGCAGCATGTCTGCCGAAGACGGAGAAGTTGCGCAAAGATTGTGGAAAAGGACTTCAAGAGTGTACCAGCCTTGATGTTAGTGTTGAAGGTTTGTTTCGCTCGGGTATAGATATAATCATATATTTCTCGCTCCTGTTCAGAGAGTTCAATCTCCTCGATCTCGATGGTCCGCTTAGGCAAAGGCACCAACGGCTCCCCCTCGGGAGTCTTCATGGTTTTGGTGCGCCGAAGGACCAACGGTTCGAGAACCGTCTGGACGACACTGAGCGCGCGTACAAAGTCTTTTGATTCAAACGGCGTAGTGATGAACGTCTTCCAGAAGGAGAAGTTGCTCCACGGTTCGACCTTGAGGAACCTCACCAAGCTGAACAAGTCCTCCAGGCGGTTGACGATAGGAGTCCCCGTGAGGACCCATCGATGGGTAGCTTTCAGCTCGTAGCAGGCTCTTGCTGTCTTTGACCGGCGATTTTTGATGATATGGGCTTCGTCGAGGATGACTCGGAAAAAGTCTAGAGAAAATAACCCCCCCGGGGTCAAGGCCGCCAAAGTCGTCGATGCCAGTTGCCGGTATTCCGCCAGAACAACTCCATAACTCGTCACAATAACATTGGGAGCTGCTGCATTGCCGGCAGAGCATAGGTCCCGTAAATTAACTGCCTTTTCCGTGCCATAATACATCAACACCTTCATTGATCCGGGCTCCGAGGCCTTCAAAGCCTCACTCTCCCACTGTGCAAGAAGCGACGTTGGCGCAATGACCAATGTAGTATACGGCGCCGGAACCACACCCGTAGGGCCAGGCAGTCTTGTTAATCCGCCAGTGGCACCGGAGCCAGCGGGGCCTTGTCTTGGAGGCATGTTTCTGTGAGAGTGAACCAGGCTGAGCATCTCGATGGTTTTGCCCAAGCCCATTTCGTCGGCCAGGATACCACCAAGACAATGTTGTTCTTGGGCTGGAAAATCGAGCGAAAGCTCTCCCGAGTAAGGGTTGACATAGAAGTGCTCTACACCCTCAACCGTTGGAAGTTCCTTGTCATCGACATCTTTTAACGGCCAAATGTAATCCTCCCACAGTGGGTGCATGGAAACTTCCCTTCCGGATTTCTTGTCCCTTTCCTTCGCAAGCATCCAATAGAGCGCTTGTTTTTGGTATTTCCGCAGGTTCAGGACGAAGGTCGAGGGGGGCTGTGCTTCGGGCATGTTGAAGTCAAAGGACTGGGCTTTTTTGTAGAGTGCATCAAGTTGATCTTCTTCCAGCTCCGCAGTCTCTTCTTCGTCGGAATCATTGTTTCCTGACTTGCTCGTTTGGGTGGAAATCTCCTGCTCGGCCATTTCCGCTGCACGAAGCAACCCTTCTTTCTTATGCTTCTTTGTCGTGTCATCCAGGGACATGGGATGGAGTCCAATTTCATCAAAAAGCTTCACCAGAGCAACTTGGCGTAGACGCAACTGTTTCTCTTCAGTGCTTTCTGCTTCCTCGAAGAGGTTTGTTTCCCGGTTGTCGTCTACTGACTGAGAGAGAATGCGGGGTTGAAACGCCTCAATGCGTAGATAGCACCACAACTGCAAGTAGATGGTATCGTTTACTCGAATCCGGTCGGGAGCGAACACGCAGACTGCCCGAAACTTGCAAATTTTCTGATCAATCAAGGTCGACACCCATTCGGCCGTCTCTCGGGGCAGCCTGCCAATCTCCTGGCCATCGTCATTGGTAAACCTGGTGAGCACGTCGCTCTTTTGATTCACCCGGAGTTTTCCAGTACGGCCGCGGGTTGAGAGAGGTTGGGACCTCGCTCGCTCGATGTTGACAGAGTCCCCATGTTTAAGCAAGCCAAGGCCACTTGTAGTTGCCCAGGCCCCAACACCAAACGCTCCGATGTATCTTAGGGGAGGTTGAGATTTCGTGCGTGGAACTTGTTGGCTGAGCGGTTCCACTTTGGTCTTTTTCGGCGTATCGTCCGGGATAGGTGTGGTGGTGGTGGTGGTGGTGGTGGTGGAGGGTGTTGATTGTGTAGACATCACTCGTTCGCGGGCCGTCAATGTTGTCTGCGTTGCTCCAGTGGTGCCTGCAGTCTTCCAGGATCCGTCAAAGTAGATGTTGATTGCTCTCTCCAGGTTACCCCCGGACGCTTTCCGAATTTTCGAAAGCACTTCCGGTGGAAGAGTCTCGCCAACAATGCTAGCGAATGTTGCTGTATCGAATCCATCTCTCTCCATCCCCTCTTGTTCTACTCGAAGAGCAATCTTTTCCTCGCGGCGTTCGAGGGAGTGGGCCGTGCCTGTAGCATGAGGGTTCTCTTCTCGAGACACCGCAAGGGAGCCATTCAGAAGTGCAGTGCCATCCGTGGGCGATGAAGATGGTGTCGACGCATCAACGCTCAAGGGTTCGTCCGCAGGGTGGGCGACATCGTGCTTGTCGTCGACAAAGAAGCGTCTCTTCTTGAACGGACGCGCATCTGAAGCATCAAAATCCATGATGCATCGGTGGATGTGTAAAGGGAGGGACGGGAGGAAGGAGAGCGTTGGAGATTTGTTGGAGACGCGCCGAAAAGACGCGAAAATGCATTAAATTCGGACCGACGTCATAAAAATAGCCCAGTGGGAAGAAAAAAAAAAAGACACAAAATCGACTTGGGTGATTTCAGCTTCTCTGCAGCCTCTTAATCCTTGTTTTAACAATGCTGTGCGTCTAACTTGGTGGTGCTACTCCTGAGTTAGTTATATGTATCCATTGACCAACCCACAACCCTCCACCAAGAAACCCTCCCCATTGCTCCGCATACCTTGAGCACCCGAGATGTCGCTATTAAAGGATATCCTGCGGCCATCTCGGCCCAATCAGCAGATTCTTCAGACGTACCTGACTCACAAACCTTTGCAGCACCGACCAGGAAGAAATTTCAGCCAAGTGGCCGGCGCCGCGGAGGCAGAAGTGCAGGCAGCGCGCAACTACTGTCTCGATCTTCTCTCGTAGGAGCACAATACAATCCCCCAGCTTTCCGGAACCGGGCATGTCATGCCATGACTGACGCTTGACGCAGGAAATACGACCGACCCTCATATACCCTCAGCACGTTCATCCCGCGAAATGCCCAGGCCGCGTATCTCGCCCTGCGCGCCCTCAACGTCTCCCTCTCCATGATCCCCGACACCACCTCGTCCCCTGCAATCGGCCTCATGCGCTTCCAGTTCTGGCGAGATGCCGTCGCCAGAACCCTCGCGGGGTCCCCGCCCAAGGAACCCATCGCGATCCTCCTCGCCTCGGCCGTCGCCGACCTCCACCAGCGAACCCAGGGCTCCGCGCGCCTCAGCAAGAACTGGCTCACTCGCATGATCTCCGCGCGCGAACAAACCCTCACGAATGACCCGTACCCCAGTCTTGCCGCCCTGGAGACCTACGCGGAAAACACCTACTCCACAGTCCTCTATCTGACCCTCTCGGCTCTCCCTATGGCCTCGGTCACCGCCGACCATGTCGCCTCGCATATCGGCAAGGCCGCCGGGATTGCCGCCGTGCTCCGTGGATTGCCGTTGGTCGCGTTCCCTGCTGCTGCTGCACCACAGCAGCCCAAACAAGCCGTCGCCGCCGCCGCCGCCGCCGCCGGGGGGGTGAAGCAAGGCGCCGTGATGCTCCCCTTGGACGTTATGGCCCAGGCCGGCGTAAAGGAGGAAGAGGTGTTCCGACAGGGGGCCGACGCACCCGGTCTGCGCGATGCGGTGTTTGCGGTCGCCACCCGCGCCAGCGATCATTTGATTACCGCTCAGCAGATGCTGGGCAATCTTCGCGCGGGCCAAGATGTCGGCCATGCCTTTGAGCATGAGGGGGAGGAGGGCCACCAGTATGAGGTGGTTGCCCCGGACGCACGCGGCGATACGCCTCTCGACGAGGTGAACCGCGCCTTCGGTGTCTTCCTTCCTGCTGTGGCTACGCGTCTCTGGCTCGATAAGCTTGAGAGTGTGGATTTTGATATCTTCAAGCCGGAGCTCCTCCGGTCCGACTGGAAGCTGCCGTGGAAGGCTTACATGGCGTTTAACCGCAAGTCTCTATGAATGTTGTATGGACGAATTACATATTAAAGAATGTTATCATTCATTGTACAATAGAAACTTCATTCATTGTACAATAGAAACTTATATATATATAGGCAGCACCCGCGTTGTAGGGTTTCTTTCATGCCCGTTTGAACCTCTTCTCGCTTCGCTGGCGTCTCGAGCTGGTAATCAGGCGTCGTTGCGCGAGCAAGACAAAGTATCGTTGCAGTTTGTCGCGCCTAGGACCACACAGGCATTATTAGTACACTGATCGCAAGATCCAGAGCGAGCTACTCACATCAGGAAAATGGTGGTCGCGAACACAAATGGAATCGCAATCATCCAGAAATACCTGGACATTGTTAGCACCAGCTTACTACACATTGGGGGGGGGGGGGACAGCCTTTATATACATACGTGTCGCTATGCGCAATACCAGCGAAATGCTCAAAGTTCATACCAAAGTAACCCTAGCAACATTTAGCCCGGGGATAAGGTCTCGCTATTATGTACAATAGTGCTGGCATACCGTCAAGAACGTCAGAGGAAGATAGAAACAAGTCACCAGTGTCAGTTGCTTCATACTTTCATTCTGGTAGGCCCCTACATACTGTAAGAATAATGCAACGCCCCTGGAAGATGAAGAGAAACTTACCAATTGTGTTAAATATCAGATCGATCATGTTGTCCGCAGCACGCCTCATTTGGTCGTATGTTTCAACAATCGTAATGCAATGATCCAGCACATCACCCAAATAGGTATGACACATAGAACTGATTGAGACACTAGGGCCGCCAGTACTCATAAGGTTGGGCGTGGTAACTCCAATGTGAAGCGGTGTCGAGACCCCTGGCGTGGAAAGCCCCAGGGCCGGAGCCTTGAACGTGCCCAACCCAGGAGTGCTAATGCGCTCGGACCGATGGTCACGAAGGGCATTGATAACAGTCACAATTGGTTGTATCGAGTTGCGAAGGACTGCAATCTCAGAGGTCAAAATATAGAGGCTTTTGGATTGATCCACATCCGGGTCCGTCAAGACTTCAAGTTCCAAATCGCCAATGGCATCCTGGTAGGCTATGGTAACCGGAATCGCAAGATCAATAATGGCATCCAAGATAGCTTGGACAAGCATACTCGCGTCACACGATTGGCGTAAGATTGTCTCTGGTTGGCTTAATCGTCTAACGATAGGAGCCTCAATATCATCTGCGCTTGTTTCAAAAAATGAAGTCACAGTGTTATCCGCGTGGAGAAAAACCGACACCTGTTCAAGGGCGACGGTCAGGCCCTTGGCCGCTAAAACAGCATGGCGCTCCATGAAGGCAATCCGGTCTTCATTCGGGCCACCTCGATACCGTTGAATGCTACGTGCAGTACACCCTGCATTGGCGATATCGCCAATGCACGGTATATCCTTGGAGGAAGACCCATTCGGGTTTGGATTGAATCCAGGGCCATAAGAGTTTATATTGGATGTTTTGTCTTCCCCTGATTTCGGGACAAAGATATCCTTCAAGGCGGCCAAGATGACATTCCGTTTGGACGGCCGCTTTAAAGGGGCAGTTATGTTGGTTAGTGTCGAGGTTCTTCGCTCGGGTCTCCACACATCCTCCGAGTCATCGTCTTCCTCCTCCGAGTCACTGGACTCCTGTCTGAGATTGATCAATTTCTGCAGCATAAGAACAATATAGGCGTGGTCCGAATACCAGTCCACCTTGGTGCGATTTGTCGTATTCATAAGGTCCTCAATGGCAAGTCTGTGCAGTCCTTTTTCATTTCCCAAAAGCCTAATAACATCCCAGCTAAGGCCGTTGACATTGATCCACCTGCACTGGACCCAGGGCTCTCGTTCCCTTGATAGAAACTGTTGCAGCGTATCATTATCAAGCGCATATTGCCGCATCTCATTTTGGGAAAAGTCAACAACTATTATCTCGCATTGTTTGTGGAGATGTTTGGCCAAAGAAGCCATCCATTCAGCTTTATAAGCTGGGAGCGGCCTGGTTGGGTCAATTCCGGGTTCTGTTCCAGGGTGCCAGTGTGGATCGCGAGCTATGGTCTCGGGATGGTACGAACGAGCTGTATTTGCACGACGCATGCGATGCTTAACTGTATCTTGCGAATTAACCCTGTCAGGCAAGGTAGTAAATGCAGCAGGGGAACTGGACTCCCAAATGCTGGGGGATGCAGGTTGTTTGGGTGACCGAGGATGGGCTTCAACATCTGGCACGTCCTGAGAAGGAGATGGAGTGTCCATCATTGACTCCAGATCACGCGAGCAGCTGCTCATAGTGCCTGGTTGGTTCAGTCTTCGAGAGTTGTGGAGTATTCACAATATATAGGGGAGAGTGAACCAACGAAGCCTTAAGAAGCATCCAGTTTCACGATGCAGACGCTGAGAGTACCAGTTCAGCTCTCCTCAGGATATCCTCTTAGGGTAGGTTCGTCAAGGAACAACAATCAAGGATGACGAAGTGTAAAACCACTAGAAACGATGATCCAAGAGTCTGAGATGAGGATAAATGCCTGCCAGAGGGGAATCGCCCCCATGTTTGTGTTCAAGATGATGTCAGAGCGCGCCATCTTAGACTCTTGCTGAATCCCACGCGCTCAACATGAAACAAGCTGTCAAAACTCCGAGACTAAATCAATGCGCCAATCTAAATCATAATAATAATGTTCATACGGAGGAACTTTAGAATGATTTCAAACTTGAAAAATAGTATTATCTTGATTTCGATCTTTCGCTGCGGATCAGGCAGAGAGAGAGAGAGAGAGAGAGAGAGAGAGAGAGAGAGAGAGAGAGAGAGAGAGAGAGCCTGCAGCCGACGAAAACCTGATCTTGTATATCTCATGCTTCTTCAAGTCTTGCAAAAATGCATGTCCTATGAAATGTCCTCTGAAATATATCCGAGGGGGTTCACTTATTCCAATTCCGGTCGCTCGATATCAACGAACTCGCTGAAGTACACCTCAGAAGAAAGAGACGCCGTTGAGCTACAGATTTAGTCAGGACTGCGCTAGTTTGCCATGCGGTTCGGAATTGAAGCGCTATCTTTTAAGTGGGCGGCGCAGAGCGCTCAGGCGTTATCCACTCGTCCTGCCACTTCATTTCTCTTCTTCGTAGTAAGCTTGATTTGCAGTGGAATAAGATTCCTTTTTGGACCCGGCGCATCCATCCGTGAGAGAGGTTTTCGACATACGGGACAGGTTCCTCGAGGAGTTTTCCCTGAGTGGTCTGCTCGCTGCTCTTCACTGAATCTTAGGGTGTCAATAATGCACTTATGGCAAAAAAGATGGCCTTCGTGAGGTTAGTACTGATTCTGTCCCGGTTTGGAAACTGATAAGCATACCACAAGCTGTGGACGTTGCATCAACCGGGGTTTCCATGCACACAGGACATTTATAAGATGTCAATCTCGAACGTCCGCTTTCATCCTCATTTGACATCTGTGCAGTGATAGCATCTTCTCGTTGTTTTGCCAACACTCTGGAAAGAGCAGGGTTCCCGTCCGCCTCTGTAAGGTCAATCGAATCGATATTTTCTTCCGCCTCGTTCACAGGCTGGGAAACTGACGAGGACACAGCTGCGTTGCTCAGCCGCCGGCGTTTGCGCGAATCAGATGGTGAACCATGATTTATAGAGGGCTGTCGGTTATGAGGAGGGGGCGATTCAAGTATCCCGAAAACTGGGCGAGAGGAAGGATTGTAATGTGTAGAGGAATCTTGGTCCATGGTGAAATAAACGAAACAAGCCAATATCCGCGAGCCGTAGTCGAGCTCAGCCTTCACCACAGTCGTGCAAACCAAAGGAAATCAGCACTTTCCTGGCTATGTCATTACCTGAATAATTCGTAAAAGCAATGAAAGGGTTGGGGTTCGTCATGAAGAACGATCATTACCCGCGCCCCTGTGGAATAAGAAATGAAATTGTTTGATCCCTCAGCTCCCGTCGTTCGGCCACGATGATATCCTGCTTGTCGGAATTACTATGTTCCTGTAGGGCAGCCAATCGATCCAGAAAGTACGGAGTATTCCGTAACCTTATGTTGTGTGTATTCCCTGGAGTACAAAGTACGGAGTATCCGTAGGGAGCGAATTAACGACAAAGATGTAGTTGATAGAGTATATTTCCTGATATAGTAGGCGGTCTAGGGGTTTCGGAATATTGTTGTTCCTTTCCACCTTCTCATGACGCCGAGATACCGTGATAGGAAGGGATTCGACAAAGTACTCCTTCTTTGCAACAATTCTTGTCGACAGGTATTGGATCCATATATCATGGAGCTCATACGAATTGGTCGCTAGCGGTTATAATATGCTTTGGGGTCATTATTGCACGCCCTGGTCCAGGGGGGCTGCTCAGAATCTTCGCCTAGCCCGTCCGTTTGTCCGGCCACATACTTTGCGACGATTAGCAAGATACTACAGCACACAAAATGGAGACGGGGGATTACAGCGAAATTCGCTCTCTGGTAATTCATTTCAAAACAGAATGATAATGAGACTGTCGCAGCTGACTTTGCAGTCCCCGCTTCCGCTAGATTTAATGAGATAGGGGTCCAACAATTGAGCGACCATGTGTACTCCCAAATCTTCCTCGAAAAATCGAAGCGTCCAGATCCAAATTTAGTTGCCCTATCGAAAGAACATCTTGCGCGCCATGATCTCCTGGGAAAGTCCCAGGTCAACGCGGATCCCATTGCCTTTGATCTCCCCGCGCTTCAGGGTAAAACTCTAGACGAACATTTCTTCAAATTAGGAATGGACTCATCAGAGCCATACCTCACGTATGCAAAAAACTATGTGACAGCAACCTGCCCCGAAATGCCCCGCAAATGGGTCAGACGCAGCGGATGGACGAAATATAACAGTGACGGCACCTGGGAACCGGTCGACGCGCCAAATGAATCTACCATTACGTTTGACACGGAAGTCATGTACAAAGAGCATTCATATGCCGTCATGGCATGTGCTGTGAGCCCTACAACTTGGTATGCATGGCTATCGCCTTGGTTACTTGGGGAGTCGGAGAACGAAATTCAACTTGTGCCGCTCGGTGATCCGTCTCAACCGCGAATTATAGTTGGACACAACATTGGTTATGATCGCGCGCGGGTCTTGGAGGAGTACGACCTCAAACAAACGCGCAACTTTTTCCTTGATACTATGTCACTCCACGTCGCTGTGAACGGAATGTGCTCACAACAGAGGCCGACATGGATGCGTCATAAGAAAAACAGAGACTTGAGGGATAAGATTGCGAGTGAAAACAATTCTGTTGAACTTGCAGCTTTGCTAGAAAATAAAATGCTTCGCGACGAGGAAGAAGAGTTATGGGTTGGGAGGAGTTCGGTGAATTCACTCCGAGATGTGGCCAAATTTCATTGTGATGTCACAATTGATAAATCGCAGAGAGATCATTTTGGCGAACTCGATAGACATCAGATTCTGGGGAAGCTGGATGAGCTGCTCGACTACTGCGCTGCTGATGTTGCCATTACCCACCGCGTGTACAAAAAGGTCTTTCCCAACTTTCTCGAGGTTTGCCCTCATCCAGTCAGTTTCGGCGCCCTGAGACACCTTTCCTCTGTCATTCTTCCTGTTAATCAAACATGGAATGAGTATATTGCCAACACAGAATCAACCTATCATCAACGCCTTGACGATGTTCAACGGAGACTTGTCGAGCTATGTAACGAGGCCCTGAGTGTCAAAGACGATCAGGAGCAATATACAAACGATCCTTGGTTACGCCAGCTGGACTGGTCGGGCCAGGAAATCAAAATGGTCAAGGGTAAGAAAAAAGGTGACCCCCCCCGGCCGGCTGCCCGACAAAAGAAGCCCGGAATGCCTCAATGGTACAAGGACCTTTTTGCCTCAAACACAGCCGACATTAATTTAACGGTGCGAACTCGGATTGCCCCCATACTGCTCAAGCTATCGTGGGATGGCCATCCTCTGATCTGGTCGGATAAATACGGTTGGACGTTCAAGGTGCTGCGCGAGAAAGCCCGCCAGTATGAGAATCAACCGGTGGTTCTATGTGATATGTCGGAGGAGAAGAATCCCGAACTACAGAACGACAGAAAGAACATTTACTTCAAGCTTCCTCACAAAGATGGACCAACAGCGCGATGCATCAACCCATTGGCCAAAGGATATTTACAGTATTTCGAACGTGGTATCCTATCCTCGCAATATTCCCTCGCCAAAGAAGCTTTGGAAATGAATGCCTCCTGCTCATACTGGATCAGTGCCCGGGACAGGATCATGGGCCAAATAGTTGTATATGAGGATGACCTGCGACCGTCCGAAGCAGAAAAGCAAGGAAACCAAAAGTTGGGGTTCATCTTACCGCAGATCATTCCCATGGGCACTATTACTCGACGAGCTGTTGAAAACACATGGCTTACAGCTAGTAACGCTAAAGGAAATCGAGTTGGCTCTGAACTCAAAGCCATGGTCAAGGCCCCGCCTGGCTATGCCTTTGTTGGTGCAGATGTCGACTCCCAGGAGCTGTGGATTGCAAGTCTAGTGGGTGACGCTCAATTCCAACTTCACGGAGGGAATGCAATTGGCTTTATGACTCTGGAAGGATCCAAGGCTGCAGGAACGGACCTGCATTCGCGCACTGCTCAGATTCTAGGCATTTCACGCAACGACGCGAAAGTGTTTAATTATGGACGGATCTATGGAGCTGGTCTCAAGTTCGCAGCTACATTGCTTCGCCAATTTAACCCATCGATGTCGGAGAAACAGACTCAGGAGGTTGCGAGTACCTTGTACAAAGAGACTAAGGGCGCTCGGACAACTCGTCGCATCCTACATGAGAACCCATTCTGGCGCGGAGGCACAGAATCGTTCGTCTTCAACAAGCTGGAAGAGTTTGCTGATCAAGAGCGACCAAGGACTCCGGTCTTGGGCGCTGGGATCACCGAGGCTCTCATGCGACGCTTTATCAATAGAGGCAGCTTCATGACATCGCGGATTAACTGGGCAATTCAGTCCTCCGGTGTTGACTACCTCCATCTCTTGATTGTCTCGATGGACTATCTTATCCGGCGCTTTAATATCAAGGCCCGGTTAGCTATTACGGTCCATGACGAGATCCGGTATCTCGTGAAAGAAGAAGACAAATACCGTGCTGCTTTGGCCTTGCAGGTGGCCAATGTGTGGACTCGTGCCATGTTCTCACAACAAGTCGGCATCAATGACCTACCACAAAGTTGTGCCTACTTTTCGCAAGTTGACATCGACCATGTCTTGCGAAAAGAGGTTGACATGGACTGTGTGACGCCGTCCCATCCACAGAAAATCGCGCATGGTGAAACGTTAGACATTGTGCAGCTCTTGGATAAGAACGAACCAGCACGTCTCGACCCTTCAATCATACCAGACTTCCCACCTTCCCCCGAGAAGTATATCTATACCCCGCGAGAAACGGTCATGTCTACTCTGCAAAGCTCCAGCAACATGGCTTTCATCCAAGCTCAAATCACCAAGGACGACAAAGAGCTCCGCGAAATTATCAAAGACCTATCTAAATCAAGGGCTCCGTCCGAATCTTCCAATGCACGATCATCGAAGGCTCGCACGAACCCCTCCACTATCCATTCGGTTGAGCCCCAGAAAGCCATTCTGATGGACGTAGGGTCGGGACTATACGGCGGCTTCAATGATTTTTCCCAGGGGAGCAGGCATCCCCAGGTCAATCTTAGCCGCCAAAATTGGAAGCCACGGCCGGCAGCACGGGCGTGATTAATACTAGTATTATATTCTCCCTCTTGATACTTTCACTTTCTTGTGTATATATTGTTTCTCGGCTCGTTAACCTTACTTCAGATATGGTATTATACGATCTCATGAGGCATTGGGAAGGGCGTCTACGAAGACCGGTGTTGAACTAAGGCAATCGATTCGGGTTTGTACGGAATACCTACGAATCTATCTAGTGAGATGTGTAAATATAAGAAAAAAAAGATATCCCATTCTTTATTAGAGATGAACTTCCCCCCGGACCACTCGTATAGTATAGTGTTCATGATCCCGTGCAATTCAGGCTCATCCCCTCTTTCTCCCAGGATCCAGCGTATTCCTCCGACTCAGCCCCTCAGCCCCTCGAACCATCGCATCCCCTTTCTTCCCCAGTACCACCTCTAGCGCCTGAATCAGGGCGGTCGAATCATACTGCATGCCCACGGGCACCTCAGTCCCGTCCCCCTGAGAAGAACCCACCTTGCGCCCATACAAGCGGAGCGTTTCAATGCCCATCTCGGCCAACCGATCGCGTTCGATTTGCGGAGTGCCGGGACCCTCCAGATGCAGCACATGCGTAACGTAAGAGGTATACGGCAGGGGAATCGGCAACGAGAGACTCGCAACCTGAAAGGGGGGCTGCATTGCAGTGCGCGTAGGGCTTGAAAACGCCGAGGCCGGTTCAAGGGGTACGCGGCCGCGGCTTTCTTCTCCGGCGCGGACGATTGCGTCGACGAAGTCGACGGCCGAGAAGGGGGCCGAGGGCGGGCCGGTTTCGCGGTCCAGCGAGCCGTTGAGGATGAGGATTTTGTGCCGGGCCGGGCTGGCGACGATGGCTTGGCCGACGCCCTGGAGGATGAGAGAGGGGATCAGCGAGGTGTACAGCGAGCCGATGCTGTAGAGGATGGCTTGGGCGTCGCGGAGGGATTCGAGGACGCGCGGGTTCGCTCGTGGGCGGATCTCCTGGCCGTAGGGGTTTATGTACCAGATGCGGGTGATGCGGGCTGGCAGGTCTTCGTTTTCGGTTTTGCTGAATTGGATGTTTTTGTTGCGGAGGGTGGGGAGGAACCCTGGGGGTTGGTCGTCTTCGTAGAAGGCTGTGTCTAGGACGTCTGAAGGCTCGGTGTAGTCGATTTTCTCTGCGCCCTCGGCTTGCAGGAGGCTGGAGCGTCGCGATGCTGGGCGTGGTGGCAGGCTAGGGTGGGAAATGCTGTTCTGCCCGACTATCACGGTGCCGTTGGCGAGCAGGGCAGAGATGTGGTGAGAGAAGTTGGAGTTGATGGCTGGGATCACACGGACGAGATCCGAGGGCACATCGCAGATGTTGCTGAGGAGGTAGATGGCGCTTTCGAAGCTCCCGCTGAAAAGCCGGGCACCTGTGAGAAACAGGTTGCCGACGCTGGCGGATGCAAAGTCGAATGTCGAGGTTGGGGGTCGAGCCCGTTTGAGAATCTCCAAGTTCAACAGGTTGAAGAATGATCTGATAAGCTCCTTTTTCGCCGGAGTGATCGATTTCCAGACCTCCGAAGTCCCATCTACAATCGACAGCCATTCTCTGTGGGCTGTATCATCTGCTGGAAGCCGATGGTTGAACAACGCTTTGATAGCGGCTCGTTCTGAGTGAGGAGGTGACGGTGGGATCAGACGGACCAGTCGACCTTGTCAGGTTAGTGAGCAAAAGTAGTTTCATTTGAAGACGGCACTCACTTCTCACATCGCCTATTCCAGGGCCTCCAAAAATCCGAATCAACTCGGAGGAGGAACCTCCGTTGTCGCTAATAGGGATAATATAACTGAGAGGACAGTTCTTGCTCTGCCGTACGGCGTCGAAAACTTCCACTAAGTTGTTGGCCGCACTTCCTCCAGAGAAGACCACTAGGCCCCTGTTTGGAGCAGAGGAGGTGTTCGACATGATCGTACGAGAAGCGCGAGATGGGATATACTAGACTGTTCTCTCCAGGCGCAGGGTGGATAGAGTGAGAGGATCCGCCTGCCAAGATGATTGAGGGTCGATTTTATTTTTAGAAATGATTTCGAGAAACTGCGGCCCAAATCTATAAATCCTGGCCCGACAACGGCTATCTCACAAGGCGTAGGGATGGATCTAGGAGTGGAAAAAAATCGATCCCCAGGATGGGCAGCGAGAGAGAGAGAAGCCACGCCACGATCTTTGTAGGTATTCGGGGCATCAACTCGAGGAAATCGAATTAGTTCAGAAGGAGTAAAGAATCAATAGGATGAGGAGAAGAAGAAGATCATAATGATGATGATGATGATGATGATGATGATGATGACGACGACGACGACGACTATGATGAAGATCAAGTGAGACGAAGAGAAGAGAAGAGAAGAAGAAGAAAAAAATCGAAAGAGGCAAAAGATAGCGTGGTCACTCTTCACTCTCACCAGGAGAAATGAAGCATCGTCAACACTTGAAAGAAGAATTCAATAGCCCACTAATTGCATTCATCTATGTAGTCTTCACGTTTAGAACTTGGAAAATGAATCATTTACACGGCGCCATTCGCACCAGCCAACCAACTACACCCATTCCTTCCACACATGTCCAGCACAAGCATCCAGATACAATTCTATCCACGTCCCAATCATTTAATACAGAGATCCAGTCCTTATGCGTATGCGGCCCAGCCTACAGAGTATGCAACGTTAGTCTCGGGTTCAGACCCTAGAATCCGGGAAAGAGAACATACCGCAGTATAATACGGCGAGGTTCTTCTCGTCCGTCGCCTGCTGAATCAGTTCGTTGACGATAGCCGTCACACTCAACGTCTTGCTCAGCTTCTTCGCAACAACAGTCAGTGCGCGGTCCGCTTCACTTGGCTCATTCGTGGGCCGCTGCTCCGTAGTGCCAGGAAGTTCTGGACGCCCATCCCCCTCTTCGGAGGCATCTTGCATTTTCTTCATTCGCAAGGGAGAGACCGTCCAGCTGTACAGGGGGTCGTACCGAAGGACGTCAAGGATCGTCATTATGCTGTAGGATTCCTGTCGCAGGGCCTCAAGGGTGAATTCGCAGCACCGGCGGAAAACACCTTCAGTCTGGGTAATGCCCATTCCATCCACCAAGTCGCGCGTTAAACGAAAGGGAACAACTTCGGGGACCGGCAGAACACGTCCCTGCTCAAACGCTACACCCAAGTCAATGTGCACGACCTCGCCAGTCCTTTCATCGAGCAGAATATTGTGGCCGTGACGATCCCCAAGGCCAAGGACATGGCCAAGGATAGAAATTGCAGCAGTGCTTTGGATATACGATAGCCTTCTTCCAAACCAGTCATCTGGGTTATTGAACTTCTCCATAAAGAAGTAGCGCATAACTGGGTGGAAGTGTTCCGTGACTTGGCGGAACGTTCTGACACGCTGCTCAAAGGAGCGTGTCTGCACCTCACTGATATACTTGCGGCATGCATTCGGTTTCATATCCTTGGGGTAGTACTTCTGGTGCGCGGGCATCAGGTAGTCGTGAAGTGGTATTGTATAGGGAACGAACTCAATGATACCAGCGTTGGAGGTGAGAGGAAGGACCTTGTATGTCCGAATCCCGAGGTTTCGCTGCCGAGTGGCCTGGTGATCTTTGAGGAGGCTGCTAACTTGTTCAAACACTTGTTCCATGATAGCGTCTTGTCGTAAATCATCATTTCCTCCCTTAAACTAGACAGCTGTTAGCTTCGACTGGAGCAAAGAAAAGGGGATAAGGATCAGAAGCCAAGTCTTACGAGTTGTTTATATCGCAAGCCATTGCTCGCCACAGCTGTCACAATCTTCGGTGCGCTTACGCCAGACGCAATGGTGAACTCGGGATAATATCGGGTCAATTTAGGGACATCGCTATAGTCACAATCAATGCGAATCTCAATCTTCATCGTCGGCGGAGGTAGTCGCTGCGTGGAGGCATCCTGCTCAAGACGTTCACCGGTGGATAGTCTCTTCAGCGGAACTTTGGCGCCGCTCTTCATTTTATCGTCTAACCGTTCCACAGCGAAGCGTACGTAATTGATGTTCGCATTGTGAATAGTCACCCAAGTCGGGCCTATGGTTTTGTCGTTTCTCAGGCTCTCGGCCAGTTTCCCCGCGGCCCGGTTACGTGACAGAGCGGACTGGTCCTTGCCTCCCTTGGACTTGCTGCTTGCAAATATCTGATACATTCCATGGAACGGATGCTCACAGCAGATTCGGAAAATCAATGCAAAGAGTATATTCTGGAACTCATCCGAGACATCCAGTAGGCGAGAAGTGAGTTGGTTCATCAAGGGAGCAAATTTCCGACTCGGAACCTGACTCAGATACTTCGAAACGGCTTTGTTGGCAATCTCACTGTAAGACTGATCCAGCCATAGAGCGCAGAATCGAAGAACATCGTTATTGTATGCCTCACTTTCTTTCAAACAAACGAGATAGTTTTCAAGACACTGTTGGAGGAAGGCCTCCCGACTCCGCTTCAGACGCTGGTATTCACGATCATCAAGGTCAAACCACTGCTTTGTCTTGGATCGATAAAACTTAAGGCTGTCCCTCTCTTTTCCTTCCGCACTTTTCAGCATTTCATCAAGGGCAAGCACCTCCTTTTCCTTGCGGTTGCGAAGTTGTTCAATGCGTCTAAAGTCTTCCAGTCCATCAGGATTCTGTAATTGTTGATCACAAAACATTGCAAACCCATGGTAAACTCGACCGGCCGTTGCAGCCTCCGAGTGATTCTTCAGCTCCTTTACCGCTGGTGTTAGGTAATTTTGGATAATAAATTCCGGTTTCTCCAGACGCGCTTCCGCTATATGATGACCCTTTGACGGATTAATTTCGGTCTCTTCTAAAACAGGGGGTTGATATTCACTTACTAGGGTCACTAGAAGCTCTGCACGGCTGACGGGAACAGTCTGTTTATGCAAGTCATTCCGATCCTTCAGTTGCTGGAGCATCTGAATTGAAGCTGCCATTTCACCTTGATCCCAGAGAACGTTCGCCAGATCGAATTTCGCCACGCCTTCAATGCTAAGCCCCAGGTAAATGCATTGATCAGAGAGCCTGGAGAGATAGATAGCTGATTTCAACGACGCCTGGGAAATCCCATGGTTCCTGTTGATTTCCAGTGATTGACGAATGACTTTCACCTCAAGTAGCTGCGCATCGAAGTCGCTCAATTTGATGGAAGACTTAAGATGGTCTTTTTGCTTGATCGATGAGAATAAGGCTTCGTGGGCGTCGAGTATCTCACCAACTTCTTGCACACTAGTGATATGAGAAACAGTTCAAGACCCGGTAAAATGTACATCAGTGGAACATACCTTGTGGTCTTCAACCAAGACTTTCTGGCTGCAACCTTCTGCCATTCATCATTGATCTCCTCTGTAGATTTTGAATTCAAGATATCACCAATCTCAGTCATAATGCCTAGAACTCTCATGGCAGTTCTCAACGACATCGCTGACCAACGGTCGCTCTGGATTAAATCCAAGCTATTCATGAGACATTCGTCAATAGATGCGGAGACATCGACCAACGAGCCGGCTGCATTGAGGCTCTGGAAAGCCCTAAATATCGTTGCTGAAGGCGAAGGATTAAAAGGCGAGACGGGCACATCCCATTGTCGGAGATTTGTTGCCGCCTGCAGTAAAGTCGAGGTATCATTCGAACCTCCATGAACCCCGAATAAAGAATTAGCAATGCCTTGCAGGTTTGTCGAGTTAAGGGCCTTGAGAACTCCAAGGGCATTCCCACATCCTGTCATCTGAACCTGGCTATCATACTGTGCGCTTTGAAACAAAAGGTTCTTGATCCCGGAGCTTTCGTGCTCAAGTGTTTCCATCACAGAATCCAATGAGGAAACTTGTTGAATGCCGTAAAAGAAATCTGGGTCATCAATGTTTTTGAAAATGTCATGAAGCAGCCCTGCTGGTGCCTCATATTTGACAATTGAGGAGCGCCGGGAGCCAGACATGGACCGAGACGCATGGGTCTCAAGGAACAGAAGGGCTGTCTTAGGTAGTAGGCATCTACTAGCTGCTGAAGCGGCTTCTGCAAAATCAATCTCCAGCCACCCATCCCGATCCACTATCGTGTTTTCATCCGGCATCGGCTGGTTTCGCAGATAGAGGATGCAGTTTATAACAAGACGCGCATGCGGGATAGTATTATCGTCAACATCCTGCAAGGCTTGTTTGAAAATCTCCGAAATCGTCCGGCGAACATCCACTTCTCCACGAAGCTCCGCCAGCAGAACATCGTGTAAGATATAGGGGAGGATTTGGGCCGATAAATCAGGGATGAGGAATAGAATGTTTCCTAATGGTCCAACAACTGGGTCTTGCTGCGCTGCGTTCGAAAGAAACAAGCCAATATTCCGAGCCCAGTGAGCAAGTGAAAGGCTCAAATCCCATCCTATCACGCTATCACGCCTCTTTGCCTCTGATGCTGTTAATGATATTCCAGGGCAGTGGTACACATTCCAGGTGAGAGCGTCCCTGAGAGAAGAAGGAATGCTATCCACATAACCTTCAAACTCTGAGGACGTGCCGAGATTGCTAACTATAAGCTGCAATGTTCGCTCAACAGGACCAACTTTACTGCTGCTTTGAAGCATGTTGCAAAGTGATTGAAGAATCATAGCTTTTGAGTGATAGAGAACGTCAACAGATGGTGTTGGTGTATGAGGTTGAAAGAGTGTCAGCTCCTGCTCTCTCAATAAAACATCGCCGATTTTACCTGTCACCGCAAAGGCCCGCCCGATAACTCTTGCGGCCCATGAACGGTATTCCTTCCCAGGGCTGAAATTTCGAAGGGTTTCACAGATAGCAACAGCATTTGAAACAGGATCCTCATCTTTCGGGTTTACCTTATGGTGATAGTCAACCGTCCCCGTCGGCTCCGTACAAAGAAGGGATATCACATAATCAGAGATAGGTCTGCTCAAGAGACTGTTCGTGGAGTTTCGGTCTCTCAATACTTCAAGAAGTAAGTCGCCTTCTTTTATATTGACAAATTCCATGCCCTGGGAGTAGTGTAAAGGCCGTACCAAGCGTTGGAAAACCGCATGGGTCTCCTCGCTTACCACCGATGAATCGTAGGAGACTAGGAAATCTTCATACCACCTAATAAACCTTTGGATTTTTTCGACCACCAGTTTCAGTTGTGGCTCATTTGTTTGATTTGTAGAGGGCGATGATAGGAATCGCCTCAGCGACAGGAGTGTAGAGACCGAGATTCCAGCCATAAGCCCCGGCTTCTCACGTAGATACGGCGTCCCAGCTTCTAATAGGTACCAGAAAATGCCCAGGACATCCTCAGAGCAATAGATATCGACCAGGAACGGTTGAAGCGCATGTATAATCATCTCAAATGGATAGTCCCTCAGAACCACAGGCCCAGCGACACACACCAGAATCTTGATCTTTCGGATTACCGAACAGGCGTGAAGAGACCCAAGCGCAGGGTGAATCGATTCCAAGAGAGTTCGACAGACATACGATGCCAAAGCCGGTGTCCATATGGTGTCAAGCTGGTATCCACTACGCTTGCAAAGAAACTCAAGCTCATCGAGAAGGTACCGGGCCCTAAATGAGGGTTGTTGGTTTGCAGGGAGGATGATCTTCGATGTACTCTTGGCTGCAATGCGTTTGAGTGTATCCAGAGCGCCATGGTATTGTGCTCTTTTAGAAAATGCTTTCTCGACTTGTTCACAAAGATCAAGAGCCCCAAAAAAAGTGGCTATGACCCGTGGAAATTGCTCGTCAATCAAGCTTACAAATTTTTCGGCTCCCAGAATTTTCTTCAGTCGGTTTTCCACGCCCTTTGGCTGGCTTCCCTGCCCAGGAGGGGTGCTGATATCTCGAGCTATTGTGTACGCCTCCGCTTTGTGAAAAGACGCTGTCAATAGCTCAACAAAAGACTGGTTCATGAAATTTGAAAGCTCTGTTGCATCGTCTTCACTGGCCCGCATCATTATTTGCCCAACAATCTCATCTTGAACATCACTTAGCATGTCTTCAATGCTTGAGTATCCAAATATGCTGAATGGCATCGTTGTGATTGAATGCGTTTCAGTCCAAGTATAGAGAACCTGAGAAGAAAAAAGCCGGAAAAGCTCTTTTGAATCTTGAAGCCCCAGTGTCTCCGAAACATGCCGGAGGCATTTTTCTGCATACCATAGAGAGTGTGGCACCTGAGCTGGGGTCTCAAACATATGGTATATGCTTCTTCGGAGCAATGTGTGCCATTTCGAAGCCAGCTGGGAGAGTAAAAACAAGCGAATCGCGATTCCCTCTTCCCAGTCGAGGTCTGTTGGGAGACTCTGCAGAACATCATCAAAAATTGCATCGTGGTCTCTAAGAAGAAATTGGCCAAATAACTGGGGTATCAGGTTGCCAGCATCGAATTTAACCCGGGTGTTTCCTTCCCGAATGATCATGAAGAGAGTTGTCCTGGGTGATGGGCGCGATTGGTCACTAGAATACCCAGGGTTCATCCTCACGACACGTCCTAGAAGCTCAGCAAATGCAATCAAAACTGACGGTGACGCCCTTCCTTTTGTTAACAATATTTCTGTGAACCAAATATATATGTCCAAGGCCGAATCGCTGAAATTATCCCACTCTTCGCCAGTCCATGCTTCAGCAAAGCTGCCCATCATACCAATGCATACTAAGTGGGAGGCCTCGCAGCGTTCTAATTCATATGACTGTAGGCATTTCTCACCCACATCCTCAAGTATCTCGAGTAAGCAGTCCCTCCCCATTCCAGAACATGAGCGATACACGTGCGGTAGAAGCTCATGCGCGGCCAATATATCAAGTTCGTCCAAACCGATCAAGTAATCCCTCAAGCCCTCTTCGGCGAACTGCTGGCTAGCATGAGTATGTGCATGAGATCTTTCAAAGGTTGATAGCAGGACAGTCATGTACCGCTGGAAACTAGAAGGATCCTGAAAGAGCGGCGAATCACTTCGGTTTGTAGTAATTATTGTTGACGCTTCCATAATTTGGTCACCCGATACTAACAACGGGTCGTCCAATTCCATGGCTTCCTCACCCGTGGCAGAAACATTTGCTTTCTGCCGTTGTCTATAGCCTTCTAGGACTCTTGTCAATACCGGTGCAAGCTCACGTAAAGCCTTATGAACAGCAGATTCGGATTCAACGAAGCACGTTTCCAGCCGGAAGAAGGGAGGGAAAAGTACGAGGCAGGCTTGAAGAAACACCGGTTCACGAGAGGTCAGAAACTGGCAAGTGCTTTCCCATATCTTGTAGGTGGTTCGCTGCAGGCTCTGTGTTCGAGTTTCTGAATGTGGGGGTATACATGATGTATATAGAGTGCTTGTTATGCAGAAGGACACAAGGATCTGCACAATTTCTGGGGTCACATGGTGGGACTTGTCTTCAGACAACGATCGCCAGGATTGAAGAAAGTTCTCGGACTTTGCTTGTAAAAGATCGAGGATACCAAGGTCATTTGGATCCAGTCGAGTAAACTCTTGGATCAATACGGGCTCTTTGGGGTACCACATATCGAAGAAATCCGGCAAGCCTTGAAGATCAAAGAGGTAACTCAGCAATTTCTTGTTTCTATGGTAAAAAAGCCAACTTTTTGCAACAATACCCGTTGGCCCTTGAAATAATGTTGTTGGTAGACAGAAAGGCCGGTTGCTGCATGCAAGGATCAAATTAAGAAGATCCAAAGGACGCGCAAACGTCGCAAGTTGTGCCGTCTGTATTCTGTCGGTTGCGGTGCCTACACCATAGTTAGAGTGCGGTTATCCCATGAAATCAGAACCCAGTGAAGACAAACCAACGGTCCACGTTTCTCTAAGCCATGCGCAAATCTGGCTCGAAGCATTCAAAACGGACCCTGGGTTTATCTGTGCCGTCATTCGAATAACCCTTGCCCATAGATCTAAAGATGCATCTGATAGCGTCGAGGGCCCATTCAAGTTGACAAATGAGAGCATTGAGCTTGTAGTCTCCGCAACGGCAGAGTACTCGAGAAGTTCAAACTTCAAAATACTGTTCTGGAGATTGCATGCGGCCCTGGATGTATACTGGGATGTGGAGGCACGAGATGTCAGATCCCAAACTTGCTGCCAATATCTTTTCAGAGACGGCGAGTTTGCATCAGAGCTACTGGCAATACTGCAAAAAATATTGTTAGATTCATCACCACTATTTCTTGGTGTATAAAAGGTTACCTTGCAATAGCAATCATTGTCCAGGAAGATATCGCACTGTTATCATCGAGTATATTGGGAATCAATCGCTCAAGCAAAGATATTTTCGACTCATTTCCGCCAAAATGCTTGGGAAGAAATGGAATTAACTGCAAAGCACATACTCTCCTGATCCCAGAAGACCCTATAGAGTCACGGAACACATCCTCTATCTTTGATGTGAGGCGTTGCTTCTTATTTTGGCTTTCGGGTTGAGTAGGCGGGGGCGAAAGTCGCACAGTAAGCTCTTCCGATAACTCGAGCAACCTCGCTATTACCCATATTACAGTCCAGTTATGTTCAGATCTGGCAGTCTCTAAACGGGGCCATAGGTGAAATCTTTCCGGGTTTGTGGGGCTCGTTGAATCAAAGACCAGTTCGTCCACCTGCAAAGTATCTTTCTCAGGTCGCTTGATATACTCGGAATGCAGAGCATCGACGAGTTCATCAACCGCTCGTGCCAGGGGCACAGATGGGTCTCTTCGAGATGCATCAGTCAGGGCGAGCACACACAACGTCGCGGTGACAAGCAATTCGTCCTTGAGGCCTATAAGCTTGGTATGCCAGTGTTGCCGAATTATCGGGATCAAATCCAACAATGTAGCCCTAGCGAGGTCAGAATTATCGAAAAAGATTCTCATCAAGATCGTATTGATGCTATTAAATGCCGCTTGATGTCCACCACCAGCAATCGCTGATGATCCCACCATTTGCGTCAGTGAACGGAGGATATTTGCAGCATTTTCTTTAAAGGGTGCGTTTGGAACCTCGGACAGTGCTTTAATGCATAGTAGCGCTTCTCCGACAGCACTTGTGAGCCCCTTTGCCTTCTCTCTGAAGGCCAATGTCGGCGTTGCTCTAGACAGGGTAAATGGCGTCCCGCTAGGCCCCAGGGAATCATCCACAGTAGACCAACGACTACTATATGGGCTCTGCTGACTATCGTCATCATGGGAGATGTTGATAATCCTCAAGCAAAAGCTCATTACCTTCTCCCATTCCTCGACGCCTAGATGTTCAACATGTGGGGGGTGGCGTAAAATAGTACTCAGGCATTTAGTATAATCAACGCTAAGGATCTCAAAAAGGTGGTCATTAGGATTGATTAGAGTATCAGTTATATGGTCAATAATGGCGCGAATCGATTTGAACCGTATATTACGAAGAAAAGCATCAACAGCGGCCCGCAGAACAGACACACATGCGGATAAACGCGATGCAGCTGCTGCGCTTTTAGAATTCGCTCGGTTATACCCCGATTTCTCAACGGTAATGAACCGAAATAGAGACTCAAAGATCTTATGACAGGCTTTGTCATTCAGTGATAGTCTAGGGAAGCGCGCATGGGCTGTTAATCATCATCTCCAGATGGGAATGGGCGGAAATGCTCTCCTACAGTTTGGAGTTTCGTTTATTCTGGTGTAGAATATGTTTGAGATCTATGAGAAGTAAGCGAATGCAATAAGACCATTGTTGAGATACAACAAACCAGCAAGTCCATCCGAGCGGTCTTTTAATTTCTCAGATGATAGGAGCGCAATGGCTCTATCGAGAGTAATTTCCTCCGGCATAGTAGGAGCTGTTTGAATTGTCGTCTACCTGAATTGCCAGGTTGGCTCATCAGCTCATCCGGGAACGTTCAAATCTTCCATCATTCATGTGAGATCGATCAAAATAATAGAGATTTTTATTCTCGTTTACAAGCACAGCTTTTCTCAGATACAAACTACTCGTCGACCTGAGCTGAGTGGGTAAACTGAAAATTGCCTGCCCGCCGCCTTTAGACCGCCGGAACTTTTGTCGCGTTCTCCGACCTTTTTTTGGTGCTGGAGAAACAGCTGTTTCTTGACCTCTCGTCCCCTCCACAGCGCTTCTCCCAATCCACAACCCAGTTCTGAGTATGGAAAGCTCAGAAACTCTGGTGGGCCTTCGTGGCTTATACCAGGATCTTTCTGCCATTTCCGACTCATCCTTTGTCAACATTGAGCGCCTCCGCATCGAGCTTGAAACTCATATTCAAGATTTCAGGGACCTGCTCGACAAGCCCACAAAAAACAACGCGAGTCGGCAGGCCGTTTTGTCAGGTATGGGATCTTAGCCCATGGTGGAATTTTTTTTATTTTTTTTTATTTCTAAGGCCGAGCAAGACGGTTGCAGAGCACTACGCTGACTTCTTCACCAATCCAGGCAAAATCACGATCGAGGATGTGGAATACTCAATCAACCAAGAATTTCAACAGGGAGCACTTCAGCTTGCTGATGCTCTTGACATTGATGAATTACAAGCAGCGGTGTTGTTCCTCAGCGCCCAAGATGATGCTCAGGTGCTCGACCGTCCTCCTCTAATTGCTGCGATCATGCGATTCCACGAACGTCGTCACTTCTTGCTAGAATCATTGCGCCTTATCTTCCAGGAGTCTTTCGAAGTGGAGCGAGAAACAACACAAGTCCTCATGCAAGAGATGCTGGCTCATGTGGTGGAAATCAAGGAAGGTCAGCTACGGAACGCGTCGCTGTTTACGCGAAAATGCATGAAGTCAATGGAGAATATCGAGAAATGGCTTGCCCTCCTTGGAGAACAGGTCCAAAAGGTCTCGATTGTTGGCCAATCAGAGGATCAGGATATTATGGAGGCCATTGAGTACCAGCATAGCAGTTTACTGCAACAGCACGAATCACTCGGCGCCGTTCTCTGTTACCTATTCAAAGGGCCATATACAAGTCCTGAGGACCTTCGCATATTTTTGACCCAACTCAAAAAGCTCGAGCGGTTTGATGGACTCCTAATCCATTATGTTCCCGCGATTATATCTGCCTTTGTTCAACATGGATCTCCTGAGCGTTCCGGGTCCTACACAGAGGCCCGGAGTCTAAATACGGCCATTGTCTCTTCGAAAGATGGACAGAATTGGGCTCTCCCTCCCTTCCACTCAGCGGTGATTGCACTCTGGCTCGCGGTATACAGTGCGTGGGATTTCGATGGCCCAGCATCGCTTCCTCACGGAATCGACCTCGAAAAGGAAATCGAGGAACGCACAAAAACGTTCATGACCGCCTTAGACGACGGAGGTCTAGATCTCATACTTGCCATCTGTTCAGGGGTGAGCAGTGAAGAATGGAGTGATCCGGCTCGCAGCGAACTAGTCACACTGCTCTTGAAGGAAAGCGCATCCGCAACGATCGAAAGGGATTCGTGCTCTGGATATTTGAAAGCTCTGTTGATGGAATATTTTGAGGCTTTCGCAGAATCTTGTATCGCAAATATGCCCGATGCCGTTCGAAAGCTAAAAGCCGAAGAAGATCTACAACGGCTGGAACAGATCACGGCTCTTCGGGACGGATTGAGCTCTAGCCTCCACCGGGGAGTGGTTGAGGCCCGAACACATCTCGAATCTTTCCTCATGGTCATGGCATTCGCATTCGAGGGTCGACCAGATGCGGCCCAGGAATTCTGGGCTGATCCTGATGGAAATCTTTACGGATTTCTCCAGTGGGCCTCGAAACGACAGACTGTTCCCAGGGTCAGCGCATTCTGCGAATTACTGTGCTCTATCTCTGGAGGAGAAGACAATGCTGCTGCCGCACATAGATTCCTTTCGGAGGAAGACAAGTTTATGTCCTCGAAATTTAAACGTTCCACCACTATGAACTGGTCGCAAATGTTCGCCGAGCTTCAGATATATGCTACAAGAGTTACCGAAAAGGCTCCGGCATCCCAAGGGGTCCTGCGCGCGCGGAAGTCTGAACCAGCGGACATGAGTGAACCCGAGAGTCCTGTCATGCTTTCGTGCTACCTCAGACTCCTAGGGCATTTGTCCAGACAGGGCGCCACTGTCCGGGAGTGGATGCTCCACCATCCATCATTCAACATTGTTAGCACCCTGCTGACCCTTTGTAGTGGCCCAATACCCACTCACTTAAGAGCCACTGTTTTCCAAGCGCTTGCGGCCTTGATGACTGATAGGACTTCGATTAACGGCAATGAGATGTGGCTCACGGTTGATCAGTGGATTTCGGGTGGCGCGATGAGCGCTTCCGGCCTCAATAAAGTGCCTATCGCCTCGAATCCTCTTGTATGGCACGAGCAGCAAGCTTTCCAGAAAATTGGCGAAAGCTTCGACCAAGCAAATGCTTTTGTGGTGCTAATACACTCTCTTGTTTCTCCGGCCATCGATTCAGCCGATTATCACCTCTCTTTACCATTCCCCGAAGCCCTAGGTTCGTCCTATCGCATGCCAGGTATCGAACCTTACATAGACTTCATCTTGGGTCAGGCATTGTCGAGAAGAGTTCCTGATCTCAATGAACGCCAAACAAGATTACTTACCTATAATTGCTTGGACTTTATCGTGACATGTCTGACATCCTTTAACGAAACCCTCGTTACCGTTCTGAGTCGGCCTTCCGTTTCACCAGACTCGGCCCTTAAGAATTCATCACTAGTCTCTTACGTCCGGCTTCATCCATTCACACGGGTAGCTGAGTGGTTATTCAACGAAGATGTGGTAAAAGTGATATTTGCAACAGCCCAGCAAGATGTAGCTGAAATCGCGAAGGCTGCGTCGGACTCAATCCTGGTTCTGTCCTTAGTCAAGAGCATTCAAATCATGGATATGATATTGGATCTCCAGTCCACCTATTTTAATATTGTTCGCCCGTTCATCAAGTCACAAGCAGGTGGAAGCCGAATCAACGTTGCAAACTCGTCGCTATCAGCCTTCGAGGACTGCATCTTGAACAACTTGAACATTATCTCCTCCTTGTGTCTCTACTGCAGTACTGGACACCAACAGCTTACGGTCACATCGATGGCACTTCTGGAGAAGCTGTCCAGCTCCGGAAGACTGAACAAGCTCTCGTCCCCCGAATTATCCAGGTGGCGGTCATCGAACAAGATTGTTGAAGTGCTGAGCACAGAAGTGGATGTGGACAGTGTGTCTCGTCCACTTGTATCACAAATGCAACCCGAGCTCCGAGAGCTTGAGTTTGGTGCCCAATCCTCAGGGTACATTATACGCGAAAGCCTGTTGGCACTCCTCAATAGTTGTCTCGGTATGATCACCGATCGGCCAACCGTAGCCCATCTCCTCCTTGGTTTCAGCAGTGTGGGCAATACCCTAGATGTTCCCCCCGACGGCTTATTTTCCAATCGAATGTCTCTGCTGCATGCCATAATAGGATTCTTGCACAGCTACCCTGATGAGCTTGCTGGAAATATTTTGCCTTGGACGGTCCGCCTGAAGCGTACGGCGCTCGAAGTGTTGAAGCACCTCTGGTCCTCTAAACTTTCTTCCTACTTCACATTAGCGGAGATGCGCGCTAGTGGATTTCTCCTCAGTATGTTTTCCAGCCAGCCTCTAATAGGACCAAACACCATATGGGATGGACTTCCGGTCTCCGCAGAAGAATTCTGGGTATGCGAATCGACGACAGCCCTAGCGGAATTCCTCTTATACAGATGCTACCTATTTGACTACGTAGCGACAGAGATCCGCTCAGCCGCAAAGATTGGTTCGCCAACTCTCCAAGCAGATATTCTTTCGATTTTATTTGGAAGTTCTATCTCAGAGACAGGAGCAGGGGTTCCGAATCCGACCATTTTTGACCTGTTCGATTTTGCCGATCTTGATCTTCAGCGCCACTTCCAGCCTCCCCAGCTGGGGTTCCTCGACGGTATTGCTATCGATACCTGCGCGAAACCTCAATCGGATGACTCACTTGTCTTATATGATGTGGCCGAGGTAGAAGAGCTCATACGAGTCATGAGAGAGGAGCAGGTGACCCAAGGCCATCTGCGACCGCAAGATGAGGAACAGTTTGCAGTGGAAGCAGAAAGCCTAATGCTGTTCATCCAATCGACAAACCAGTCTAGACAGATTAGATTTAATCGTCACTTAGCTCTCCGTGCCTGGACTGAGCTTATAACGACGATACTTACTTGTTCTGACATTGATGGGGGCCGAAAATCCACATTCATACTGCATTCCATACAGTTGATTATCCCTAAACTCGAGGTCGCTATCGAGGAGAACCTCCCGGAAGGAATCGAGTTGGCACGGCTAGCTGAAACTCTCGTTGGTAAGCTGGAGCCAACGGCAACAAAAACCACTTCATCACGACGAAATGGAGATATTGTCGATGAAAAGCTCCATCAGCTGTTCCAAATTTGTGTTCGAGGCATTGTGCTGGCAACTGGGAATTTCCACATGAAGGAGACCTTCTACAACATCTGCTCACACTACATTTCGCGTATTGTGTCTCCAGGAACTGGACATGAGAACATGAGACATCACAGCCAGCAAGTTGTCAAGGCCTCGGGTCGTGCCTTGATTGAGACGATTTGCGACGATGCTTACAGTGGTCAGGAAACATGCCGAGTCTCGGCTTTATTATTTCTCAATTTCCTGGCCGCATTAGATCGGCATGCAGACTCTGTGTTGGCAGAGTCAATATCTCAATCCAATTACCTCAGTTTATTTTTGGACAGCATCAGAGCGCTACCACTCGAGCTAAAGAACGCACAAGCGAATGGTAAGCATCTCCAGAACTCTTCCCTGCACACCGCTGCTGAACATATGACCCCAGATACTCCTTTACTATTATCATATTACGAGTCATTATTATCATTACTTCAAGAACTTTGCCAGACAAAAACGGGTGCAATTCATGTTCTCAAGACTGGCCTGTTCCAGGCGGTACGAGATTCACATCTATTCGCTGCGGACCCAGACCTTGGTATTGGTAAGCCGGCCATCCGATATGCATTAGTGATGCATTCATATTTATCTAATCGCCCTAGATATTGATAACCCCGATGCTCTCCGAAAGTACTACGATCTCCTTGACTCGGTCCTGCGGGTCATTGTCACGGCAGTATTCTCCCGCGGGCTTCACAACGAGCAGATGATGGAGCAAACACGAGCTTTCCTCGCGGAGAATCGACAAAGCATGGTGGGCATCTTCAAGCGATTTGCTAAAATCGGAGGCGCGGGTTCTGCAAATCATCATAGCGCTCTTACCAATCTTGCGAAGTCGTACACAGCGCTCATTGCTGCTACAGAATTTTTAGAGGTAAGCTCCCCTCGTCGTCTAGCAATTAATGTAACCCATTCACTAATCCACGTTCCTTTCAGGCCGAGGAGAAGGAAGTGGAGGAGCATATGGGGCCGACATTATTTTCGTAAGCTTAGTTTTCCATGAGATGAGAGTCACGATACGATGCATTAGTTGAGGAGGCATAATGGTGTATTTATGGAATGAGCATATGGGAATCATCTTCTTAGCCTCAACCACTTTCCCCCAAAAAAAAACATGAAAAATATATAACTTCATTAAACTTGCATACTCAATCCAGAAGGCATATTAATATTTAAACAGTGATGGAAAGGTGGAGGAGGGAGTATATATGTATGTAGGTACAGTATGTCTGTATGAAATGGAACCGCGAACGTATTATCTTATCTCCGACTCAAGCGTCCCAAACCCAACTTCTCCCTCCTCAACTGTCCCTCATCTGCTCACCCACCCTGTTTCCTCCGATCGTCAACTCATCAAACGTCTGACTGCAGAATTTCGGGGATTTCAAATTCCAAAAAGAAAAAAAAAAAAAAAAAAAAAAAACAGCGTCTGCCATGTTCCATCGGATCCAGAGTTTCTTTGGGTCTTTCCAGCGCTGAATGTCCTCCCTCGTCATTTTACTTTGGAATAGAACCGGGTAGATGCAGCAGATCTCGAGAGGCGCCACCGAGCAGAGGAGCGGTAAGCGCAAATCGTCTGGCAAGAGGAAGCTCCCAGGTCAGGAGGAGGCACTGCAGCAGTCGCATCATCAGTCACCGACCATCTCGGAGCTCCTCGCCAGAAACCAAGCTGCACACGACGATCAGCAGCATTCCTCTCCATCGAGCAAACGTGCCCGATTATCTTCATCGGAACCAGATCTCCCACCCTTACCTGTCCCTCCAAATCAACACAAATCCGGTAGGATGTACAGCTTTCCGAGTACGGACCCCAAGTCAAGCGGGTTAGGTGCTCCGGGTGCAAGCGGTCCCGCTCTATCAACCCCTTCCCTCCAATCTCGCCCCTTCAATACGTCATCGCACCAAAGCAATTTCACACCCCATACCGGCGCAAAGAGGCTTGTTGTGAAAAATCTCCGAACTGGCTCGCGTCTGAATCAGGATTCATACTTTGATAAGGTGTGGGGTCAGTTGGACGCAGCGCTGTCGGCGATATTCAGCGGCGGAAAGCCCGAAGTATCGATTGAAGAGCTTTACAAAGGCGCAGAAAATGTGTGTCGTCAGGGCCGAGCTGCGATTTTGTCCAAGCGTCTGCAAGGCCAATGTCGAGAGCATGTTGCGGGGGAAATGCATGATGCGTTAGTAGAAAAGGCAGAGGCTGGAACCAACATCGACGCATTGCGGTCTGTGGTCGAGGCATGGAATACTTGGCAATCAAAACTGGTATTATATGGAATCTTGCTTGTTTGGTATATGGCATGGCGGTTTACTGACAGCCTTCGCAGGTTACTGTTCGTTGGATCTTCTACTACCTTGACCAATCCTTTCTCCTCCACTCCAAGGAATTCTCGGTTATCCGCGAAATGGGGCTGGTGCAGTTCCGCCAACACATATATTCCGACCCTATCTTGAGACCGAAGATCTTGAAGGGCGCGTGCGATCTCGTTGCAGCGGACCGCAGTGAGGATCATAGTATGGTTGCTGATTCAGCTCTCCTTCGAAATGCGATTGATCTTTTCCACGGACTTGATGTCTACACTTCTGGGTTTGAGCCTGCTCTCATTTCGGAATCCAATACTTTCTTTACAATGTGGGCCCAACAAGAATCATCAGGATATCTAGCCTCTTATGTTGAAAAGAGCCATAGCCTCATCCGGCGTGAAGTGAACCGGTGCGAGTTATTTTCCTTCAACCGAAGCACGAAGCAGAAACTGTCCGGGCTGCTCGATCAGACCTTAGTAACAGAGCAAGAAAGTGTGTTATTGAATCAAAATGATGTGCTTGGGTTGCTACGGGTAACAAATAAGCTCGCTTTAGAACAGCTTTATACACTCCTTGGGCGAAAGGAGCTCGGACCTAAGTTGAAGAGTGCTTTCAGCGCATATATTGTCGAGGAGGGAAGCGGTATTGTTTTCGACGAAGAAAAGGGAGCGGAAATGGTCGCTCGTCTCCTGCAATTCAAGAAGCAGCTCGATGATACCTGGCATAATTCATTCCATCGAAATGAGGAGCTCGGGCACACCCTCCGCGAAGCCTTTGAGACATTTATGAATAAGGGAAAGAAATCCGAGGCTACTGGGGGAACTGACAACCCGAAGACTGGAGAGATGATTGCCAAGTATGTCGATCGGCTTCTTCGCGGTGGGTGGAAGCTGGCTCCAGTACGGGGAACGGAAGATGTGCCACTCACAGACGAAGATGCCGAAATAAACCGACAACTAGATCAAGTGCTAGACCTGTTCCGTTTCGTCCATGGCAAGGCTGTTTTTGAGGCCTTCTACAAGAATGATCTTGCACGTCGACTATTAATGGGGAGAAGCGCCAGCGATGATGCCGAAAAGAGTATGCTTGCAAGACTCAAGACAGGTGTGTAACTCGACTCCCGCATAGAGATTTATCTAACAGCGCCCGTCAGAATGTGGCTCAAGTTTCACCCACAACCTCGAGTCCATGTTCAAGGACATGGAGGTCGCTCGCGACGAAATGGCTGCTTATAGCTCTATTCAGCGCGAGCGAAGAACCCCGCTCCCAGTAGATCTACATGTCAGCGTGCTCTCAGCGGCTGCTTGGCCGACATACCCCGACGTTCAAGTACTGGTACCTCCTGAAATTACATCTGCGGTGAAAGACTTCGAAAAGTTCTACGACAGCAAGTACAATGGTCGAAAGCTTGCCTGGAAGCACCAGCTGGCCCACTGCCAGCTGCGAGCACGATTCCCAAAGGGCGATAAGGAACTAGTAGTGAGCTCATTCCAGGCAATTGTCCTGCTCCTGTTCAATGAATTGCCTGATGGCGGGACTCTAAGCTACCGCGACATTCAAGAAGCAACCAAACTATGTAAGTTTCTTTGTTGTCCGTGCAGTAATTTAATTTTCTAGCTCTAATTTTGTATATAGCGGACCCAGAGCTCAAACGGACGTTGCAGTCTCTCGCATGCGCTAAATACCGCGTTCTCACCAAGAAACCAAAGGGTCGCGACGTAAATGACACGGACGAGTTTTCCTATGACCCAACCTTCTCAGACCCAAAGATGCGGATCAAGATCAACCAAATCCAACTTAAAGAGACAAAGGAGGAGAACAAGACTACGCATGAACGTGTGGCTGCCGATCGTCACTATGAGACCCAGGCTGCCATCGTGCGGATTATGAAGAGTCGCAAGATGATAACCCACGCCGAGCTGGTGGCCGAGGTGATCAAGGCAACTAGAAGCCGTGGCGTACTTGACCCTGTAGACATCAAGAAAAACATTGAGAAGTAGGTCTATGCATATATCTCCCCTCCCTCTTCCAGATTTTTATATGCATAAGTCAGACGCTAACTTGGGATTTAGATTGATCGAGAAAGACTATATGGAACGCGAGGAGGGGAACCGATACCAATATGTAGCTTAAGGTCTAATCTCAGTTGGACATGCCTTCTTTATACAGTGCCACATATCAGAGAGTATAATACCACCATACATTATTAACTCTTATAATCAACTGCCATTCCATACAATTACATTACCCATCCACTCCTCCGTTCACAGGGTTTAGCGGAGGGTTGGCAGAATCGCTAGCATGATACATCCAAAGACGGTAGAGAGGATCTCGATCTCCGAGCCTCCTTCACCCAGATCCTAGCCGATACGAGGTATTCTATCTTGTCCGCTTCAATCACCGTGACGGTAGACTAGACTCGACCACATAACTAGCAGTAATAGCTGGCTAGTCACGGGATGAAACACTACAATCTACAAGAGCCAGGGCTGAGAAACGAAAGAGAGGCCAGGTTCGGTACCAGTAGATCACAGATATACATAATAGCAAGATAGAAAGATCAGTGGGTTTGTGGTGTATATATATTGGAGTTAGGAACAGGGTGTTCCTGGCTTATCTAGCTATATCTCAAGGCCTCCCACATCAACCAAAGGTCGTATGGTCTAATGGTTATGACATCAGACTCTGAGATTCAGTGTCTATCTGGTAATCCCGGTTCGATCCCGGGTACGACCTGTTCTTTTTTTTGTTTGCAGTTTGTAGTATAACTACAGAGCGGAGTACTAACTAGTAGTTTCTAAATTTTTTTTTTTTTGGTTTTTTTTTTTTGGCTTCCGTACGGAGTAAGTACTACTTGCCACTAGTGTTTCTGAGGGGGTTGTCGTGGCTTGTTGAATACGAAGTATCGTTGTTGCACAGTACAGTAGGTTAGTTAGGGCAAGACAAACAAACTAACTTCCTTCTTCCTTTTTAAACATGGGGAAGTTAGGTACGCCGGGACGCAGCTCACTGGGTTATAGAGTCAAATTTTCTTCGCCGAAAATATCTCCAGACGGTCGTATGGTCTAATGGTTATGACATCAGACTCTGAAGTTCAGTGTCTATCTGGTAATCCCGGTTCGATCCCGGGTACGACCTAATTTCATTTTTTTCTTTTCGGTGCTGGGATGATGATGGTTGGATCGTTATTATTCTTTTTTTTCTCTTCAGCTGATATTGTATTGTGGTGGGGTATAGTTCTATGGGTAGAGTATGGTATAGTGTGATCCGTGTTAGTTTTAGTATGGAAAGTTGTTGGTTGGTTGCGTGTACATCAGAATATATATCTGGGTATGTATGGCTTTGTTTACCACCCAGTGCCTGTAAGATGCCACTGTAGGTGCTGTTTGATCTCTACTCGGATAATATCCTGATTGTCCCTAGTGGACTCAGCATTCAACTTATAAAAGTTCATGTGGATTACTTTATTATGCGTGCTGCCCTCCCCAGCATGAAATCCATCGAGCTGGCCTTCCTAGATCCCAGGCTAGAGCATGATCGGTGCACCCCATCAATCATCAGGAATGGAATAGACATGACCATGGCAAATGTAAATATGCCCAAAGAAACAACACAAAGAAAGAAACTGATGGCTCCAGGCGCAGGCTAAACAGGGCGACAGAGCCGTGCACAGGTTGCTTCGAAAAGGGAGCGTGTTGATGGCACATGAATCCCACGATGGAGACCATCGACAGTTCTATATAATGCTCTAGGAGCTGGGTTAATAGGTCTCTCGGGCTAAAATAGCCCGTGTCGGATGCCGCGTCGTTTGCATAGCTCAACCTCGAGGATTGACACAGAACAGACCAGGATCGGGGTATCCCAGGCCTCGCCAACTGAAGTCCAAATCACCTAGCACGGTTCCATGGATCCCGTCCATATCAATGTTGTACTGCCACCGTGAGCTATAGAAGTCGAGAGGATAACATTTGCGATACTGACCCGCCCAGTATAGCTTCATTTGCTGGTAAACTGCTCGACAAGCTGGCCCACGGTTCCTTCTAGTAGGATCGTTCCTCCATGTGTGTGGACTCGTGGATCATTGGTGACCCTATCATCCGAGTAATCCCAAATTATCCTGTATCCCAGTATGGGATTGAGCTAGCCCTTGCACAAGGAGATCTTGAGTTCTGTCTACAAACCTATCCAATTCCAGAGCGCGAGGATTCTTTCAAAATTAACTGGCTATTAAGTCTTATTGAGACCCTTTGCAAGGTATTTGTGGATGATATTGCTCTCCGCAATATTTTAATACTGGATGAGCAGCTTAAACTTGCAGATTTTGGACAGTAGTCACGTGACTTACAGAGTACAGATAACTTGTTAAAGTGATGTGTTGATTGGTTGAATCCCTTATGCCGGGTCGCGTGACAAAGGGACTTACGGAAATAAGCGGCGAGGGGCCCAGAAAATTCCACATCAGCAGTTTCGGCATTCAGGGTAGTTGGGTGAAGTGTAGCTAACCTACAGGTTAAAAAAAAAAAAAAGAAATGAAACAAAAACATACAACAGTCAGGATTCGCATGTGGTCACCCACCATACTACTAACTAACCGGCAAGTGGCTTAAGTACGGCTGAGCGGACGGGAAGCCCTGTTTTCCACTTCCTATGGTCGTATGTGCTTGATTGCTACTTTATTTAGTACTACAGAAAGCGCCATATACGATGCGATGAATCTTCCCCACAATGGTATTCCTTCTCACAGTATAGTACACGGAGCCGGGTCTGTTAACCAAACTAGTCAAAATTGTGTCAAGTATATTCCAGTCAGTGTCAAGCCAACTTTAATTCACAACGCCCCTGAGCTGCTGTCGACAACGGAGATTGATGGAGAGTCTAATGATTCCCCGCCCACACCTGAATTGAGCTTCTTTGTTTTGTTTTCCTTTCCTTGCCAACCTCCATAAGTGCCCACGGAGGGTAATAAAGTCATTTTCTCGTATTAAGTATCATCCAATCAGGTTGTGTGGTCTAATGGTTATGACATCAGACTCTGAAATTCAGTGTCTATCTGGTAATCCCGGTTCGATCCCGGGCACGACCTCTTCTGTCTCTTTTTGGTTTTTTTTACCTTGCTTTTTTTCTGCCTGTTGTTAAAATATTTATAATTGGATTAGACATGGAATGTGGAGAAAAGTCCTCGTTAGTAGTCTAGATCTGTCCGGATGAACACCCTAGGCTGAACGAAACTATTTTTATTCAAGGATGGACTTGCTACGGTACATACTCGCCCGAGAAACAAGCTCGACTCGGCAGAGACTACCCAAATATCCCCATTAATGCAACTTTCTTCGGTCCCGGGGATCCAAAAGAGGCAATCCTGAGGGTGGGCGTCTGGCTCGCGTGAAGCCTGGGCCCTGAGCTTCTTGCACGGAATGTGGGCCAACTATGGATTCCATGCTGTGGATTGAAGGGGTCTTAATAGCGGAAATCTTCATCTGTCGTGGTCTCATGACCGTTTTCTTTCTTATATTAGTTTGAGTAACAGTTGTTCTCTGTGGACGACAAGGGTATGTATGAACTACCAGACTACCAAAGTCAGAAAGCGAGGTACGTAGTAAAAAAAGCATTCGGTTTTTTGTCGACTGAGCGGGATCCCCCAGGAGGTAATCCGAAGCGCTGGTAGGCCTTGGATTTCAATACATGCATTATTGACCTGTCCATGTGAACAGCAAAAAAAAAAGAGATACAGATGTAACAATACCTCTCATATTCATGCTCACATGAATCTTATGGATCAGTTACACTCCTCCTTGGGTGGCAGATGCTTAGTTAAACCCCCCCCCTCTCTTTCCCCCTCCCCCAGCTTGGTTGTATATCTTCTTCTTCTCTGCTTCTTACCTCGTCAAATCTCGTACTTCTCCTTTTTAACCACCTGGGTGATTGAGAATAGCTGCGACCAATTCCTAATTTCTCCACTTTCCCCCGCCTTGATCGGACTGGAGAGCGATTGTTCTGTCCGGGGGTTTTCTGGAGTAACTAGTAGTTACCCCCGGAATCGTCATTAGGAGTAAAATCGCCCAGATTTCCATTAGTGAGCATCATTCACTGACAGACAAGGTATAAAGGAGAGCATTCTTCTATTCTTTCCATCCTTCTGCCTGCGACTCTGCTTCGTACTCTTTGTTCTTCTCCCCTACCGCCGCTCTGTCTATAGTTCTGGTGGTCGACGTCATCCACCCGGTTTCCTCGCTGCCAATCTCAACCAACCTTTTTCACCATGCAGAGTATGTTTCTGAATCTCCCTGGAAATTCCGAGAATGCCTTTATCCACTCAGTTTTTTCGTTTCCTGTCATCCCCGCGTGGATTTCCTCCACTGTTGCTGCCAAGTCAGATTTTCTCCACACAAGTGACCCGGGGGGCCTCATGTCAAAAAATCATGCACTAACGTTATTACCCCAGCCAAACATTTCTTTTCAGACCCCAACCATCTGGTCCAGACTGCTCTGCACTCGTTAACCCTCACAAACCCTTCGCTTGCATATGACTCCCAAAACAAGATCATCTTCCGTCGCCCCGAGACTGTACCAAAATCGAAAGTCGCCATTATCTCCGGGGGAGGCTCTGGCCATGAGCCCGCTTTCGCAGGATATGTCGGCCACGGCCTCTTGGATGCCTCTGCAGCGGGAACCATTTTCGCCTCGCCGTCTGCGGAACAAGTTCGCATTGCTGCCATAGAGCGTGTCAACACCGAGCAAGGGGTGCTTATTATCCCCATGAATTATACTGGTGATGTCCTCAACTTCGGTATGGCTGCGGAAAAGGCCCGGGCTGCCGGAATCCAGACTGAGTTCTTCGCCATCAATGACGACGTCGGCGTTGGCAAGAAGAAGAGTGGTAAAGTTGGTCGCCGTGGTATTGGCGGTGGCATTCTGATCCTGAAGATTGTTGGAGCTTTGGCTGAGGCGGGGTCAGTTCCCGTCGTGTCACTTTATACTTCTCTCCTGAACATGAGACTGATATTTCACCAGCGGCTCCCTCGATGATGTTTACCAGACTGCCCAGCTGGCCAACAAGAATCTCGTTTCCGTTGCGTCGTCGCTTGAACACGTTCACATCCCGGGTAGAGAAATTCCCGTCGATTCTATTCCAGACGACGAAATTGAGGTTGGAATGGGCATTCACAATGAGCCGGGATCTCACCGAGTTAAGGCCACTCTGGTAGAATTGGTTCAGACAATGCTCCTTCAGATGCTGGACCACAATGACCCAGATCGCGCCTACGTCGCGCACACCCCAGAAGACAATTTTGTCCTGTTGATCAATAACTTGGGAAGTCTTAGCACCCTGGAGCTGTCGGGGATCACAGATGAGGTTTATCGGCAGCTCGAAAAAGACTATCAGATCAAACCTGCGCGAGTGATTCAGGGAACATTCCTTACCAGTCTTAATGGACTAGGCTTCAGCATCTCGTTGCTTAAACTTGCAGACACCGGGCTGGGCCCTGGCAAGTCTTTCCTCGAACTCCTTGATGCCCCCGCGGAGGCAGTGGGATGGGCTGCCCCTATCAAACCTTCTACATGGGGACATCGTAATGCTGCCCCTGTTGAACTCAAGCAAATCAAATTGGGCAAGCAGCAGTCCAGCAATTTGAAGTGTACGTTCTTTGTACTTTGGGCAATCCCACCCGCTGGAAAATGATACTAACCACTACTATATACAGTGGATGTAGCTACCGTCCAAAAGGTCTTAGGGAGCGCACTCAAGCGAGTCATTGCAGCCGAACCCCTGATTACCCGCTACGACACTATCGTCGGTGACGGCGACTGCGGTGTGGGCCTAAAGCGCGGTGCGGAGGCCATCCTCGCCTTCCTCCAAGACCCCTCCTCCAACCTTACCGATGACGTTGTTGCCACCGTTAACGGCATCGTCACTGTTGTCGAGAACACCATGGACGGCACCTCAGGTGCCATCTACTCGATCTTCCTAAATGCCCTCCTCCACGGGCTTCGCGAACAAGATAAAGGTACCGCAACTCCAGCGACAGTCGACGTCTGGGGTCCCGCCCTGGCATACTCCGTCTCCGCCCTCGCAAAATATACCCCCGCGCAACCGGGGGACCGCACCCTGATTGATGCTCTCGTTCCCTTTTGCGAGACCCTCCTCCAGGCAAAGGACATCCATGCTGCTGCTCAAGCCGCGCAGGAAGGCACTGAAGCCACCAAGAGCATGAAAGCTAGTCTGGGCCGTTCAGTTTACGTCGGTGGCGAAGAGGAGTGGCTAGGCAAGGTTCCGGACCCAGGTGCTTATGGACTTGGCGAGTTCTTTAATGGGCTAGCGGAAGCCTTTTAAAATGTCATGTCATGTCATCCCATATGCCGATGCGGGGGTTAGTATATATACCTTTTATGATTTATCCTTAGTATAATTTGATGATGATGAGCATAATATAATATTGTATTCAATTTCAGGATTCCTGGAACAGTCACGTGGGGCGCGTGCAGGCCGTGTTTGCCGTGTTTGCCAGGGATCTGAATCGGGCGGACGTGATTGGCTGGCGTCACGTCGTCGCGTCCGACACGCTGCGAAAAAGAGCTTCACGCCTCTTTCTTTAATGCAAGGCGTCGACTTTCTTTCGTTTTCCCTCCCAAGTTCCTTCCTTCCTTCCCTTTCCCAACCTCTCTCCCCTTCTCGTCCCTGCTTCCCGAGCTGCAGTGCAGGTCTCTCTGTCGAATGAAGACGAAGAGAAAAGGGCTGGTTTGATTGATCTCTCTTATGTCGACCGTTCTCCCTCCTGGGTTTCCTCACCGCATCAATCCCTCCTGTTTTCTTCCTACCCGGTCCCGCGTTCACATTCCAGAGGTCGATTTCCCCACGTACATACCTCTGCACTTCTCCCGGCCGACGGAACCTTCGATTTGACCAGATTAAGTACTCGATAAGACATCCTGCACGGATTACATCTTTCCTTGCTTCGATTCGGCTCCCGCTTTCGTGGAAACCGGTTTTCTCCGTTTTAACCCTTCACGATACGCCCTTTTCTTCTCTCACCCGCAATTATCCTCCTCTCAGAATCTCTTTTTCGAGTTTCTCTCCCTCTATACTTGTCATATTATTTCAATCATAATAACACTGTTGGATTGTGTTGCTGCTTATGAAAAGTTTTGCTTCTTGGTGGCATGGACTCTCAGGACGGAATTTCCGTCCGGCCTATGAGGCGTAAGATCACGATGGCATCCGGGGATTTATACCGGTATTCACTGACAATTGGCTTCCAAAATTATAGTGAAGGTGCTCTACACGTTCGACGATGCTAGTAAGACGAATTGTCTAGCCCGATGGCCCCATCTCCTCGATATTCAAACCGCTGCTTTGGATGAAAAAACTCAGATTGGTGTCATCGAGCTCAAGACTTGTATCCAGGCCATTGTATCCGCAAGGTGGGTAGATGATTGATGTTTCTAGCTTTCCGCCGTACCAGTATTAACAGGGAGTCTCATCATTTAGCCCGGAATTGGTCGCCAAACTGGGTCAAGATTATACCGTCTATGCCTACGATTACTCGGAATACGAAACCCCCCTCGTCGGGCAGGGAATGCTATCATGGGTGCTGGCCTCGGCTTCTCCAACCCCCAACGCCCCGGCACATCAATCACAAACAATGGTCACCGGTCGTGTTTGCAAAAATGTGCTAGGTTTATTTTCAAAAGGGGCCCAGGAAACCTTGGAGGTCAAGCTGCGCTTAGTGCCGGTCCCAACGGTTCTTCAGAGCCAGTATTTGGAAAGCATGCAAAGATATCGTGAACTGAGCGATGTAATTCCGCATGAATTTGACTCCCAGGCTTGGACCAATTTCCTCCGCCAGAATCCTGGCTTGTTAGCCCCCACCACACAGCCAGGCGCCCGCCCTGTTTCTCCAATGGACCATTCCGGAATCGAAAGATTTCATCGGCTTCTGAGCGAGGGGTCTACACCAAGGGAATTACCTTCAGCGGGAGCGAGTGGCCCTTTTAGGTCCACGTCACCTGCACAATCGGCACTGAGTTCGACGAGCAGGGTGCACACTCCGGGAAGCCAATTTCCATTACACCAACAGGAACCCCCAATGCAACAGCTGCCTCATCTCCAAGAAAGAAGCCAAAATGATGTTATTCGTCCTTCCTCCAGTGCTTCCATGCGGGATTCTGACTTCCCGGCTCATGTGAGGTGTGGTAGCCGGAGGGGATCTGTCCAGTCAGGGTACGGAAGCTGCGAGGAATTATCTGATCAGCAGCCACGCAAAAGGGCTAAGCTCTACCGTGCAGAGGTGCCTGGAAAGTCTGATCTGAATATTGAAAGGCAGCCGAGTTCTCTCAGGGTGGCTGCTAGTACTGCTGCTTCGGTGCGGATTCACCGACCTACGCCAATCAATCCCGCCATCTCCGCAGCCCAGAATTTGAATGAAGAGCCCGTTCGCCCCCCTACTCCGATATCAAATTCCACCAATCTCCCTCGCCGAGTACGCCCAACACCTAGTCTTCTCCGTGAGTCATCTTTCCAGAGTACTACTCCATACACGTCACCATATCCAATGAGCGACGATCAAACACCGATAGAACACACTACTCAGTCTCCCGAAGAGTCACGGTATCAGGGCCTTTTCGAACCGTCTTTCAGCATGCCGTCCTCGCCACCTGTTCTGGATTATGGTCTTACAACCCGATCTAGCCCTGTGCTTCCGCCTATGACAACCGATCGTGATTCTGGATTCATGAGTGGGGGCATCGAGGACCTTTTGGATGATGAAATTGGCACACCCTTGGATGATTGCACACGACCCATATCAAGGAATACGATCAAAGGCAAGCGGACCGTCCGTTCTGCCATCCACCCAAGGTCTCCTACCGGCATGGCTACTTTCTCAGAGAACCAACCCGAAAGCTATCCCGTTCATGACGGGCCTTTCGAAACACAACAACAGCCAAACAAGGAAGTTGCTCCGGCACCTACTCGTGCTCCCACTCTTGCAGCCACATCACGACCGTCTTCACGTGCCAGTGTGCGACAGGCGCCGAAGCCCCTCGCCCCGGCGCCTATTTCGCAAAGTGAGTTGGAGCAGCTCCTGAGTGCAATTCCCACCAGCGATCCGGTTATGCCTCATGGACAGTCTTGGGGCGCATCGATGGATCTTGTCTCTGTTGAAACCCCTGCCCCTCAACCCATTAGCGAGGATGGCAAGGTCCGCAGCGGGGCCGGGGCTCGGAGACTGAAACAGGTGCAGGCACGCCTTGAAAAGTGTATCCGTGATGGACAAGTACCGCCTTACTGTGAAAATTGCGGCGCCATTGAAACGCCTACCTGGCGTCGAGCTCACTCCAAAGAAATCACGGGTAGCGAAGAAGATGCCAATGAACTCACCAAGGATCCTACTATCTTCTTCTGGCTGGCCCTAGGACGCGATGATGAGGGAAAAGTTACAAAGTTCAAAATCTACAAGAAAACCTTAGTGGAGGATGACAAGGACTTTGCTCAAGTCCTGCTTTGCAATCGTAAGTTCTGGAAATTTAAGCATGGTTCCATTTTCTCTCTGTTCCTAACACACTAACAACTTTTATAGCCTGCGGTCTTTGGCTTCATAAGTTCAAAACCATGCGTCCTGAAAATAAATGGAACAAGGCCGGCAACAACAAGAAGAAGCGACCCCCTAGGAACCGTCGTAATGGCGGCCCGCTTTCAACCACCGGCAACGCTGCTAGAAGTAGCAATAAAAGCGAGTCGTCCAAGCCTGATGCCTCTTCGCCGGGAGCCTCAGACGCGTCATCACCGGCGGGTGATGAAGGTGCGACTCCTACAGAACATGATAACAATAACGAGAATAAACCCGGGGACAACAACGATGCAGAAAAGAATGATGAAATCCAGGAGCCGTCGCCGAAACGCCGCCGAGCGAATAGCCTAGAGCCCAGGAAGTCATCTGATACTGCAGGAAGTCGTTGGCAAGAAGAAAATGCGATGGAAGCGCTCCGGCGGGCTATCCAGTCGAGCCCTGCCAGGAATCTTGATCGCAGTACTTCAGCCCCGGGTGAGAATAATCTTACTCCCAAGCCTGTCAGGAGAGTTTTGTTTCCTAATTCGCAAGCCGAGGGAGGGCACCTGAAAGCATTAGGCGAGTCAGTTCTCAACAGTCCTAGGCGAAGCCCGCGCAATTCTAGCACCCAAGAGTCAGACAAGCAGTCTGGGGGTAAAGAAAATCAGTCTGCGGCTGATCTGGTAGGGCTTTTCGATAGTCCGTCGTTCGAGTTCGACGTTTGCTCCAGTCCCACCCCCAGGCGACGAAATCAACGGGTGAACGCGGCAGACAAGAGACACTCACTTCCTTTCGTCTCCCCGTTACCAAAGACCCGAAAGGATACCAACCTAGACTCGACCCCCACTCGTCTGACAGCGCAAAGGCTCCAGCGTGTTCAAAGCAGTCCCGTGTCTGCATCACGCCATAACCAAACCCCTAAACGACCCCGATCCCGATTTCCCGACCTTCCTCTATCCGATGATGTGTTCGGCCCGGACGCATTCCAAGGAATGGACAATATGATCGTCGACATCTTCTCCGAGGATGCAGCCTCGGCAGTCCATACCGACCCGTTGTTTCCATTTGATTCGAACAAGTGTGCGTCGGAAAACTGGACAGACTGGCTACCATCAGACTACGTCTCCCCGACTGGATCGGACAAGAATCGGAATGAAGAGAATTCGACGGATATCATCAACGCACTTCTATCCGACCCCGACATCCAAAAGGATATTTTTCAATATACCGACTCGAATGGCCTGGATTCAGGATTCTTCAGCTCGGACTCCCTAAGTGGTGAGGGAGAAGTCCTAGGCGACAAAGGCAAGGCCTTGACGAATGAAACCATCACCAGCAAAGAACAAATTTAAAGTACACTTAATGTTTTACGAGTTTCTTTTTTTTTTTTTTATGTTACGATTACCACTGTGTCTTTCTTTGTTTTCTTTATCTATTTCAGCGGCGGCGTTCGGCGCAATCTGTCCAGACAGTCCAGGTGCCACGAGCAAACCTATGTTTGAGTATTATGGGTGGATGCATTACTTGCTTAACTTGACCTGTTATAATTGGTGACTCGAACGTGGTTGGAAATTTGGAAAGGGGGGTTAGAACACTCGCTACCACTACAAATCCAGTCTTAACAATAGTCCGAATACATTATTACATCGATATCGATACAACAAACAAAGCTAATGGATCTATTGCATCTTTTCCATTAAAAAGACGTAGAGTTGACATCCAGTAAAAGTCATAACATAACATCCATACCGGTTTAACCACTGAATCAAGGATTAACAAGTCTCTTCAGCGATATGAACCAAGCATATTGCCGTGGTTTCCTTCTTGGGCACTCAAGATTGAAATCCACCCTCCAACCTATCAACACATGACATTATTTATGGGTATATGAACGAAGATATAGTGATGAGCACCTGTTCGCCGAGTGCCCAGGAGTCGTGCCGTCTCGAAAACCAAGGTAGGGAGCACAAAGTCGACGACCGGTCCACTTCACTCATTCGAATCGTAAAAGATAGGCTTCAATCGGTGTGTAACGTTGACGACATTTTCGTAGATTTTGTAGTCTTTTTTTTTTTTTTTTTTTTTTTCCCTCAGCGCAGTCGTTAGCCAAGATGATTCCCAGACTCCATACCAGGATCGATATCGAGGTATGAATGGATGGATGGATGTGAGTTAGGTAGGTAGGTAGGTAGGTAGTACTTGGGTTATATGTCACGTACCGCAGTCAGCAGGATTTCCCCAGTCAGTGGTTGCCAAAACCCGGATTCCGAGTCCCTGTTGTTATCATTGTACCCGCGTTAGATTGTACCACCACCGCAGCCACTTATTATTCTCTCGTCGGCATTGTTGTCGTCGTTGTCGTCGTTCTCTTATTCGGGGCAAGTCGAGGGGAATAAAACACAAACCTGTCCGTTCTCCAACTCGGTCACTTTCCCTACAACCTCTACCAACTTGCCCATCTGCAGGTGCGAATCCGTCTTCAGGATCAATGTCACGTCTCCGTGGTTTCCGCAGGTGATTGTTGCTGTGTCGCCTCGCAGCGCTGTAACTGTGCCGAGTATTCGCACGGGGGGAGGAGAGCGGGGTCCTGCGGTAGAGGGGTTGAAGGCGTGCAGGTGGGAGGGGAGGATGCGGGGTGTTTGAAGGGACATGGTGGATTTTCTTTTCTTCTTCTTCTTCTTCTTCTTCTTCTTTTTGATTCGGCTCTTTGATATCGACTGAATTCGGAGGTATTGGCTCGTTGGATGTAATGTAATGTCAATGGCAGGTTTGGTAGTTTTATTGGAGGACGCGAGTTGACGCGTGGTCATGTGATGACGCCGAATAGACGTGTCTCAATTAAGTTATGGATGACTAAGCAGCACTCAGCCTGGCTGAACAAACTAGTTAACTAACCATCTGAAAATGCGCCGTCATAGGTACACTACCTCCACATTGCGAATTCTAGAGTTGTCGGGGAGACCTAATTTGAAGGTTACTTTCATGGATTGATTGAACTCCTTCTCACACTTTCTCTTTCTCGTCATTGAGGAAGCTCATCGAGCTCCTCTCCGAAATCATTCGAAAATGCCTCCGCCACTCCCCTCCTCGCATCGCGGTATGACCGCCAACCCAATCCGACCAAGCCGATACAGACCCGGGAAACCGATCGCCGAAGAGCCCTCTTCCTCAGAAGAGGAAGAAGAAGACGACGAGGCAGAGCAAGAAAAGATCCGAGAACAAGAGCGGCGCAGATTAGAGGAACAGCGACGGAGACAGCAGAGGCTACAGGCGCCGAAGGCGACTTCGTTCCCTGGCGCGGCGGCTACAGGGAAAATTACACAGGGAGTTCAGGATGTTAGGATTGAGCAGGGGGATGAGGACGAGGAAGGGTTTGTGACTGAGGAAGAAGAGGGAGAGGAAGAAGAAGAAGATCAAGAGGAGGGTAGGGGAGCGGCAAAGGCAGTAGAGGCTGCTGAGGCTGTGAAGCAAGTATCGGGGTCTGTCGGGGGGGTAGCGAAACCGGAGGAAGAAGAAGAGGAGGAGGAAGAGGAAGAAAGTTCCGAGGAAGAGAGCAGCTCTGAAGATGAAGCTCCCCGACGAGTTCTTTTACGGCCTACATTTATCAAAAAGGATAAACGCGCGAATGGCGCGAACGAACAGCAGGCACAGGTTTCATCGGTTGATTCGATGGCAGAAACAGAGGCAAAGAAAGCCCAACGACAGGAGAAAGCGGATGCGCTTGTTCGAGACCAGATCGAAAAGGAGGCTATCGCGCGAAGTGCCGCCAACAAGGCTTGGGATGACGACGAGGTCATAGAAGGGGAGGAAGGCGCTATCGATGATACAGATGGGAAGGACCCCGAGGCGGAATATGCCGCGTGGAAACTTCGGGAGCTCAAGCGTATTAAACGAGAGCGCGAGGCGATTGAGGCCGCAGAAAAGGAGCGCGAGGAGATCGAACGTCGTCGTAACCTCACCGCTGAGGAGCGCGAACGCGAAGATAACGAATTTATCGCCAAGCAGAAGGATGATAAAGACGCTGCCCGTGGGCAGACCGGATATATGCAACGCTACTTCCACAAAGGCGCTTTCTTCCGCCCTGACCTTGAAAAAGAGGGGCTCGATAGACGGAACGTTATGGGCGCCAGGTTTGCAGACGATGTTGCCCGAGAGACTTTGCCACAATACATGCAGATCCGTGACATGACGAAGCTAGGAAAGAAGGGCCGCACAAGGTATAAGGATCTTAGATCGGAGGACACCGGGCGATTTGGTACTGGCTTTGACAGCAGACCCCGTCGCCAGGGCGATGCTCCTATTGGCATTACCGACGAGCGCTTCTTACCCGATCGCAGGGATGACCGTCCTGCGGGTCCAACGGGTGCAAATGCTTCTACAGTCCGTGAGAGGCGTAGGTCGAGGTCTCGTTCGGGCTCACCCAGACGGGACCGTCGAGACAGATACGAAGACCGTGACCGAAGCCGTTCTCGGGATAGATATCGCCCAGATGCTAGCAGTCGCAGGAAACGGAGTCCTTCCCCCTACGAAGATCGAGACAAGCGAAGGCGAATGCGAAGCGTGTCTTAATTGGTGACTGATCGAGATATACCCCAAGCAAAAAAAAAAAAAAAAAAAAACACATTCTTTTCTTACTGGCGTTGGGTATAATTCAAAGCATGGGTGGCCTAAGGTTATGATGCATGACATTGTAAAAATAATACATTTTGACATATCATCCAACTTATATATTTTCTGGTGTTTAATGACGCCAGTATGGCGGCTTGAATTGTGTAATTCGGGTATCTTCTGGTGATGTATCGAAAGTAGGCCAATCGGTGTCTTGCCTGCAGATATAAAGAGACATCCATTCCTTTCCCTAGATAGACATGAAACGCCATTCGTAATTGCTTTCAGTAGTCCCCTTTATCCCATTGCATGGCTGACGCTCTACCACCAAGCAAAGCTGATCAACCCTAGAGAGTGATTTGAGTATATTATCCGATTTCAGAAGTTTGTGTCATGATTCTTTTTATAAGCCAAGGTATTGAAGTCATTGGCAACTGACATCATCTTCCAAATTAAGTAAAAGTCCTCCCTTATTTATTTGACTCCAGCCCGCTCTAGTACCTTTTCTCTCTCCATAACGCTTTCTCCAAATCGTAGAAGGAAGATTGTGCGTGCAGGCCACATCTCAGTTGACTGGTTATGAGCTGTAACTTTGGCCTCAAAGCCGCATCCATCGCATACGCCCTCGATGATGCCTGCTACAAAGGCGGCACAGTTGAGCATACTCATTTCTTTGGGGACGCTAATATATGTGTTGACGAGAGGGTCATTATCTGTGATCATATATTCGTTCGGTGTATCGGGAGAGACGGAGTGTTCAATAGCATCGGCGGGACGATTGAAAAGGAGTCGCCAGAGGGGGCCATGGATAAGATGCAACAGGGGAAGGATTCGAAGGGGTCTATTAGGAGGAGAAGCGGAAGTTGAGGAGCTGGATAGGGCTGATGAAGAGGAGGTAGACATTGTTCGGTAGAAGAGGAGATCGAGAAGGCGGAGGCCCAGAGGATAGCCTTGTTCGTTCAGCCTGGACATAGGGCGCATGTTGGTTAGTTTGGTACGATGGGGCAAACGAATGGTGAGCTCACCGTCTCTCTAGATCTTGAATGCCCGTTACCCTCCTTTGAGCATACGTAACCATCTCTCCGAATAGAAACGCGAAACTCGCTCGACTGAGTTCCGAGTTCCGGCTCCGGTTTAGGTGTCTATCGTAGATGGTCTTGCGGTTTGATGGGACACGCAGCCCAGGGGTTGGCTGGGATGCTGTTTGTATCTGGGGTGGAGGCAGGGGCTTCTCATTGGGAGGGACAGGGCCTTGCCCTGTATTGCTGACGGACAGCATCGAAGCATGTCGCGGGGGCTGCGACATGGCTGTATTCTGCCTATGGAGGTTGGTATGGGGGATGCGGGGGGTGGGAAAAGCGATAGATTCCAACTTCAATTGAACAAGGCACGCATTATGGGATGGAACAGCTCATGGAAACCAAATCTTTCCCACAAGAAACGGATAAGAGCTAGATCCGGAGGTTGGTTGTTCAATAGGGACTGGATAACTTGAAGCCTTTGGGTGATGGATGCAAGTACGGCGCCGCATACAACCGCATCGGGCAATTTAGGGCGCCTGAACTTGAACCTCTTCACTCTCTGTCAGCATTAGGGGGCTGTTTCTCTCCTGCACTCCGATTTTCCTGATGGAAAGACCAGTTTTTCCCCTGAGATCCCGGGCTTTTTTTTAAAGCGAGAAATCTACGTTATACGCAGAATCTTCGACACTTTTTACAGCTTCGGTTCCTAGATCCGCTCCTATACGCTGTTCCCAAACAGACCGCCGTACATCCCGGTGGCACACCTATACTCTCCACAATGAATTGGCTACCGCAGCTTTTCGCAAATCCCAGTCCTGAAGAGGCCAAAGCTCGAAGGCAGAAGAAGCGAGATGCCCGCTTCAGGCGAGAGCGCAGTCGGCGTATTCGCGCACTTGAGCGAAACCCTGACAACAGTTTCAGAAAGGCAGAGTTCTACTTCGGTTCTCCAATATCGGCATTTATAAGCTATCTGAGGCCGAAAGCTCGCACATAGGAAGATTCAGTCCTACCAGGGACCTTTCGTAGGCTGGTTTCCTAGCCACTCCTTGCCTGACTGAGTCGTACCCGAATTAGAGCACGACCCCAGATGGAGAAAGACAACGCATATTTACAAGGAGCTACGACTTGTCCAGAGTGAAAGGGGAATGAAATGCCCGCGATATGCTAATTCTCATGAGGGAATTGAGCAGGTTGCAGCGGCCTGACAAATCATGCTGTCGAGTCCTTCTGTTTGAGCCTATTTCGAGGATTTCTCCAGCCCAAGGAGCGGAAACTCGATCGTCGGGTCAGTAATATGGAGCTATGCTAGTTCTATTAGCAACCGTCCATTTGACTCTTGACACCCAGGTAGCATGTCAAAGGGCAGGTGTATGAATGGCACCATGACGTCCGATGAACATCAGTCAACCCTCGACTACTGTCTCTCTCGGGTATACGTGCCAGTCAGCGCCCTACGAACGCGACGACGAGGCCAATTACGCTGCCATTTCCAAAAAAAAAAAAAAAACAGGACTCCGCTGGGATATTCTTTTTCTAACTAGAACCATTTACTCCATGTTATGCATAATCATGTATATATAAAATATCATCTTACCTTTATTTTATTCCTTACTCCCCTCAATCTCATAGGGCACACCAGTCTCCGTATGTCGGTAGCTCTATGGCGAGACCCCTTCATTGCAAGCCATCAAGTATGAAGCATATATCCCTGGAATGTAGAAACCACAACCCACCAAGACTCCCTCCTCTCCCTCCCTCTCTCTCTCTCTATACACTATCCCAAACATTCAATCCAAACAAACAAGCAACATCAACCCAGAACCACAAAATCCAAAATGCAATCGAAATCCAACCCCCTCCTCCTCCTCCTCCTCCCCCTCCTAGCCACAACCGCAACATGCTCGCTCCCCCCCGTGAAACCCGTGAAATCCTACGGCGTCAACGGCGGATACGCATGCTGCAAGCACCTCTCGCCCGCGCACTCGGCACAGGGGATATCTCTTCTTGAATTGAGCGGGAATGACCCATTCGCACTGGACACGACGACGACGCTAGTAGGGTCGGAGTGTATGTATTTGCTGCATCCTCCTTGTTTTTTTTTTTTTTTTTTTTTTTCAAATTTACTAAACTAACCAACTAACGTCTGTGTGTTCGGTGTTATATATACAGGTCGGACTTTGCCTCGTGCTGGATGCGGAGAGGAGTGGTTTGTCGGTTGCGTGCCGTATTTGGCTAAGGATGTATGTATGTATGTCCGTGTGTTTTGTTTGGATCGATGGAGGGAGAGAAAGGAAGTAGTAGTAGCTGCTCGCAATATACTAACCGAGTACGGAGTACAGGGGTCAGTTTGTATCGCTCGGGAGATGGGTGATGGGAAAAGGGTTGCGGAGTTTTTGTATGATCTTGGGGATATGATTCAAGCGGAGGTTCAGGAGGGCTTTGCCAGGGAGAATGATGATGACGAGAGTGAGGAGAGAGAGATTGAGAGAGAGGACTTTTAATGGGCAATTACTCCGTACGTGGAAGCTACACCTACTACACTCGCAATATACACGCAGAGAAAAAAAAAATTTCAAAATCAGTAGGTAGGTTCATTCAATTCAATTGCGAATTTTAACGGCCAGAATCCGTGCAAATACGCAGCAAGCCAGGCCTATCCCATCCTCCTTAGCATAGAGATACGAGCAAAGCAAAACCGCCCGGAGACACGCAGCACGCTATCGCTATCCGAAGACAATACCAAAGAAACCTAAGCCATCTAGACAATCCCGTTAGCACTTGCTCAAGGAATTGCGCGAGTTTTTCAATTCACAAAGCAATGAAGCCAGTCAGACATCCAAGGAAGTATTGCGCACAGAGCACGTCTATATGATGGGTTCATGGCGACGGCTAGCGTGGAAACTGCGAATGTAGGAAAAGTTTTCATCATAAGAGCCGAAGGCTGCGAGGCTTTCGGCTTGGCTCATGCGGTTGGTTCTCCAGAGGGAGAGAGAGAGAGAGAGAGAAGAAAAAAAAAAAGGGTGACGGGCTTACCAAGTTAGTATCTAGCAATTGCGAATTAATTCCATTGATAAACGCTAAGCACTGTCAGGACTGGAATCTGCATTGAATTCCAGGCAAGCCAGGTGCTGGATGGCGTTGTTGTGTTGGACGGGTGAGGTGGTGGTGGAAGGAAAGAAGGAAGATAAATTTTTGTGGGTGGATGACGGTATTTATAGTCTGCCTCAGGCTGCTGCCCTGGAAACCGGCCGCTTAGACGAAGCTTCTAGAGAGGGAGAGCTTAACGAGGGAAAATTCTGTCGATTATCTCCACTGCGAGGAAAACATTATTCAGGGTTTGGAAAGCTCGATCTCTTGGCTTGAATAGAGGTGTAAACAAATCTCATTTAATTCAGGAGAGCTTTACGGCTCTCGCAATGCCCGTACTCCGTACAACCGCTGGGCTTGGTTACTAAATCTAGAGATGAGAATGTCGTCAAATATATATCTTTATTATATTGCCTACTATTTTTGGCAACGTATCAACACATTTCCCTACCACATATTTACTACCAACAATCTGCATCTACCAGAACCACAACCAAACAGAATCATGATAAGCTCTTTTGTCGCTGCCGAGAGTTCCAATTCAACGTCTTTGAAAGACTATGCATCCAGTCGTCGCCCCGTCCGCCACGAGGCAAAACGTTGGCAAAGGGATACCGTGAAGCAGACACCGTGACGTAATCACCTGGAAGTAGTTCGACCCTGCCGGGGATATTAGCATATAAACGGCTTGCCGTGGAGTATCCTCAATGTGAGTTACCTCTGTCGCCCATCAAAGCTTGCCCACGAGCTTGTTCGAGCGTCGTAAGGAACACCCACCCGCAACACGACAGTATCTGGGAGAATGATCGGACGGAAGGACAGCGTATGTGCGCATATAGCAGTGATGAGGATCACGGGGTTGTCTGGATGCGAGAGCGATCCTCCTGCTGCCATATTGTAAGCGGTTGAACCGGTTGGCGTGGCGATGCAGACCCCATCAGCGAGGAGGGTCGTGAAGTGCTCATCGCCACCGAACAGCTCTATAGAAGACATAGCTATGGAAGTCAAGTCAGTCACCGCCACAAACTACGTCCTCTCAACGTCCAAACTAACTAGGATTTGGTCCCCTATCGACGACGACGTCGTTCAGAATGTGCATGACCCCGTCTGGTCGATGTGTCAGTGTCGTATGTGATTCATACCCAATCAGCTCTTCAACTAGATCTCGGTGTTTTTTGCTGGCTGAGGTCTCGCTGGGCTCGGGGTTGCTCCTCATAATCGTACACTCAAACCTCAGTCTCAGGCTAACCACGACCCCGTTTTTGATGGCAGATCCTAGGATGTTTTGGTAGTCATTGAAATCAAATTTGGTTAGAAATCCTAGTGATCCTAAGGCGAAAGAAAGTACCGGAGGGACTATATGCTGGAACAACCAGCTAGTGTAAAGCACGGTGCCATCGCCACCCAGAGTGATGACAAAGTCAAACAGATGGGCCTGTTCGCCAGCCAGCTTGGTATCCCAGAACTTCAGTCGGTCCTTCACAGAGGGTTCCTCCTGGAGGAGCTCCTCATAGCCAAACCCGGGGTCTAGCTCAAGCCTATTTTCGACGTACACAACAAACTGCGTGCCACATTCCTTCGAGAGTAGCCACTGAGCGACTTCCCGGGTTGCGCTGACAACAGACTTATCCCCAGCCTTGGTTACCAGAAAGATAGACTTGACGTTGAGCCTGAGCCTGATGCTATCTAGTCTCTTAGATAGCCTTCGAACATTCCACGCCATATCCGACAGCTGCTTCTTCGTCAAGTGTCGCGACTGTACGACGTTATGTGGTGGTGACCCGGGCCGGCCGTCCTCCGTCTCTGCGATGGACAGGGCATCAGTGATGCTGGACTCGGTGATGACATCGGTGTCCTTGGAGAAATGACCCTTCCCAGCCTTGGTGAAGGAGAGCCCTCCGCCTGCGATGAGAGAGTGCACGAAGCACGCTGTCACCTCGTCTGATGGATCGGAATTCTTGGACTGATCTGCCATGACAAGAGAGGCTTTACGGCGATGGCTAGAGGTTTGTGGGGGTATGAGGATCTAAACCAGCGCGGGGAGAGAGAGAGAGAACGTTAACGATACGGCCAGAAGTAGGTTTTCAATCTTGGGAGATACAGGAGAGATAATACCTCGATTTGGTGGTGATCATCTGAATTGTTCTCTGGTTCGTCATGGTCCCCCTACCGTGGTCAGTGATACTATAGTAGTCGCGCGAAGGCTGAATATCCTTACAGTATCCCGAGAGAGGTCCTTGTCCATTGTCTTGTAGTGCACTTGGTGACTTGAGATACATCAGCCTACTTCCGTGGTATTTCCATCATAATCGCTTCTGATTGTGATTGTTGAAATCTGGAGTCGCCTGACGTTTGGGTGTCGGTCTTGCGAAGAGGGGTTGATGACGTCGGCCCATAACTTGCATAGTCATGATGTCGCATTGAACAGACCAAGTCGACTTCCAAGGTTGTTTTGTTTGAATTCGCAGAGACCTTTGAGCAATAACAAGAAAGCACTAAACAATTGATTTTACCCGGACTGTCAATGCGATTTTGGGAATAGTATTCGAACTCGAGAAGCGCCAGGGTTTCATGCAGGATATCCATCACATCACATCACATCTTGCACAGACCGTTGAAGGTATAGTACAAGTTCTACAGATAGATAAAAGCACTGATAAAAAAGCCCATGGTATGCGACGGAGCAACCGATTTTTCGTGTACTGGTAAGTAAACATGACTGCATGTGGTTGAGAGATTAGACGTCCAACAAGCGAACTTGTTTTCCTGTTATCTCCCTGAACTCTCAGACCACACGTAACAACTAGCTGCAGCCTCTCGCAGGGAGTTGGACTTTGTCCAGACCGACAGACATCGATATCTGGTGCATGCCCATCAAGCGTCAGCAGTGGAGACGGTAGACTCTAGAGTATGTGATGAATATTAATAGCACCATTCCGAGCTACCGAAGGGACTCCGTACTGAGTGATTACCTATATCCGAGTCGGCCCGGAAGGTCCAGACTGGACTCTTGAGTCTTGGGTCGAGTTGTAATACGGGATGAGACTGGCGCTCCTTGTGGATTTATTACTGTCGAGGTCAGCAAGCCGCGTCGTCATTTGAGAGTATTTGAAAAGAAAGAAACAAAGACAGTGGGGATTGTGATTATGGTTAGGGATTGGATACGAAGCCGAGAACGAAAACCCCCTCCCTTCCTCCCCCAAGCTCGGGATATTATTATCCACCTGCACAAGGGGGCTCAAGCCCTCAAGGAGGTGACACTCAGGACCGCAGTCTTGTCCAGATGACACGGAAATTGACTTGTCACTCTGCTTATCGCGACCAGCGGTTGCAGGCAGGCATCACCGCCCCCTCCTCGGCCCGTCTCCCCCGATTCACACACATTATTGAATATTCAGGCCTTGAATTGGAGATCTCGCAGGCTTCACGGAATCATCTAGAAATTGGAAGGACTGGGATCCATTTTTAGGTTCAATAATAGATTAAGTCAGTCCGCTTCGAGACCTGCGTTACTCTGTCGGCGACTGTAACTCGGTGATCAACGCCTCCCAGTTGCACATTAACTTGACTCACTTGCAACGTGCCAGGTCCCCAGCCACCGAATAATTGGACTCCACTGCTTGACATACACGGAGGTATTATGGAGTCGAAGTGTAACTAAAATACTAATGTAATACTATAATGAATCCTGAGTGGAATCCCGTGTCCCGGTTTTTTTTTTTTTTTTTTTGCCCCTCGTCTATTAAACGAGGAGGAGGAGGAGTCGTTTAAGCTGGTAATAATAGCAGGCTAGGTACTCCGTACTGTGTACAACAACTCCGAAAATCAAGACTACTACTACAGAGAACTCACAAATAGTTATAATGATACATAATTAACATGAGCTTTTCCAAGTTTCAACCTTTTCTTCCTTCTTTTTCCTTTTAACCCTTTTGTCTCGATTGAAGGGACTTGCAGTTGAAACCATCTATCGGTCATACCCCGGACCGGCGGCAGAATAAACAATTCGCTAGGCTTTTTCCAATAATGACCACGAGATGTGAGACGGGTCTAAATCGGTTTATCTTCCCTAGTACAGACTACAGAGTACGGGAGAGTCTGGTAGATTCAAGGAAAGTCTCAAGATTTGAAGATATACTCCTGGAACTACTAGTCCGGTTAGGAACTTAGTTGCGAACTTGCGACTTTGCAACCATGTGGCTTTTCGAATATTTAAATTATTTGTTTCTCTCTCTCTCTTTTTTTTTTTTCTTTTTTTTTTTTTTTTTTTTTAAATTAATTAATGGGATGTGCTGAGGCTGTTTGTGTCTTTTCTGCCTGGCTTTTTCTCTGCTTGGATCGCAGGTTCTAACTTCTCTGACCATATAGGGTTTTTTTTTTTTTTTTTTTTTCTTTTTCTACAACTCATGACTCTTTAGACTTTGAATTGCCTGCACCTAACCTGTTTGAGAGAGTAGAGTTAGCATAAGTTAGGCTGAAACCAAGAACTAGTCTCTGGTCTGTTTGTCAAAGCTCAATGGCTGCGAGGGGAGTGACGGGCTCTCGGAATAGGATGGCGGTTACCAAGAAAACCAAGACTTTGTCTAGAATCCTTGATGGGTCGCCTAGGAGGATACTTATATTTGACCCACCAACGGCCAGACAACCTCCAACTGGGTTGAATCGTTGGATTGAATGTGGCGAATGAACATTCTCCACGGGTATGGTGCAATAAAGGTATACCTACCCTGTACGGAGGAAATGTCGGTATAATAATAATAATAATAATAATAATAATAATAATAATAAGAAGAAGAAAGTATTCATAAGGCTGGTCTCATTCAAATGTAAGTACAGTAGTTACTACATGATTTAGGATATGATAATTTGCTTTTCAGAAAGGATCAAGGCAAGCAGCCAGATTCTAATGTTTCATTCTTCATATGTATTATTATTATGTACTAGGGAGGACCCTCCACTTTGATCTGCCGTGGCCAATGCAGCCAGGATTTTAGCCATGGAGAAATTTTCTTTTTAATGAAACCTTCCCTTCCCCCCTTTCCTTTTGTCTACTCTGTAAGGTTAGGCTTTCTTGACATTCTTACCTGTTCAAGTAATATATCAGTGGGACTGGCGCTGCACCGTACATGACCGGGCAGTATCATTCTTAGTGGTGATAGGTCACCGCATATCGGGATAATCACCATATTACCCTACGCATTTGGTATAATACGATAGTCGGTCCAATTCCAATTCCATCCTGTCCACTGCGATGGCGGAGAAACAAGGGGGGGGGGGGGGTCCTGTGGCCTCAAGCCATAACCACCGTGTTGCGTCCACTTCAAGTCAGGGGCTGGTGAAACATCTTTCCAGTTGAGTATTATTTGTGATCAGAACGTTGTATACAGAGGACTCCATACTATGGGGGGATGCGACCTGGTAAACGACGGAGTACGATGGTCAACAGGTGTACGAAGGATGGCCCCCGTCCGTCATCGTCACCGAAACTTTCAGAGTCAGTCGGAGTAGCTTCGTAGGAATCGCCGTAGAAGAAGTAGTAGTAGTAGTAGTAGTTAACTTGGGTACGGAGAAGACAAGGATAAATCTGTGCTCTGTAAGTTGCAGTAAAATACGTACACGACAGGATTAGTTCCTCCGCACTCAAATGAGAAAGAAGGAAAAGAGAAAGCGATGGATGTACCCCGTACTTAGCGTGACTAGCGACTAGCCAGCCCTCGGATTTTGCTCGCGAGGTCATGTGGTTCCAAGTCCTGCCGCCGCTTGTCTGCTGCATCCTTTCCCTATAAAGTTTGCCACAATCCATATCTAGAATCTAGAACCTAGATCCTTAGGTACGGAGTACTACTAGTCTGGAGGAATACCACTGTGGCACAGACTGCGAATCTTGTTGGTTAGGGGAGATGTGTACGGATAATCTCTTTCAAGATAACTAGCACACCTGTTTTGAGTGAGATGACTAGGACAGTGTCCTTCGAACAAACAAACTAACAATTAGCAAAATCTTCTAATTAACTACTACCCAGTCTCAGTCAAGGTAGCAAGAGCGAAAGCCTGCTACTACATAGTATTGCCTGCATATGGAGACTCGGCATCGATGTTCCCACTTCTGAGATCTGACTGCATTGCATAAAGTATTCGTTATGGAGATAATTCCATGGTCACTCATCTGAGTATCCATGCTTTCTTTCCTCCTTATGGTTATTACCTAGTCCCCATCCCTTGGCTTACAGTAGAGTGTAGGTAGGTCACCGAGTAACCGCCATGGTATGCAGACCCAGGTCACAACCAGGCAAGGCAACACACATTCTGCACTTGGGTAGAAAATTCCGAAGTATTTATTTACTTTTGCCGGGCTGGGAGAATCACCCTACATTGAGATTGGTGATTCTCATGTAAAATACCTGCATGCGTCATGCATGTACATTAGTACTGTACCTGTATGTATGCCATTTGACTCATGGCGCCGGCTGCCAGCTGCCCTCGGTGTGAATGACCAAATATTTCATTCCTACCTAGGTACCTCTTTAGCCCTTATCCGTCCAATCTGCACTAATACAAGAGGAGAAGGGATGTATCTGCATTTCCAAATTACGGAGACGGACCTACCCAGCTTCGCTTCTTCATCCATGTTAGTTGGCTTACTAGGTGACAAGTAGTTGAAGATTAAGAAATCGTTACTACGTACTCCGTAGTGAACCACCAAACTGCAGGCCCTGTATCCCCTTTGTCTATAGTTCAGGATGAATTATTATATATATTATATGTATATAATCATAATAATTCAGGATTTAATTAGTGATATGCTTATCTGCATTACATGTCTTCTAGGCAATATATACTACGTCTGTATTAGTGTCCTGATATCGAGACATAGGTACTGGTGATTATACCGAGGATTATGCATCCATTTACCTACTCCGTACTCCGTACACAAGAAGCTCTGTAGGATTCGATCTTGTTACCGAGAAGCTCAGACGTTGTGGCGTCGCATCATGGCTGGCACACGGGACGCTCGTTCCTAGATCCTACTCGTTGAGCGGGTAACTTAAGTTAGTACTTACTACTCCGTACCTAGGTAGTTCTAGTAAGTTTTAGCTAACTACCTACTGAATGTACAGCTCGCCAGGTCGCCAGGTCGCCAGGTGGCTACCAAATTTGACTAGTTGGGACCAGTAATAACCAAATTTCATTACCATATGTGACAATACTAGTGGTAAGTCAGTAATATATTCTGTAAAGCTGCGGGATTCAAAATCATCTATCTGGTAGTACTGGTTATGACCAGTCATGCCTAATTCAAGTGGTAAAA